CGTCAATCACACATTCTCACCCATACGCCACGCGCTACTGCCACTCTAAATAAAGTACGAATTAGTTATTCGAATGCGTTTTGTTGTTAACATTTACATTACTTTGATTATTCATAAAGATACGTAAATAAATTGATCCTCTTTGGACAACGTCAATTCCATGGACCCTCCACCATAAACAAGAAAAATATTTTTTTTGTTACATCATGTACTTGTAAATAAATGCGTATTTTACATGTTCTCGGCTTTGAGATATAATCTCCGCCCGAGGTCATTGTACCCGAAGATGTCTAAGAGATATAAAATTCCGGCGAAAATTTATTATGCAAAGTATATTTTGAGAAGCATCTTGTAATTATCTCTACCGACGGAAGGCTATTTCACAGGAACAATAATTCCTAGTCGTAACAAGAAATGGATCCGGTTAATCTGGTGTAAAAAAAAAAAAGTTCACAATCGCGTCTCCCTTGTTAAAATGTTAGTTCCAGGCTCTTATGAATATTTTATTATAAAATCACTTTTATGGCCATGTCCCCAAAAGACTAGAAACCTTTAATTCAATAAATTACAATCGCGCTTTGAATGTATAAAATATCATATTCATTAATGTCACATTACGAAAATGGTTATAAATGCAGTAGGTGCATAGAAATTACTCTTACAACAGTACTTAGTGTCATTAGCAGTCCACTCACGCAGATCAACACGATAGAGTCTATTCTTTTATAAACACAGAAACAATACAGATGTGAATGCAATGATCACGTGTATATGAACTCTTGGTAATTTGTATTCAATTCACAGATATAATAATATAATAAACTACAAAAATTCTGTGGTATTTTTAATTTAAAAGAATTAAAATGCGCAACCTAAAATACAATTTCTACACGAGAGTGTGATGCAACAGGCTCGAGTACCGGTTTGCGCTCGGCTCCTCGGCGTCTAGCGAAGATGCGATACCTAATGGACTGAAAATGTTTCGCATGGAATTGATTAACCCCAAGGCCTCGGAGCTTTGATATTTATCTATCTTATTATCACTATATTACAATAAATTTTATCATCTAGAAGATTTTTACTTTATCATCTTGAATATTATTTACGTATAATAAAATACCTGCTCTTTGAATTCCAAAAAGTCAAAAACATTTTATGTGTTTACGAGATGCTATCTCGCATGGAAGATGCTCCTGTTTTGCAAATGTGAACCGGCATGGTTATGAGGATGTATTCTCACGGTAGCTCTCGAGAGACGAACAGAGAAAGCCTTATCTCATGTATCGGAGCGCGAACAATGTGAAGAGCGTGTCGATGCTTATCATCGTCAACTTATCCAGTGGTTGTAGTGGTTTGACTTTCACTCGTATGAGCTAGTGGCTGATGTGTTGCTTTTAACACTGCCTTCTTTGTGCTTGTCGTGTCTTGTTAGCGTCGTCGGAAATCGCGACAAACAGATGAAATTTCTTTGAGAAAGTTACATATTCTTCCTTTACTTGTACGAGGTTTGTCCGGAAAGTACGTATAAAAGTTTTTTTAAAATTTTATTTTACAATTATTCAGGTAAATCAATTTTATCCCCTTCAAAGTACTCCCCCTGTGACATAATGCACTTGTGCCAACGCCGTTTCCACTGTGAGAAGGCTCCTTGAAAGTCCTCTGGTTGTAGGTTTCTCAGCTGCCCCGTCGTAGCTTTTTTTATCTCATTTATGTCCCCCAAATGCCGCCCCCGAAGTACCAATTTGGTTTTTGGGAACAAGAAGAAGTCACACGGGGCCAAATCCGGCGAATAGGGGGGGTGTTCGGTCACCGTAATGGAATTTTTACTCAAAAACTCACGGAACGATCTTGGCGCAAATTTTTTTCATTTGAAGTTCGTTTCTTAGAATTTCGTGGACCACGGTTTTGCCCAAATTAAGCTCTTCAGCCACCTGTCTGACCGTTAAACGACGGTCCCCATTAACACAAGTTCGAATTCTTTCCACGTTTTCGTCGGAATGTGAAGTGGAAGGACGTCCTGAACGTGGGTCATCTTGAACGCTTTCTCGGCCCTCTCTGAATCTTTTTAGCCACTTGTGGACGGTTGGTTCCTTCACAGCATCATCCCCATAAACTGTTCTGAGATCGGCAAAAATTTCACGGCCATTCTTGCCGAGTTTCGAGAGAAACTTGATTACGACGCGCTGCTCTTCAACGGAAGCGGGCTCCATGCCGACGGGGTTTCGTTAAGAGGTAACTTCACAGATGGCGTGACAAGCCAGTTCACACCGCACGGCGGTCAGACCAGAACTGAAGCATTGTTAGGGACATAAGGAAGGGGTCCTGCGCTTACCTGGCCTCCCCACTCCTCTTTCTCGCATTCCAGAACACTTTTATACGAACTTTCCGGACAGACCTCGTATATAGATTAGTTATATATCACTAGATAGTTACAAGCAATTTGTCATTCAGTTTGCTGGATAATCTTATTTGTTAATATATCCTGTGTTCATATATATTTTTATATGAAATAAAAAGAATCATAAACGTTTAGAATAACAATTCTCTTCGGCGGAAAATCAAACGCTCAACGCAGGAGGTGAGAAAATAAATTATGTACACGTGTATTGAAAAACAGCAGACAGGGTGACTGTTTCCAACATTTAATATTCAATAACAGGGCCATAAACGTATTGTCTCGTGGGTTATGGTTGTTCGGAGGATGCCGACGGTCGTGCACGTTAAACCGGCCTGTCGTGATTTAGTGCAGGGCCGCAACCGACGCGGCCCACGGCCCTAATTACAAAGTGTAATGAGGTGAATACGCCCGTACACCCGCGCCCGTTGCATACACTTCACGCCTCTCACCAATATGTCTCTAGAGCTCGTCGGATAAAGTGTTAACGCTTTTCAATATTTTAATCTTTTTTCTTTATAGGGATCGAAAACTTCGCAATCGATGTTGTTATTTGCGTATTTTTAATTAACATTAAATTATCAGATAGACCTTTTAAAACTGAACGTGTTATATCAAATCGTGCTTTTAAACAGATCTAAAAGATATTTCACAAAATTAAATCGTTCTGTAGAATTATTGTAATTTATACTTCTAATGTTACAGTCGTTATTGAAGAAATATGTAAATATCACCCGTTCGCAAATTATCTTCACTCCAGTAACACTGTTGAATAGTGTTTAGATTGACGATATTATTAAATTATATTATGGTTTTTATTTTTCAACGACCTTAAAAATTTTTTAAAAAGATAACAATAAGAAACTGGCATCAATGTATTTTTAATGTTCTTTCGAACCTCTTTAATCCTTACTAACGCATTTCGACATCCGATTTTATCTCGTTTTTAAATCATGAATGCAACTAATTAAATTACTAAAGCGATCTTCGAAATTAATTTTTTGCCCCACGTATTTGGACGCTGATGTGTATCTGGATTAACGTCGAGATAATATTAGGGTTAAAGCGGTTACGTAATTATTGCTCTGTAGGAGACTAACGTTTCATATTTTGATTTACGCACGACTGAGCTGGAGCACGGTTTTGTTGCCATCCGAAAATCAAAGACTCGTTTTTACTATTCAACGTCTGCTATCTAAATAAAATATGGTATAAAATTCTCCTTATTTAACATTAAACCCGAATCTATAATAAGTGATGGCAGTATTTTTTTTTTCATTGCATCGACAATCAGCCGAAAGACATAAACTGATACGTTCAAAGCTAATTCTAAGTTTACGTAATGGGTTAGTTACCATACACAACTTGCATCAGGGAATACGATAAAAGTTCAAAATTAAGTTTTTTTTACTACACTTTGTAGTAGCAAAATATCACGGAGCTTTATGCTGAGATAATTAACTGTTGCCGAACATAAAGCCTTCTACGCATCTACATCTTGTTTATAAGTTCAATATGTGCTTATAATGGTAAATAGAAAACACGCGTAGTACCTACGAAGAGCCAATTTTTTATAGTAGTTCTTAGTTTCTCACTTACGTGTAATTGCGCAAAAATTCCCAAGGATTGGGTGGGAGAAATTGACGCTTTTATTTCACTTTGGATTGATGGAAATTTTAAGTATTCATGTACTTATCTCATCATTTACCGAGAACCGTAAAACGTTTCAACTATAAATTAAGCCTTTTTCTGTTGGCACATCGCGCACAAACATTTGATTTCCCACAATTAATCTCCATGCTATTATAAAAGATTCGGATGGTTACCCTGCAAAAAGAATTTTATATCTAAATATCATTCCGTATTATATGTTACGCATTGATTTGGAATCATATTTTTGATGCACTAACATATTTAAAAGTATGATTAAATGATCAGTAATTTGTTTGCCAAAGTTCTTGACAGGTTGTGATGATAAATTAATATTTTGTTCTCTTGTGGGCGAAGATTGTACATCGTTTGTATGAGCTTCAGACTCTCTGAACCCATAATGATGTCATTGGGTTTCGTATCTACAGTTTTGTAGTCGGTACTGATTTTTTTTTTTTTCTACTGCCGCCATGTCATTATGTTTTTACCGCGATTGTATTTGCAAATGCGGTCTAATACCGTTGGCGTTGCTATGGGCTGGCGATGACGATAGACACGGGCTGCTTTTCCGCTCGAATTGATCTTTCATTGCATATACTAAAGAGAACAATGAGCCAAGTTTTTTTATAATGCTTTGTTTGGATAGGAATGTAATTTTGATACAGTAACGTTTTAAGCAACTACACAAATGAGGTTTTTACCTTCATAAGAATATGAAGATCCTCTGATATACCTTCGATTTGAAATTACTTTACAGGAAAATAATGAATACGCACGACTGACAGCTTCGTAATAATAACGGTAGCGTTTTTATGGTTTATCTAGAAGTAAATTTTTTATTTGTCATAGATCAGTAATTCTTTTTTTTTTTATAATTATCGACTCAACAGTTACTCTCTCTTAGTTGCAAGATGTCAAATTAGAAAATTAATGTATTTTTTTTTATTTCTTTCAGTTACTGCCACTCTACCACCGCAGAGGCCTTGGATACCCTTGACGCGACCAAACAGGAGTCGTCCGACATGTAAGCAAAAACTTTATAATTAAAATCCCTCTTGTTAACCATCACATACATGTCATACCGCAATTCTAATAAATCATCGCTGTCATTAGATAATATGAAGCGATAAGTAACAAGTTTCTGTTCTATAATACTATTTATACACAAATGAGTGCATAATATTTATTTTATATTGTTAACTTAGAGCTTCATATCGCTTTTGTCATTAATAAAGTGTCATGGTGGCACGTATGGGCGCGGCTCACGCGGTCCGTCTCATAAATAATAAACTGGAGGCCGCCCCGCTCCAACGGTATACCATCCACTCGTGGGAGACCTTCGGGAACCGGGTTTAGACGGAGCATCAGCTTAGACTCGGACTTATACCGTTATCTTATTAAATTACATTGGAATAATTCAATAACCTCTATTTATCAGCTGCATACAAAACTTTCCAATTATATAATTATTTTCAAACAGGTGAATAAAAATACAACATAATTACAGTTTAATTTTTATTAAATAGATGATATTGGTATTGTAGTCCCTCCTATGTTATCAGTATATGTATGCTGGCGGGGTACCTGTGAATAAAGGCAGTTTAATTCTCGAAGGAACTGCTTGTAGTGCGACCTGACTGTATATACTGCTAGCAATGGTGTTGTTATTTCTCGTTGCTGATAATCCCTTCTAGTCAGTCTCATTAATGTCCTTTACACATTGTAAAAGAGATATATTATTTTATGGTTTATAAGAAACAGGGATTAACGCGATCATTTAGGTTAACTATGGTAATTTACTTGAATTTTGCTTGATCTTTCGACCACGTTCACCGGCCGTGGTTACGATGTATAGCACTCTCGTGTCTCTGCTGTTGAAGCAGTTCTCTTCTTCAGACTTCTTCCCACTACATGCAGCGCGAAAATCTATAAATTAATAAGTAGTGCATTATTATCATATAAATTCAACTTCTATTCGGATGAAATTAATAGTTTAATAATATATTATTTGTTTGGACGTCGCAAGATGTGGTTCCTGTCACGCATAGCTGCCTAGAGTCCATTCTGTCGATGCACGAAGCGGACGCGCGCGCCCAATTTACATAAATCAAACGTGTCAAACGGTCGGGAAGAAAATATCTCTAAACATTCAATATTATATACTAGCCCATTGTACTGATAAACAAAATTATCCTAATTCGATATTTATAATTGTTTCGGCATTTTATATGACCCCCCCATAGTTTTAGTCGATTATTAGTTTAAATCGATTTGTAGTCGCCGAAGGAGTTTTAAGTTTAGTTGTTTAATAAAGTCTTCATCTATTCATACAAAATGTTCATGCAGCATCGAGTTCCATGTGGAACTGAACAGACCAATTTCAATGCTGTTTTTTTTTTAATCGAATGGGCACCTTTATTAGATTGGTTAATAGTATTGTTGCTTCTGAATATCGTTAAAATACATTTATTATAACTATTTAGTAACCGACCGCGTGGTCCCGGCATAAAATAGGCCACCCCTTCCTACTCCGTGGGTGTCAAAGGAGCCGACTAAGAAAAGCCGAAAAATAGGCAGTAGCGTCTCTCTTAAAACATGTCTAAAGCCCTGACTGCGGTTGCAAATCCGCTTGCCAAGCGTGGCAACTACTGGCAAAACCCTTCGAGGGAGAGGCTTATGTTTAGCAGTGGACAATTAAAGGCTGATATGATGATGGTGATGATTTAGAAACTAGGATCCAAACTGTCCTGATTAAATGTTACAGCTAGAATATCGAAATGGGCATTAAATACGAATCGTATAAGTGCTCGATAGTTCAAGATATGTCTATGTATACAAATGTTTAAGAACTCAAGGAAAAACGTCCTGGCAGCATCGTATAAGAAGACCTGACTCCGACTAAAAAAGAGACTAGTGGCATCTACCAGAAATCGACATATAATTTGACTAATTTCGATTGCGTTGAATTGTTGCTCATGGTCAAATGAGGCAGGAAGAAAGAAAATGCCCTTGGTCTCGCCAACCGTGTTCGAACAATGCACAATGAGAGACATTGCTACGACCTCCTCGCATCCGTGAACCTGTAATATTGTACGGTCGCATATTTGCTTTACTTTCAATTTATCGTCTATAAATTTTACGGTTCGTAAGAGTCAATATAAAAAAACTATTTGCAATCAAATATAGAAACGGGCTCTAGAGTAATCGGCGAAAATAAACATCGGCCATCAACGACCGCTATTAACTCCTGGGATGAAATTGCACTCTTAAAACGCGCCATTTCATAAAAATTTAATAGATGCTTACGACGAGGTCGAAAATATCAAACGCAAGTTCTTTTATGCCAAGAGTACCTCAAATAAGTACATATAATATATGTATATATAGTTAAAAAACTTGTCTAAATGAGAATATGATGCAAAAGGCCGTTTTGATACATTGTTTGAGTCGCAATGTTCATAACTAAAGTCCAAATTCACCGCGTTTTCTTATTTAAAGTGGTTATGTTAGCACAGACTTCCTTTACTCATATATTACGCGACGCGAATATTTCGGAATATGAAGAGCATCAAGTATTCCTATTTTTAAATCTCTTGCTTCATCCACTTTCTATAACTCGTCTCACGTCGGTTCCGGAGATTCTTGATTCTCTTTCAGATAGTTTATCTGATCATCGTAGATTTTATCTACTTACATTTAATGTAAATGCACACAGAATATACAGTAGTATTGTTGTTTTTCGAAAGAAGACATTTCTTTAATAGCAAGATGAATACTAAACCTAATAATATATATTATCAACACTATTAACAAATCTAAAGCAATTTGTTTTACATGCATATATAAATCTAATGGTATTTTATAGTAATTTAAAGATTCTATTGTCTTTGTAAAAAATACTTAGCCGGTCAACTGGCCTTTATGCGGATTTTCACTTTCTTCTACCTCCTTTAAGTCTCAGACTACTTCTCAGATAAATTTACCAGTAATCGATATACATGTCATCGTTGGTTTTAAAAATATTTTATTAGAATTTGTATTTAACGCAATACAACATCCATCTTCTAAGGATCTGAAATTATCTGGTTGAAAGCAAACATATACTTTTTAATTTATTACATTGTACGTTTGTACTCCTTGTATGTTTAAATTCAAATTTTCATACAATCTTTTAATATGAATTTTATTTCGCAAAAGCAGTATCTTAAATATGAAGCTTGCAAAATATGTAACAATGTATCACAACAAACAGTTCTATTAAATTATCATAATGGCAGAATTTGAATTCGTCTTGTGTCGTAACACGAAACACATAATGGCACTGCCAATAAAGATACCTACAGCTTCGGGCCTCCCCCCATTATATTCAGATGAGGCGGATAGCGTACGACTGCTTTATTTCTTTTTTATTACAACGTTAAACACCCTCGCAAAAGTTGTTCCAATCATCACAACATAAAAATAACAGTCTAGACGCTTATCATGTGATAAAGACCAAAAACACTGTATCCCACCGATTAAAATGTAAAAACAAATTGTCTCCGAGTATACGAATGTTATACATAATATCATATTCAAATATGTACATGTCTCACGCATGTAATCTTAACATCATAACATAAACCTATACCAGTAAGGGGAGAATATTTGCTTATTATACTACGCAATAGGGAAATATCTGCACCTACTAAAAACCTACATTTGAATAAAAATGTCAAGAGAGATCTATCAGCGGTCAAACCACAAGCGTTACTGGTTAAAAATGGAAATTTTAGAAATTGACCATGCTTTATCAGTGAGGAATCTACTCCTGTGTTTTTTAAAAATCTAATAACATCTTTATTATTTTTATTTTTCATAAACTAGTTTATATACGCCGATATTATGAGAACCATTAATTTCCATCATTTGATTCTGATTAATATCTAATTTAATTAATAATATCTAATTTAGACAACATCCAAATTCCATGTCCATACATTATTTCAGTACTCGTAAGTTACTCTTCTTTGACTTGGATTACTTTTCAACTCTGTCATTCCATAAGCACTAATGTTACATTCTCATTCGGCTTACGTACACAGAATTTTAGCTTGATGGGATACTAGCGGATATATTTGAAAATAGAATGAAATGAACAACACAAACATACACGCTAACTAACCATTAAATTGGCAATATAAGCAAAAGGGCACCAACACATTCATTATCAATTTACTCGTATTACATATATTAAATAGGGAAGTGAAAAGTCAAAAAAATATAACACGAAAAAAGAAAGTTAATAAAAATTTATGACTGTACTATGTAGGTAGTGCTTATTTTGGCCAAAGATTTAATATATATACGTACACGTGTATGCAAATTAAAGAACAAAATAAACCAATCCGCCCATTGCATAATGTCCAATCTAGAATACAACCGGATTACGATGCCGTCAGAGCATTCTGTCTTCATTTATTTCTACGTTGCCAGGTTTATACTTCCCATTCGTAAATCACGCATTCTCACTACGAAGACCCAGAGATAAGTGAATTGCATTACAGCCTGATTAATGTTTATTCTTGAATCTTGCGTATGCAATTCTGTCTCTTCCCATAAATATTATTTCTGTGTTATGACACTCTCTTGTAATGGTAATTTATTTATTTATATCTATTTAGTATATTTAATTAGATATTTAAGCCAACCAAATTATTCTTATCTCTATATTAGATGAAAGTGAAATAAATCGCATAAAAAGTATTATTGTTATGTTACTCATGATACATTCTGTGAGTAAAAAGATACAACCATAGATATCGTCCGCAATAATATGTTGTCATATTTACGTGTTTATTAGATTATATTGTCAGCAACGCATAAGCCACTCGTGCCTTTTATGATAGCGATGAATCATACGATTTACTACTCTATAAAATAAGAACTCCAACAGATGTTAACTCACAAGGAACTGGCGCCATATGTATCATATATAATGCACCAGACTCCTATGATGCCGCGCTTACTATATAGTATACTGCAATTATAGACTTTCTAATGCAAATTACGTATGATCGAATCAATAGTCGGCAACGTGCAGTCTGTTCCAAGGACTCTAACTCGCCTCCTACACTTAGTACTGTTTTATTACCTGCAACATGAGCCACGATGAGATGTAATGTCTCAATTAGCTTGCAGTCAAAATCGCATGTTACACTTCTATTAAATGAAGGTGAAATCTATAGAGCGAAGTGGTCGGCAACGAGCAGCTCCGGTCTTACATTTCAACTAACCACTAACAACCTCTTGTTAGCACCTATTGAGACTTCTTACGTCATATTGTCGATTACGCCGGTCTCTGACCGAACGTAATCTAATGAGTTCTTTACAACGCCAATCCAAATGGAAATCTTCGTATACTTAAATCGGTTTTAATGAGCCGTGTTTATTCTGCAAAAAATACCTGTCTCTATCGCTCACGAATCATATTGATATTAGAAATCATTACTTGCGCGTGACTAGCCGCCCTAACGGTAACAATTGTCTGTCTAATGAGAACCGAGATAAGACTGCGGGTTGTAGATTAAATAAACGTATGTACAGTTCAAGTCAGCATCTGCGGGATGTAATAACACAAGAGCCATTACGTAGGAGGCGATAAAATGTGTACAATAACCGGTGCTGTGTGTGTAGATCGCTATAGTTGACTACACAACAGATATATAGGTGGCAGCGACATGCTTCACAAGTCACCCGACATCCGCCGCCCGCCACGCCTTTTCCGATTGCTTCTTTTTTCCTGCCGAGTCGCACCAGTCTCATATCCCACCATTACCCATGTGACATATCTGATTTTAATGCGCCCACGTCTTGTTCCTCATAAAACGCATAACATTTGGTATAATAGTTTCGCTCCTATCACAAACATTGTCTCTACACTGTTAGTGTCGCCTTCCCCTATTGTTCATGTCTCGTGCACGTACTATTTCATCATCATCGTTTTCGATTTATGTGAAATGGAGACACGCGTCCACATGTTCAACAACATTACCATTTAATATTTATTGTATTGGCGTGGAGCTTTCATTTTGGCTCGCCCGTAGTTCCTTAAACAACGAGCGATTATCGATGCGCGTATTGTTTCGCGATATTTGGCATGTACACCACGTCTCAGTGCGTCGCATCGGGTATACAATGGACGTATTTGAAGCACGTGCTGCGGCCGCATTGATCGTTGCCGGGCGTCGTCAGGTGACTTTGTCTCTTATAGATTAGCATAAGCGCGAGTGCACTTCGTGATCGTTATCAATTTGTCCCGACAACAGCTTAAAGCCAGGTCTCCCAGTATTGTCTTGTCTTTTCAGCTGTCATTTGCTTGCCAGCGATGCTTTGTTCCACAAACTACACTGCTGCTTCTTTGTCTGTTGATTGACTGCGTGTAGGAGCGATTAAATCTAGATAATTGCATCGCCAAGGTCTTCCACGAAGTCGACATTTAGACGGGCGGCCCTCATCCTTCAACGAGCCTTTTGATTCGCGTAATGAGACGGGTGCGAGTGCGCCGCGTCCGCATAAATCTGAGATAATGGTGTAGGAGCGTGAGAGTCCACAGTCGTGCCACGTTAGTTTACGTAATAAGTGGATACATTGAAATAACTTATCTCATTTTGTCATAGTCGTATTATGCCTAATTTTCCCAGTTGTACATTTTGAGGATGATAAGATACACCAGAATTAAAACAGCATTTCTTGCATTTTGGTATTTCGGCATAAAATAGGTAATCACACGTCACTGACTAACTCTTATGTTTGACTATTAAATATTTATCTATAGCCCTATGTTTATAAACTTGTTGCTTGAAGTAAATAAATATTAGCACGACTACTCAGGAAAAATAATATACTTATGTATAGATATGTATAATATACTAAGTCATTAAAATTTGTTATTTTTTCCCCTACGCTCTATGAAAAAATATTGCAATAGCGAACATTCATCAAACGATCACTGGCTTGGCGATTTGCTACAGACAAAACTGAGTGAACATAACCTGATTTTGGTCTGTAGGGAGTGGATTATATGCAGAATAGTTGTAACAGGATCTTGTAGGAGGCACTGTATATTTTACAAAGTAATTAATGTTATGTTTATAAGCAATAGAAACCACTTTACGCTAATTTGCAATCAGCATATATACCATTCTCAGTAGTATAAAACAAACAAAACTGATGAAGTTATTAAACCTTTAGATGCAAGACAAAGAACGTGAAGTTAATAAGTTTTTGTATACCTCTAAACATACTTTATGATAAACCGCCATAGGTAAGTTATTTCCCCATCGACAATAATGGTAATGCACTCCACACGATTAGCTCGGGGGCTATGCCATGATGCTAGAGCAGCTGCTAAACGGCTCATTTTCGTTCACGTTCTCCAAAGAGGTAAGGTGAAAAGCCGACGTCATTGTTCGCCGAGATGAGACATATCTCGATGCTAGATGCGGATACTGGCGAGATACGTTTAAAAAAACAAAAGCTATTGTGTCGCGTGCCTGACACATGTGGAGCGTAATACGAGTCTGATTTTAATTGGAACGTTTTTTCTGTCACGCAACATGTGTCCCGAGCGATGGAAACAAAGCGCCGGCAAACAACTAATTGACGTCTGATACACGCGTGACACGGCACCATAGATAAATAGTAGTGATTCTAAAGAAACTCTATTTACAAGAGAGAATAGTCAGTCACATAAAGATTTATTGTTTTTTTTTTTTCAGGTATCTTCACGGTAATGTGCTACAATGTACTCTGTGACAAATATGCAACTAGACAGATGTACGGCTACTGTCCTAGTTGGGCTTTAGAATGGGATTACCGAAAGAAAGGTATTTTGGACGAAATAAGACATTACTCCGCAGACATCATTAGCTTACAGGTTAGTAATTTGACTGATTATTGTTTATCAAATAACAATATAACAAATTTATTATTAATCATAATATAATTACGGTCTCGAGAATTTGAATTAGTCTGAAGGATTCTGAAGTTTCGACACAACCGTGCTATTATTTGTCAGTTCTGATGCAATTCTCTCGACCGTATTGTATTGTGTTCATTTTATATATTTTAAGAATAATTGCTATACCAATGTAATAGAAGGTGACTATACGTAGTCGTTTGTACCTATAGATAATTTTGCGACAAGAATTGAAATAAAAATATTATGTTTATACTACAATATGAAGAAGTTTGTGTACTATTATATTCTAGTTTGAAAAATTAGCTATGGCAATAACAGTTTTTTTAAATGCGTGATAATAGTATGGTGACCCCACCTGCGCTATCGGTATACACTGGCGGGGCTCTAGTTAGAGATGACAGATGAGGATGAAAGCAGGTCAGTTAGCCCATCCTGACGAATTCAACTAGAATTAAACACGATGGTTTCCAGGGGGACCCACGTGGATGTCGACCTGATACGATATATTGCTAGTAATGGGGCTATTTGACCCCATTACTAACAATCCCTTTCCCCCCTGGCAATAACAGTTGGCAACATACTAGAGATGTCTCTGTTCTAACCGTGATGATTGCTTATTATCACGCGGACCGTACGAATGTTTGATTGCCGTCCTTATTGCTTTTTTCTACTCGTCTACGTTAATATTTATAAAAAGGTTTTATTGGTTATTCGTTTGTTTGTAATAGATAAATTAAAAAACCTGTCGACCGATTTTAAAATTCTTACACTTGTAGAAAACTAGGTACATTATCTGCAAGTAACATAGACTATATATTATTTTCGAAAGGTCTATCTACCTGTGCGAATTCGGACCGGATTACTAGTATATAAATAACAATTAAATATAGTTCGTTGGTAACCACATAACTTGTCAGCAAGACAGATTTGACTAACTTTCAACAGACTTAAAAAAAGAAGAAAGTTTTCAATTCGGTTGTATTTTTTTATGTTTGTTACCTGGTAACTCCGTCATTTATAAATCGATATGATATTTTTTATTTAAAATAACGTACTTCCAGATTGGTCCCATAGAAATTTTGTCAAAATCGGTTCATTATTTATTTTTAAAATAAAAATAATGTCCATAAGAACCTAATTAAGATTTTTAGGATAATAATTAACTAATATTTGAATGCTATTATGTTGTTAACAGGAGGTGGAGACAGACCAGTTCTACAATTTCTTCCTGCCAGAATTAAAACAGGACGGTTACGATGGCATCTTTTCACCCAAGTCTCGTGCAAAGACCATGTCTGAGTCGGAAAGGAAGTATGTCGATGGATGCGCTATATTCTTTAGATCTGCCAAGTAAGTGTGTTGCCATTATACTAATATTCAAATCAAACGTCATTAGAAAGAAAGTTACTGGTTTTCCTTAGCTGATTTTTTTATATACACATTTTTATTATTGTATAAAAAAAAAGAAATTTGTATGATATTTACAATGTCTTTTTTTTTTCAGGTTTTCTTTAGTAAAAGAGCACCTAATAGAGTTCAATCAATTAGCAATGGCGAATAGTGAAGGTTCAGACAATATGTTAAATCGTGTTATGCCGAAGGATAATATAGGATTAGCAGCGTTGATAAAAACGAAAGAAGCGGCCTGGGAAAATGGTATGTATTACATCCAGTTATAGTCTTTTTTAACAAAATTCAAAGGAAATTGTTGTTTTAGTCATCATCATCTTCCTACCTTTATCCCAATTATATAAATTTTGAGGTTTACGTAACATGTTTATATCCATATTACCAAGGCTTTGGCTTTTAGTTTTACGACCAGCCGCCTGCCAAATTAAATTAAATTGTATCTAAATGTATCAAATTTCTATAAACAAGTAACTATAAATAAAATTTAAAGCACTGTGAATTAATTGTTTTCTCACAAATTGAGGAAAGGTAGGTACTTCTGTAAGTCTCCTCAGTTAGCCGTTCTTTTGATTAAATTCTCTTAGAAAATAATCAGCTTCTATTGCTTTATTTTCGAACTCGATAATATTATACTATACCTCAAAGGCAGAGTTACTAACAAATTTACTACTAAATTTACCACCCATCTGGTAGTAAACGGTTACTGCATAACGTTGCCGTACGGACTCGTCATGTTTGCATTGCCAGACTCAAACACTAATTATGCTCTTTAGCATAATTATTCTTTATTATAAGTATTATTGAAGACGGAAAAAGATCCTTATAGCATTTATCTCTAGGAATTGAGAGCGCTTCCACATTGCAGGATTATAATGAAACTAGCTTTTATCTGTAACTTCGTCTGAGTGACTTCGTCTGTTTACCAGAATATGTTAATTCTGGTAAACAGGGATAAATAATGTGTCTCTTTAGACAATGCTTTAGCTACACCTTTGATATCACTTATCGTCAATTGAAACGTATGCTTGTTTATTGTTTTTTATTTTTTTGTATAAAATGTGTATATACCAGTTTTCGTTACGATTGGTCAAGCCAAGAAGTCACCGACAAATAACCATACTCGCTGTTTCAATTATAACATCAATAAAGATATTGATATCCTAAATAATTTTGCTTACAGGAATACCAACAGATTCATCAATGCTCGGTCAACCAATTCTGGTGTGCACCGCGCACATTCACTGGGATCCGGAATTTTGTGACGTGAAACTGATCCAAACAATGATGCTTAGCAACGAGTTACGCACCATACTGGACGACTCGGCGCGGACGCTACGCCTCGCTGGTCAGCGCGACAACGTGCAACTACTGCTTTGCGGTGACTTTAATTCGCTCCCCGACAGTGGTCAGTATTGTGTGTCGAACACACTGTCAAGAAACCCTATACATTTATTGTCTTCTTGCTCTAATAACAATTATAAGGGGTCGACGTTGTCTCTTCCATTCATCTCTATTCGCAATCATTTCTGCATTCATTACTATTCTAGCTAAATCACCTTTATTTTTTTTTCTTTTCCTCTACTCCCACATCCACACTCACGCCCAACAGACAAATGGTAAACAATTCCCTGTCTAATATATATTTTATTCAAGGTTTGGTGGCATTCAAATTTGGGCTTCGTTTGAAAGTAAATTTCTACTGCTGCTCATAAACTATAAGTACTATACTGTTTTTTATGATAAGAGGATATCGACTCACACCACCTAATAATTTTACTCCCACATTTCACCGACCAAACTGAAACTTACTCTTCAAGGAAAAGTTGCATTGCGTTCATAATATACCTTACTTTTGACGACATCCGTGCGCATCGGTAGAGACTTTGTTTTGCATAATGAAGTGCCGGGTTCGATTCCCGGCCAGGCAAATTTAGGGAACGAACTTTTATAATTTGACTCGGGGCCAGATGTACTGGGTTTTGTCTCCAGATGTACTTTACCTGGTTGCTCATAACACATTATTCTAGCTTGAGGAGCAGATTTTGTGACATTTATACTTATTATTTGGCCGTCGTGTTTACAGGAGTAGTGGAGTTCCTGTCATCAGGCCGCGTGCCGGCCGACCATCGCGACTTCAAGGAACTCGGGTACGCGACCTCTCTGAGGCGCATGCCCAGCTCCGAACGGGAGTTCACGCACAACTTCAAGCTTGCATCAGCGTATAGCGAAGATATCATGCCCTACACTAACTATACGTGAGTAGATCCTTATCTTTAACGTAACCTCTCCGTACGCAGTCCAGATTTTTATACCATTGTTAGTGAAGTGACAACTGTATTGTCACTGGGGATACAAATAATAATAGAATAGATCAATGACTTAGAATCGAAAATTTATAAAACTTAATACTTTATATAGACACTATCCACTACCGTTGTTTCAACTGTGATGCTTTATTGTTTTTTGCTGAACCAACCTACATCACCCACCATGATCGTAACATAAGTGTACACGAAGTAAATTTAATTATTTCTTCATGTTTCTATCTTCTTAGTAATTAAGTTCAAACATAGAAAATACGAAAAGGCTGTTGCCTGTGAGCCCAAGTCATTTTGTGTTCCATCTCTTTCCAAGTTTCAAATAAGAGCAAAATCGTTGCATATCTAACGGAGCCTGCTTATATCGAGATTCATAAGCCTCGCTACTCAATCAATCAATTTGGTTGACATTGTAAAAAGTGACAGACTGAGGCCTAATACGTAGAAAGAAGATATATGTATAGGTATTATTCTTAATATATGAACAATACATAGCAGTTGCAAAAATAAATGTTTAATTTACATGCCCGAAATTTAGAATGAAAATTTAATTGCAGATTTCGAGTTTCTTTATTTATTTCCTTAGTGTATAATTTTGTACAATGAATTCAAGATTGTTATCGTAATTTGTATTCGTAACTCTATCAAATTGACCTTTTATTCTATAGAACACGACCGCGGGCAAATACGAGTAATTACGTTATGTATACATATTTACACCATATTGTTTGCAGGCACCAGTTGCTTTTCAAAAGAGGCTTTTTTGTTTTTATATGATTTTCACTATTTATTTATTCTTTATTGACTACATTACAAAAGAAATGTCTAGTACAAAAGGCGGACTTAATACTATATAGCATTCTCTCCCAGTCAACCTTTGGCAAAACAGAAATGTAATTATGCGGTGAAAAAATTTAAAATTGTTGCAGATAAACAATTACACGTACGTATCGATATTGACTTCATTGAATAAACTGGAGAATTAAACAACAATGGAGAACTACTGCACATTATGATTATATAAATATACACACATGAATACATTAAACAAATATTACTTACATATACAAATACGAGTATGTGTCATAAAAACATACATATTTTATACATATACATTTACTACATATCCATGGAAATAAAATACCTACCTATGAAGAAGGTTATTATTGATATAAAACTGATTATCATGTTTTTTTTTTGATGGGTGAAAATGGTATGGTAACCCCGCTTGCGCTAACGGGATACGCTGGCGGAGCACCAGTAAAGGGTGATAGATGAGAATGAAAACAGGCCAGTTAGCCCATCATGATGAATTCATCAGGAATTAATCATGATAGTTTCCAGGGGGAACCGCGAGGAGGTCGACTTGGTTGGGTATATTGCTAGCAATGAGATTCTCAGTCTCCATTACTAACAATCCCTTTCCCCCCAACTGATTATCATTATCATTCATCATTTCTGGCATTATCCGTACACTGCTGGACATAAGCCTCCCCCATAGACTGCCATAAAGAACGGTCCTGGGCCACCTGTACTTATTATAATTAGTAGTATTTACATAAGACCCTTATCTCTGGTATTGCAGGCGTTCATAGGCTACGGTAACCGCTTACCATCAGGTAGGCCGTATGCTTGTGCCACCTCAGTGGTATATCTATGGACAAAGATTATCTATTAAGCACTGCATTATCACCTCCGTAGAAGATGCATTGTCCTTACTACTTTTTTAATACTCCTGTTAAAAGTATGTGAAATTCTTGAATATTTACTATTCAGTTACTTGATGTAATTGAATATTCAATTATTTGTTAACCTCAATACATACTGAGTTATAATTTCAACTTTGATAGTGTTTTTCACATTTCCCATTTGAACGGTCAATCACCCCTATAGCTAAGAAATACTACATTTAACGATTACTTTCCACATTAGTTTTCATTCGATCGCGATTCGATAAATTTAAGCTTGGAACATATTACACCCATACCTGTTGTAGGGCATTCGTTGTCTAATTGCATTAAGGAATACATTCGTTTTCTTTTAATATAAATATGGTTTTTTTTTTGTTTGGACATTACTGTATAAGCACAGCGATGACTATGTTTATTGGCCACTGTTTCCTTTCGATAAGAAGGTCTGTCAACTTTTTTGTCATTACAAGTCGTTTATAAAAAACGCTTCTGTTTAATTCTTTACTATAAATCCACCGTGAAATATTTAGGAATGACTTTTACAATCGCCATAATGCGCGCGAGCCTTTACAATGCAAAACAAAGTCCGTCGACCCCAGCTCACCTATCATTAATTATGTCAGTTACAAGTTGAGATATTATAACGAGTATAATAACATCAGTGGCTAACGACGCGCACACACGCGACCATTACACGACCGGGCCCAATTTTGTGAGCACCCGACAGCTACTCGCGTTTCGATTCCGCGTATCGCTTTAGTTAGGGTCGGATTACAATGAAACTTTTTTTAATGAATGATAATGAAATGGTAACCCCGCCTGCGCTATTAGTCTACAATGACATAGTACCAGTTTTTTTTTAATAGGTGATAATGGTATGGTAACCCCGTCTGCGCTATTGGTATACACTGGCGGGGCACCAGTGAGGGATGATAGATGAAGATGAAAGTAGGTCAGTTCGCCCATCCTGACGAATTAAACTAGAATTAGTCACGATGGTTTCCAGGGGGAACCACGTGGAGGTCGACCTGACAGGGTATATTGCTAGTAATAGGGCTATTTGATCCCATTACTAGCAATCCCTTTCCCCCCGACATAGTACCAGTTGGTGATAATGAAATCGTGACGAAGTCACCAGGCATTAATCATAATGGTTTCCAGTGGGAAGCGTATGGAGGTCAATTTGACAAAACTGCTAGTATTAAGGAAGCTAGCCCTCATTACTAATAATTTATCTTATCTTATTCCGTATTTGAATCTAGTTTTTTCCTGTCACACTTGAACACATTGTGGTCTTGTATCTTTTTTTTATACAACTTAGAATGGCAAACAAGCTGACGGCCCAAGTCCCAAGGCCCAAGACGGAAAAGTGATAACCGTTGCCTATAGACATGAACAGGGCCATGGACATAACAGAGTATACTGTTTCGCCCATGATACCCCCCATGTATTGCTGTTCCTAAAGACTCAGGTGTTATTCTCTGTACCCTATAAATTCACTGCTATATCCCACCCTTCAAACCGAAACACAGCAATACAAACACAACTGCTTCACGGTAGAAACACGAATGGGACAGAAGTGCCCAAGCAAACGACTTTTTTACAGTCTCCCTATGATAATCTGTAATAGCCTTATAGGATCCCATAGCTTGAGATATCAGTGTACACTTTTGGTTTCAGCTGTTCCATTACCAGGAGAATTGCATATTTAAATGTTTCATTAACTTATAAATAAAAAAAAAAAACACTTGGAACGAGAACAAGCATGTAGATAACCTTCAAATATTGTAGTACAAATGGGACACTTAGTTGCTTAAATCAAACGTGTTGCTAAGCTGAGTCTACTGGATTTTGTTATCAGTGTTGTCCGTTGTAAGAAATTTAATTAACGATATTTTTTGTTTATATCTGCTAGAGTCAACTTCGTGACCTTATAACCTATGTGGTCGATAACTTGGTGTAACTCGGCCACAACGCTTCCGTATTTTGATATGTTCGTATCACCGTGTAGTCTTGGCATTGCACGGACCACACTTTCCCGTGGGTGTCGTAAGAGGCGACTAAGGGAATTTAATGCTCGAAGGATAGGCGACAGCGTCCCTCTTAAACCATCACTAAAGCCTAACTGCGATTACCAACCCGCCTATCAGGCATTGGAACTACTGGCAAAACCCCCCTTTATGGGGGAGGCCTATATTCAGCAGTGGCTGATATGATAATGATGATGATTTGTATAACTATATATCCGAAAACCACTTAATTCAATAATGTAATGTTGATTTAATGCATCCTATGATAGTATTCTGTTAAAGGGGTGGAGTATATTTCTAATTGTTTACCTATATTAAATTAGTGTATATGTACTTTATTATTTTTATATTAAATATTTTAAATACTGGCAAACTCTCTTTGTAAGTTTCTGGGCGACATTGCTTCCTATCAGGTCGATTGTCAACTCCATAGATCCTTCCATAATACTGGTATTGTGGAAAGCTATATGAATTAATCCATAATATTGATATTTATTAACGAAACATACTAATCATGTGCATTTTTTGTTTCAGCTTCGATTTCAAAGGTATAATCGACTACATATTCTATAGCAAGCAGTCGATGACGCCCCTCGGTCTCCTGGGGCCACTCTCGCAAGACTGGTTCAGGGAACACAAGGTCGTCGGCTGTCCACACCCTCACATACCGTCAGGTAACGTTAAAAACACTAAAATACACTAAAATTCATATTGTCCTAGTATATTTACGTGAAGTAAATAAAAATAATATTTGTTTTTAAATTTGAATCTATACAAATGTCGTCTGCATTGCTGTCTCTCAACCCAATATATAGATATCTATATATTGGGTAATGGTATGGGTAATCCCACGCCTACTTTTTAAGTTAAAAAACTTCTTCGCAATCAGAAATATGTCTATTTAGTTGGACCAGATTTTGACTGTAACAATATTTAATCGTACACTATCAAACGTCATTCTCTTCCCCACAGATCACTTCCCGCTACTGGTGGAGCTGGAGATGTGCCCGAGCGCGAGCGGCAACTCCAACGGCCTCATCGGACGCAGGTAGCACGCGTCGCCGCGCGCCGCCCGTCGTCGACACGCCCGCGACGCGAGGGACCCGCCCAACAAGTCCACCTAGCAGCTCCAACCACCCCGCGATACTCGACGTCCGATGCGAACGAAGCCCCCTCCACACGAGCGACGCTTTACCACCACTACAGTCAGCGGCAAGTAACGTTGACAATCTCTCGTATTAAATACATTTATATTCGTAAAATTGACACTGCACAAAACTATAAATTGTGCCCGAGTTATTTGTCGCACGATTAGAAAGAGATAGAACATTATTATTTTTAGTTTGAGTTATCTCTTTCTAATCGCACGCACGTGGTAAAGTAACGTATCTGTGGCGTCGGCTCGAGAGATAAGCATCTATGTGGCTAATTTTATCGAGAAGGTATTTATAGAAACGATTAGGAAATTGTATTTTGTAACGTGTCAATTTGTAACAATTTCATAATCGCTTCATAGACCCATATGTGCCTATCTTAATGCCGTAGAGGACTTGCCGAACCGTTATATATGTTGAACGTGTATAGATTTATAAACGTGACTGTATATAGGTATGTTCGATATAGAAAGTCGTTAGTGGGTTTTGTACCTAAACGGGAGGAATGCGTTAGTACTCTGCCCTTAATCGTCTCTTTGTATATTTTTACATGAAATCTAATTTTATCAGTATTCCAAATCGTATAACGCATTCCTCCCGTGTGTATGTTCGTGTGTAACTCTAATATTGTACAATTTGTATGTGCTAATGCTGATATACATACCGAGCGTTTACTTTTCACTGGACCGTTGGTACGTTAGTACTGTTCTTAGGCCGTTAACATGACATGCAAGTAGTTTAGTGTCGACTTTTGTTTGCTCAATTGTTATATATGAATTTGACACGAAGTAGTGTAAGCTTCGAACAAAGGAACAACATGGTTATTTACATTTGTATTAGTTTATTGAAATAGCTTTCCAGTGATAAGGAAACACTAATTGAGATGTTTACAAACAAATCATGTAGGAATCAAAGTAGAATGTTTTAATGTTATTTTCTCTGTCTGTATTAGTCCAGCTTGTGCAATCGCATTTCCCCTACACATTTCATAATGGTTTCTCATAAGAATCCGAATATGTAAGTATGTAGATGTAATTGAAATTGGTTCAATAAATAAAAAAAAAAAAACGAGTGGAACCCATTCGGAATTACGCTTATTGTGTCAATAAAATGATATTTAAAAACGATAAAGATGAAATATTTTTCCAATCTAGTTGGTCGGCAGATTTACGCTTAGTTTCCATTGACTGTACAGTAGAGGAATGTATGGTAAGTGTGAGAAATTAATGTTAGTTGATTACGAATCTCAATTCCAAACGTAGATGGCGTTACGGTATTCGAATGATTTGTCTAAGAAGCTTAGAGTCAAATAGAGATTGCAACGTGGATACAAAATTTGAAATCACATCAAATTTCTCTATTTCAGTATCATCAGTTCGGCTCTAGCAAAATCTATCAATATATACATTTTCGTCACTACGCGCATGGGAAAGAACAAGCCAAATATCACTGTCTCGTTCTATCTCATACATACGATAGAGAGAACACATCTGTCGATAGTTATGTTGCCACATATCTAAGATAACAGGATGAAGGATAATCGACATAGTAGAAGTAATTGATATCTCTCAATTCTATTTACGTCGGTTAAAATATAAGTGAGATGCAAGACACCTAAAGATCATACGAGTTAAAAATTTATATGTTCAGTTTTGTGTTAACGGCGCAATCTCAAATTTATTACGGGCTTCTTGGAATCCCGCGCCATCTTCATTTAGAATTGACTTTACGCAATCCGCTAATGACTTTTATATATTCATCAGTAAGTATTGAGAGGAATGATAATATGACGTCCTTGTGTGGGAGTGTGTCAAACGTCCATTTACCAATTAGGGTTTTAAATTCCTCCACTGTATATTGTTTAGACGATATTTTATTGGAAGTATAATGCAATATGTGGATGTCGTGGTGCGAGCAATCGGGAAACCTGTCTTATTTGCGGACTACGGGCGTTGTATACTCTTATCCATACCTTTTTTCTTTATTTAAAATTTGAGTATAATATATATATATATAATAAAATACCTAGTTACTAGACTACCTACAAGATACTTGCCAGTAGTTTAAATATATTTTTTTCTTCAGAGTTTAGAATAATTATCATCACAATTTTCTGTCTTTTTCTCCTCTTAAGATAAAATTATCACTATCAAATATGGGCTGTACTAAACATTTTAAGAACAGGTGGCAGCACATTCGTTCACCGTGATGCCCGTCTCCACACACATTTAATACTAAAATTTATTGTCAGCATACAACTTCGGCAGTGAACGTGCAATTCGCTCGTAAACCGTAAGCGTAGATAGTTTCCCCCTTGCTCGACCGCATTTTTTGTAGTACGGTGTGATCAGTGAGACTAGAATAGATGGCGCTCTTGTAACATTTGACTTTGTATCTCTGTTGTATTTTACTTTTTGACGTCAGTGTCTCAGCTATTATTATATATACAATATTATGAATACGTCGAACCGACCTTGTGGTGTTTAACGTTATCAAGTTTGAATCAAGAATCTTAAAACCAAATAAACTATGCAGCATGGACACCGAATTAATGCCAATAAATTTACAATTTTGAACTTGTCATATTTCTCTTTCTTGCGAAGTCACTGTTGAGTGTAAATGGAATGAAAGTTAACTCGTCGTGGTTTAGCATCTCTTTCTATCTATTCTTCACTATATATTTAGGAATGTAACTTAGGTTACTTTATTGGCTTCAATTTTGTATTCACGGTACCTTATTGATATGGTTATAGGTTTCTTAGTTCGAATTCTATTATATTGAGAGATAGATGGCGTTGCGCGTACGTTTCTTAGGTTCTATACGAGTTTACAAAGTTGTATAGGTACAAACTGTTTTCTCTGTATAGACCTGAACTATACATCTATATCCATGCGTACTATATAAAAATGCACTTTAAATAGTCAATATTAAAGCGCAATTTCATTGGCATCGCTTACGGCCGGGTTTGTATATTTACTGTCGAAAATCTTTATAATCTAATAGATATTCGATTTATTTTTGATACTTAATTACCTATTTGGAAATTTTATAGATCATTATTAATCGAACACTGCCTGTATAGTGACATCACATGAGTGCAATAAAGTTAATATCTAAGTGATAGTGCGTGATATTCAATAATGTTTATAAATAGCAGCTATGTCTGCGCGTACGCATCGTATTGTTTTTAATTATGTTTTATATTTTAGCGCCATATTTATAAATTAAATAAGTGTGACATCAAGATATAAGATTTTTTTTTATGTAGTGGACGACTTTTTATTTACAAATAAAAATAATAAGGTTTTTTTTTTTAACAGAAGATGCTTTTATTGATAGGTCGTAAGAGCAGGAAGTAACATAGTTTAAAAATATTCGAGACTTCATACTAAAAGTATTGGGTCTTGTTGGTTTTTTAAATTTATATATTTTTCTCTTTTTAAGGCCTCTAAATTTGAGCATCTTTAATATTTATTATTTTATTGTATTTTTTTTTTTTTTGAATTAGTATTTAACTATGAAATAGGGATGTGTAATAATATATTCATCACGTACACATGGCGGTGTTATTTTTAATAATTTATACTTAAAGGTTTAAAAATCATAATTGCCTTAAACAGTCAATATTTCATTATTACATATTGATAGATCTTGAACACTGGTTAATCCAACACTTTCTATGTTTGATAAGATTTTAAGCATTAATTATTCATTCCGATTCTTTATGTAACCAAATGTCGTCAGCATAAATTGCAGTTTTCTCTAACTGATATGTATTACATGCTGTCTCACTGATCGGTGTGTGTAGTGACTGGTTAGATGTTAGTGGGCGTTACTGTAGTAAGCGTGATGGCGTTCGGTTCGGTGGTCGCGGTGTCGGAAGGTCGTGGTCCGCGTTGACAAGTTGCGTGTTGCGTTACACGTTTCGGCGTGTCGCGGTACGGTGTAGCGACGTCGCTCTGGCGGCGTCTAGAACAAAGCTCGGCAGTGGTCGCCTAGTGTTCGGCGATCGCGATTAGGTTAATGTGACATTGTGTGTACCAACAAACATCTCAGCGAGACTTATAAATCCCCCCCCCCCCCTTCCCCTCCAAAGTTGTCCTATTCCGTTTTTTTTTTATATATATATATAAACGTCTCTGTACGTTAGTCGTGATTTCGTAGCGTAGTGTAAGTCTTGAGTTTTTATAAATGTTCTCCGCAGTGCCCGCCAGCGGACATCCCCTCTATATATTAAGTAGGTTACGTGAAGGTCGAGACCCCTCCCCCCATTTGTTTTAATTCACAAATTTATCATTAGTTTATAAGATTTGACTTCGTTGGTAGAAAGCAGTATTCACCTAGAGAGTGGTCCGATCAAAATTACGAATGTTAGTTGCATTTTATTTTTAGATTTAGTAAGTTTTAATTGATGATCCGGGGGTGTCCGACGGTGGACAGCGTCCCTTAACGAATAGCGGGTAGCATACTGACGTAGTACAAATGTATGTGTGAGTGTTGGTATATTTCTCGAGTGATGTCTTGTAGACTTGGTTGTAGTCCATCTCTGACTTTGCAAATGACGGATGCGACGTTGCCATGTTTTGTGGACAGTAATTAGTGAATCGCGAGACGGACAAATGGATTGATTCAAACTATCGTGTTTAATGTAATCATTTGATGCCAACAAAAAGTTTGTCAAATAGTAATGTACAATTTGGATTTATATACTGTTATAATTTAAATAAAAACGGTTTCATAGTTCAAATTAAGTTTCACATACTAACAATTATTAAAAATGTTAGAAATTTTTACAGTAAAAATTAACTCTTCAAAGGTGTCGTGAAGACGTCAAATGACGCATTATCAAAAATATTAACTTTCAAATAAAAACTCCTTTACAAATGAAACGTGTAAAATAATGAATGTTTGACCAACTTCTGAAACCACTACAAAAGGTCACAATCACGTGGATTGTGTGACCTTTTGTAGTGGTTTCACTCACCACCGGTGGATTGAATCACTGCGTAAATTTCAATCATTTATTTGATTTATCTGTCTCGCGTTCTCCTAAGATTGTTCGTCGTGACATGCTCCGAGGTCGTAGCGCTAGTAGGCGTGGTGTCGGCGCGCGAGCCACGTCGATCGGGGGGTTAAAAAAGCGGCTTTACGCGAATCGTTTTATATTTCGTGCTAAGCAGATTTTTCAACCCTCAGATAGCTTGTCCTAGTCATGCACTGAGATTGGCAGCTGTTTCGGCTGTATGCAGACCTGCTTTGGTCCCAATACAACGGAACGTAAACGACCAATCGCAGGCACACAGTCCTCGTTGTGAAGCGTTAGTTGTCGAGTAGTGATATTTACAATGTGACAAATCATCTTAAATAAATTTTGGACCACTGCATAGTTGTAACTACGCTTATATATTGTCCTCCCCCATTGGAATAATTTATAATCGAATAATTAATTTTGAATATTTTTTATTAAATTATATTATTAATTATTATTATTATTATGTATATCAATCGATAGGTGCTGTTGTATTTAATTTTTAAATGTTACTAACGCAATTGTGATAGAAATAACGTCTCTCTTGTAATCTATCGGGTGAATGGAAAAATTATGCCAAAACATGAAAAGGGTATATTAAACATTACTTTTAGGATAAATGGAGTTAAAATGAAGTTTTATACTAATCAAATTTTACTACTGACACTGTATAATTTTCTAAGTACAGATAGTTTTAAAAATCATATCATGATGATCTTGTTCTAGAGTTTGTGTAAAATAGTGTAGGATATTAAGACTGTCGTCATGTGCGGGGCTTGGTATTCTTTTACACCTTTGATAGTACAAACATCACAATATCTGAAGACAATTGGCGAGCGATTTTATTGCTAAATACAGTTACACTTCAGTATTGGCGAAGTGAAATTAATTATTTTGTAGATCACGTATGTTTTTTTCATTGATTTTTAATGTGTTGTCCCATTGTATTGAGTTGTAAAATGTTTCGTAAATGTAAATATTTTTTTCGTTAGTCTAAGGCGTGAACGTATTTAGAAATAGAATCGATGTCGCCTATCAGGGCCTTCAGAATGATTAAGCTATTTACAAGTGTCAAGCGTGAAAGAATTCCAGGTCGCAGCGTTTCAATTTGCCTTTATTGTGCTCTACAATCGGAATGTATAAATTTAAATGACGCTAATATACACTAGTGACGCTAGTAACCACTAATGACACTACTATTTACTGGTGACTCTAGTAAATATTAGTGATAATAGGATAGTGTCCCTAGTGACGCTAGATTCCACTAGTGATGTTAATATTAACAAGTCATCCTAGTTAACCACTAATGACACTAGTATTTACTAATGACGCTAGTAACTACTATTGATGCTAGACTATACTAGCACCAAGGACACTAGTCCCTAGTGACGCTAGTATTTACTAATGGCGCTAGTAACCACTAGGGAGTTAGTAACACTAGTATTCACTGGTGACACTAGTAATCCCCCAAAATTCCACTGTTTCTACATAATAAATTGCATTTATAATTTCCTTTTTTTGCATAATAACAGTAATTTTCAATATACATAGAATACAATACAGTTAAAGAAGTGGTAATATTTGGCTTTACTGAATCAGACTGTATTCTGAGTCATACTTACGCGCAATAAAAAAAAATACAGTTTTAAATAAAGAACACTCCCGTATTATTAGATGCATAGTTGACTCAGTATTCAAACAAATCAAAGGAACACTACGATGCGTAAGTATCGCTTATGAATAACGAGAGCTTTATTGTAACAAGTTTATCTTATTTGTAGTTGAACATATATGATCTCTTTATTTTTAATAGGATTTTGATGGACATTTTTACTTAATAGTTGTAGCAGTGTGTAGTATTGAAATAGTGGAATTATGATCGCACATGTTTGTTTATATAAATATGATTGGTGTGCGAAGTAAATTCGTCGCTGTGGACATTGTGTTGTGTAAAAAATATTTTGTCGATTTATTTTTCTTCTATTTCTTCACTGTAGTTAACAGACATACTGATATTTTATTACATATTTCCGATATTAAGCTGCATCCAGATATGTGTAATTTGCAATGTATATTACCTTAGATCATATAATAATTAATTGGTCGCGAACATTCTCGTGTAGTATAACCATGTTTCCCGCATATTACAGACGTCTGGAAGCGACTTAGCCATCCAGTAAGAACATAGATTATTATAAAAAAATTACAACAAACATTACAATATTTTAGACTTCAAAGGCACACATATACGGTAATGCTAAAAACATTGCAGTATATGCCTCACAGCTCAAATTGTTCCCCAATTGTAAACCATCAAGAAATATTTGTATAGTTGTTTAGTTTTTTATAAACCACCAATTTTATATCATTTAAGTTCTTGCACTGTATATTAATTATTTTACAAAACTGATACCATCCAAACTGTATAATTTCTTTCATATACTTGCACCGTTGGAACTTCTCAAAAAGGCATTAATTTTTCAAGAACAAATTTAGTGTATTCTATTCACTGTTCCGTTAGGAGTATTAAGTATTTGTTTGTACATATTATTTGTATTGTCTTCAATTGAAATTTCATGTATGTGTAATGTGAATATGTGATAATTTATTGTAACAACAAACTACTCTCCCCCCTACTCTTCACGCAGCCAAATGATGTCCCCACGGGCTAAGTTTTGACAGGTTAAACATTGGTGGCGTCATGTTAGGCCTTTGAAATAGGCCGCCGTAAAGTTGCTTTTTTTTTATGAAATATCCGTCACAGACATAAATTTAAATAGATGTAGCAAGAAACTATTTTTTTTTAATACATGTTCCACAATTGGAATATATAAATTTAAACGATCCTAGTATACACTCTACAATTTATTAGTAGCATTAAGATTCATGCTAGTTGCACAAGTCATGCTAATTGAAACTAGTATCATTCCTAAATTCTGTGCTTCGCAAATGCATAGAATAACATACTAAACTCAAAAGAGCATATAGCCTTCTCTCTGTCGATGGTTGAATTTCCGTTAGAAGTTCCCATATAATTTCTGTTCAAAATTTAAAAGATTGATAAACATTAAAGCAATATTTTAGAAAAGTTTTGATAAAGACGTGGCTTTGCTACAATATCTGAATAGAGTTTGTGAGTAGTAAAATGTGGCGCCCTTATAAAGGAATTGTGACTTCTATTTCCCATGTATATCGATGGATCTGGCCTTTCACCTTTCCCTATCGTATCGCAACCCGTATCTTAACCCGTCAGAAATTCAGTGGGACCCCAATTAATCACCAGCGTATCTCGACCGGGAAGTTTCAACCGTGCGTGTGCGCATTGACATTTTGGATAGTGTTTCGAATTTACCACGAGAAGCCTTCATGTTGTCTGTACATTTTATTTGTAAATATGTAACTTCGATAACAATTAATGCTAAACAACGAGCGAGCCGTCGCATATTGTCAGCCGTTTGGACTTCTGCGCACACAGACAACCAACAGACGCAATACAGTTTAGTGTTAATATAAAGTAAGGTGTACCACAGACATTCCACAGGCCCTATCGAATTAGCTCAATGCAAAAGACTGTTTGAGACTTTAAAAAAAAAATAATGATATCATGATAACGAAAAAAAAAAATATTTTCTGAATCACCTTAACGACTTTACAAAATGTGTTTGATTTAATAATAAGATCCAATGTATAACTCACTAGTATGTAAGGACAAATGCTTTACGTCACTGTGATAGACAATATAAATTTATCCGAGAGAGACACCATAGACAATTATGAGGCAATTATTAAGGGGAATTAGAAAATTGTAATGTAAAAAGGAATGTTGCAGTTACTCTCAGTAGAACGGGCGCGACTCGATTTCGTAATATTTCACATCTTTCGCGTAATCTCAACGCGGTATTCTACCAAGTCATATTCATTTTATTATCATTGTTATTTTATAAGAAGAAAAAAGAATTCTCTTAAATATTCCACAGTAATGCTAACATTGGGTTCAAAATGTACTATAAATAGTAAATATTTTAAAGGCGACAGAAAAATATGATTACAATTTTACTTTTTTTTTTATATATATATGACTTTCTATATACATGATTGATTATTCTTTAAAGTATATTTTGTACACAGTTTTAACATGGCTATGATTTTACTTTTTAATATCATTAAGAAAAAAATGGAAAATTACGAAACAGGTCAGCCATTTAAAAGCAATATTTAGATGATCCAATAGCAACAGTACTTGAATAGTCATATTCTTACTTATATTTAGTGTTATTTTTAAACTTTCGTATTTAGTACACATTGTTGATATGATTTGGCGGATCTTAACACGAATTATTTAATTTTAAACAAATGTAAAATACACTAGCCACGATTAAATGAGTGTGGTAAATACTTTATTATCAATCCCATCAATCCAATTTGCGAAATCGAGTAGCAAACCGTTCATATAAAATGTAATATCAAGTACAAAGCGTATGTGCAGAAGTTCGTTCTCGGCTCGAAGCAGTGTTCGAGCGGCCAGTAGCGCGTGCATGTGTGCGTGTATGTGTACGTGCCGACAGCGGCACTTGTTGGTGTGCGGCCGCGCGGCCCGACTCTCGCGTCTCGCTGTTCTGTTTGTTGACACATTATGTATATTTGAATGAATCAAATTATAAGAGAATATGAATTTTAATACTTGAGTTTTAATTTCATTCTATACAAGGTGGAATCGAAAACATTAGCATCCTTTTAAAATTTATTCTTTAATTTTTTCTTGACACTAACCTTTATTCCATAAACATGGGAAAAATGAAAATATTGAGCACCTGTACCGATGAAAATCGTGGCGTGCTGCACTTTGAAAAGAGCTATTAAACAATGCTAATGATTTCTATTTCGCCTATACATCATTACCTTTGTTTTTAATATATCTACAAAATTAATAATTTAATATTAAAAATATAAACCTGCCATACCTGGCGTGTGAATCCGGCACAGAATAGGACACCCCTTCCTTTACCGTAGATTCATGAGAGGCGACTAAAGGAACTTAATGGTCGAGAAATGGATCACAGCGTGCTTTTAAAACATTACCAGAAGCCAAACTATGGTTGCCAACCTGTCTACGAAGTGTGGCAACTACTGGCAACAACCCTGTCCTTCTCCTTGCGGAGGAAACCTATGTTCACTAGTGGATAGTAAACGGCTAATGGCCATTCTATCAATCAGCTTGCTCACATGCAGTGTTCCAGTTTAAAAGGTAAGATATGGCTATATTATAAGGTAACTACTATGACTATGGTTTAATACTTTTTATTTATAAGAAGTCAAGACAATGACTAGTTGAGTTAGTAGAGACTGAAAAGTTCAAAATTTGCATCTACTTTTTTATGGGTATGTTATGAGATATCTTTGCCAATTTTGATAATTCTATTTATAATTCATGAGGATCACAAGTTGTTTTTTTTTTAAAGGCAATATCCAATAGATTAAAAATAATAAAATTTTATAAATTTTAAATTCTATTTTTAAATTATCTATATACATATACACTACAAATTGTTTCGACAATTAAATGTACTTAAAGACAACATCTTGGAAACTATCTACAGTTTGTATCTCAAGTGTGACCGGACACTGAAGCCAGTTTGCAAGCAGTTCTTCAGTGTAGCCAAGAAGAAAGTACATTTTTGTTGGAGACACGGCCCTTCTTATGATTGCTGCCACCCTTATATGGTTGAATTGGCGTTTAATTATTACCTGTAAAAAAAAGAACCCTTTACAATATATGTTTATGTAATAATATATAGTAAGTATCGTATATGGTGTGTATTTACTGGGTACAGATTTATAACACCTGAGTCCTCAGGAATGGTAACGCATGGGGGGTATCATGGGCGAAACAGTATATTCTGTTATGTTCATGGTACTGCTCATGTCTATAGGCGACAGTTACCACTTTCCATCAGGTGGGTTGTCAGCTTGTTTGCCATTCTAAGTTGTATAAAAAAAACAACCCAAAACAAATAGATTTGTGTGCTATTTTTATACACTTCAGTTGCAAACATCCACATATTTTCATTATGGGAAAGAAAACAGCACTATACCCTAATATACCCCCACCTCTGGGGGGGGGGATTGTTAGTAACGCGGACTACCAGTCCCATTGCTAGCAATATACCCTATCAAGTCAACCTCTATGTGATCCCCTTTGGAAACCATCATGCTGAATTCTAGGTGTATTTATCATGATGGCCTAACTAACTTGCCTTTTCATTCTCACCTGCCATCCGTCACTGGTACCCCACCAGTGTATACCGTTAGCGCAGGTGGGCTAGCCATTTCATTATCATCCATTAAAAAAAAATCCTCATACTAGAAGAGACAGTACAAAGTAATAGGACATTAATAGGTTATTATGGTTTTTGAAATTATAAAATTAGATACTAACTTCACTACAAACAAGACCATGCCATGTGCCTGTCATGAATCGTCGAATGAATTCATCTTCCACTGCTGTCTCAGATCTTCTGAGGCCATCCTTTAAATTTGCTGGAATAATATAAAACTTCTTATTCTATCTTTAACCCTTTTAAAATTGGAATCAATAATAATAGTAAACTTTTAGATTATAAACAAATATTTAACTTAAGTATACGTATTTAAATTCACGCAGTAAATTTACAAATAATGTAGATAATATGTCATCGCATCGTGTTAAATAAATTTAAAATAGGAATTCAATGTGCAATTTGTACATACATGTATTCCAAGAGTTCCACGATTTCCTATGAGCGATATAGTGTGGCGGGTTCGCCATTTCGTAAGTAAGCGGTCTGTCCCTTTTCTTGGTTATGCGATATTTTCCAGACACAACTCGGCATAGTGGAGATGATGTGTGTATTTGCGAAGCGAGCGCTGGTGATAATAAATTCCCTAAAGGATTCTGCAACTATTTATTTTAAATTTAATAAGCACTTAATATAATTAGACTTTATTATGATCCAATATGATGAGAAAATCAAAATACCTGTACTAATCTTAGAGCAGATGTATTCATTACTGTCTCGTCTAGTCGTAACAGAAACAAATATTATCAAAATTAATATTTGAAATTTTATACAAAGAAAAACTAAAAAATATTTATTTTGGAGCTAATATGTAAAATATTGTGAAGTTTCGTCGAGGTCTGAATTGAGGTTATTTTTGACATTTTGACAGTAGTACGTGACATATGACAACTGACACTGACAATCGTCAGCTATCAAAGTATATATATTTTTATTATATATATATTTTTAAAATTTGGTAGTAAACGAAATGTCTATTCAATATGTATGCACTCATTATCACTTATTATTGTTCCACTGTTGCTTCTTTTTATAAGAAGAGGGGTTTTTATTATCACATTGACAAGATGGCTTAGTATCGAGTTTTATCTCTAATTTTTTTTACTTCTACTGGTGTGTTATGCGAAGACTCTTCTAAGAGTATTGTGCATTGTTTCCTTTTGCCTATTACAACATCATGATCTTTTTAGCCGATTTCAAACTACTTTTAAACCTAAGATTTGAACATAGAGTTCCTTTATAACGAACGGTCCTGAACCACCTGCATTCACTGATTCTCTGCAAAGAGTTGTAATGTTTTATATCTCGTTATCACTCTATTCTAACTGGAAATCGTCTTATACGCTCTTTGCGCATATAAGGTCACTATTGGGTATTACAAAATATTAAACCCCTTTGTTTCTCTTATTTATTTATTTTTCTGCCCTTATACTAATTGTTTAGAATCGGTGTAATGTAACTACACCGATTCTAAATAATTGTACAAAAATGTTATATCATAAAATAGTCCATCCAATTGATAAATAATAATCATATCCAAATAATAAAAATAATGTTACTGAATATACTAACTGATTCAATAGTACCACAGATAATGTATTACTTTTTTTAATGGATGATAATGAAATAGTAATCCCGCCTGCGCTATCGGTATACGCTGGCGTGGCATCAATGGGAGGTGATAAATAAGGATGAAAGCAGGTCAGTTAGTCCATTGTGAAGAATTTCGAGAAAATTAATCACGATGGTTTCCAGGTTTTCCAGGAACCGCGTGGAGATCGACCTGATAGGGTACATTGCTAGCAATGAAGCTGTTAAACCTTATTACTACCAATTCCTTTCCCTCCGATAATATAATACTATCTAGTAATAACGAATCCATCAAATTTTATCATTCGCTACTAATGTTTGCCATATTTCGTTTTTCAAGCAACATGCAGGGATGAAAATTTTAAAACAAAGGATTCAATAACACCTCATATAAAAATCGTTCGACCTATATAAACTGAATATACGTTACAGTAAAGATGTGGAGATACCTACATATAAATATGTGTCTACTCCCGAAAACCGGGAATATTTATAATATACTCGTAATATTTCTTTTTTTTTTATCAAAAAAAACATTAGTCTGTACTTACATTATTTTTGTACGAGAATAACATTTTACATGCTTGTAAGTACGTAGGTACTGTAAGACTTTATTATGGAACCAACATTTAACGATTACATTTAATGGTAATTGTTTAATAATCATAAATGTTACTAATACTAACAATACTAGCTTTTCGAATCGGTAATTGCTTTATTTTTTTATGTTTAATCATATAGCTAGTGCGCAGAATTAGTGTTACTAAAAGCAATAATGTTAAACAAAAGCGTTTGCGTATTTTTGTTAATTTTTATTTGTCATTGTACTGGTATGTACTTAATATATGTAAATAACAAAAAATTGTCACCAACTCACACAACTGGTCTTAATATTCGTATTATATATATTAAATAAATAATAAGATTTGGAAGCCCTTAATTTCTATCATTTATTATTCAATATAACATAAAAGACCCATCTTAGAACAACTAGAAATAAGGTCCAAACACAAGCCTTTCAGAACAGTTCATTTACCAACCGAAAATTAGACTCGGAACCAGTTTTATAGAAAGCAACTTACCTCCCACGGTGATCGTCATATTCGTGTAATTGTAATGATAAACGTAAATAATATGTTTACTTCAAACGTGTTGATTGTAATGTATTTCATCAAACGTTACTGTAAGAAACCGTATTATTATAATAAATATTCTTTGTGATCTCGCAACTCGGTATCACTGGAAGAACATGGCTTGATTGATAGTAAATAGTTCCCTTACGTAAATGATTAATCTAAGTATCGTATACGTCGTAACTATTATCAATATTTACAATGAATCAACTAAATAAGATTGAATGAATGAATGAATGAATGAATGAATGAATGAATGAACGGTTTATTTTCTCTTCACAAAAGGTGGAACAGAGTAACAACATGAGGTACAATTTGAAATGAAGACCAGTTTTGTGAGAGACTGGTGCTTGCGGTAGGTTTAGAAGAACCTGTGTTACAAGTCACCAGTGCCCCATCTCCATGGACTACACAAATACAAGGCAACCAATTAGTGTTATAATACACAGATAACAATAATAAGATATATATAAGAATAAACTTAACATTAAAACTTATTTCTAGTATATAACTTAGGCAAAGTTAACAAAAAAACAAAATACAGACTATGTGTGCGCGCGCGCGCGCGTGTGTGTGTGTGTGTGTGTGTGTGTGTGTGTGTGTGCGTGTGCGTGTGCGTGTGCGTGTGCGTGTGCGTGTGCGTGTGTGTGTGTGTGTGTGTGTGTTCAACCAAATAGAGTAGAGATAGATACATAATTTAATTGTATCACTTACAACATATAAATAACATTAGCCATTGGTACTTATTTAAGGAGATCTTAAATTGATGGAGACAAAAGACCTTCAGTTTGCTGATAATTGAGGGATTTTAGATATTTGATGATTGATCTTTTGCAACTTGATCTATGCAAGATTAGTAGTTTATATTCATATAAGTGAGGTTTCGTTATACTTATGCAAAAACAATTTAAAAGAGTCTATATTACCATTAAACTTAAAAATTTCTTACTACTTATTTCAGCATTGAATAACGATATCAAGAAAGATAAAATAGTAAATGAAATAATGCAAAAAGTGCTTAATTTTACATTAAAATCATTACCTGCAAGTACTTACAGAGAAAAAATTAATATTTTGAAGAAAATTGAAAGTAAATTGCAAAAAACTGTGGATTCATTTGGCCCGCGTGGTGATAAGTACAAACAACTTATTATGCAAGGAATAAAAGCAATCTCTTTAAATGATGCCAACAAGGTTAATAACAATAATACATCTAACTGGAATATGATTCGTAAAAACAATCTCAGATTCAATAATTTAACATTTCACAATTATAACAATAAAACTGATAATAAAGAAAAAACTGTAAAAGATATTGCTCATAGAATTGAAATACTGGCTAAAGAATCGTTAGAAGATGCTAAGACACTTGACGAAAAAAGGAGAATTATTGAAAAGATAAGAAAGAAGATTACAAATTTAGCTAAGAAAAAACACATCATGATTCATAATAAACATAATGATATTAAAGCCTTTAGTGACCTGATTACACAAGGAGTAGAGTTAATGATGCACAGTATTTTGGTAAATAGTAGTAGACGAATACCTGTTGATTTCGTTAATATGTACAATGTAGATGATAAAAACCCTATAAGTTATGAAGCGATTGCAAATGTAAACCAAAGAATTGATATCAGTACAAACGTCCCAATAGATATCAATAGCAATGAATTATCGACTAGTATATATATGAATTTAAGTCATGATTTGCCTTGTGAAATAGCTATAGATAGAGCATGTTCTAAAATTAAATCTATTAACCAAATGAAATGTGCCATGGAAGATAGCTATGTAACTGTAGATAAACTATGTAATGGAGTTTATGACTGTGGTGACAGATCTGACGAATATTACTGTGTAGCAAAAGGTATGAGTAATGATTAAACTATTTATGTTTTTATATAATATTGAGGTGGCAAACAAGCATACGGCCCATCTGATGGGAAGCGATTACCGTATTGCCGACTCTGAAGAAATGTCATAACGCCTTTTTTAAAGAACCCCACCTGTAATCTCTTGGAAAAACTTCGACTATGCTAATTCCATACATAGGTAGGAGGAAATATCTCTGAAACTATACTGTACGTGATTATCCAGGCTCTAAGATTTAAGATATTTCTTCGTAACGTGACGTATTCCTAAGTAAGAATGCTACAAACTAAAAGCTTAAACACTTTATACAAAATTTTATTTGATAATAAAATAAAATTAAATGCATTATAATTAATAAATTGCTTTTTTCTATAGCTGCCAGAAAAGTACAAAATGCTACTAATATAGTATTAGAAATTGAATCTAAACTATTACGAAGATGTATAAACACCAAAGTTAATAGTTCTATTTTACAAAAGCAAAACAAAATTTTGAGTAATGTGTTACAAAGTCAATTAAGTTTTATACAAAAATACACAAATACAAAAACACTAGAAGAAATAAAAGGAAATAATGTAATTAAAAAGACAATAAATGAAGTAGCCATTGTTTTAAGTTCCGTTTCCTTAGCTCTTGAAGGATCTATATGTCCGCGTTACTATAGTCGTCGTAATGCAGAAGATATGGCACAAAATTCTACCAATTTACTAAGTGAAGATTTAGATAAATCCGATCTTGAAATACCTTTGAAATATTGTAGTTGCGACAATGGTTTTTGTGCTATTAATAACTGTACTGCTATGTGTCGACGTGTATGTTGGGAAAAGTATATACTAGGACGATTTGGATGTCAAGCAGTCGGGGAAAACTCAAGTATACCACTAGACTTTCTCTGCGATGGCAAACTTGATTGTTATGATGAAACTGATGAAATTGGATGTATATTTGGTAGGTACATAATTATTTTGAATACAACTATTATAAATGCATATTTATTTATTTGATTATTTCAGGAGTTACTTACGCAAAATTTGAAGCAGTCGAAATGTACAATATGATACTTAAAATTATAACATCCAAAGCGTCATCTGATAAATACGCTTCAGTTCGAAATCGATTGTTATCATTACATAGCTCTATTAAAAAACTACAAAACCTCACAGTGAAAGCCAAACCCGATACCGTGTCGATTAAAGCTGCCCGAGATTCTAGTTTTGAAATGTTAACGTCAATTTATAATGATATTGTGAATAAAAATGCAGTAAATTTGCGTGAGATGGATGAAGCTCACGTATTTTTAATGTCTTTGAATGAAAAATTAGTGATTGCATTAAAACGGTCGAATACGGGCAACGAACGTATTTTAACAACAAACGGATGCTTTTGTAAAAATGGTCGGTGTGTTCTGGTTGAATGTTCTAAAAAATGTTCACGAGCCTGTTCTGCTGAACCAAAGCTAACAAGATACTATTGTAAAGGTGAATTGAAAAATAATTTTATACCAATTGAAAGTATTTGTGATGGGAAAAATCAATGTCCAAATGGAGATGATGAAACAAATTGCAAAAAAGGTGAGTAAGGTTATTAAAATTTAATGTAGAGACTTGAATAATATCCCATTAAAAAACAATACCGCTTTAAGAAGTATTCTATACTTTATATAGAATATGGTACCAATAAAAAAAAGCTAATAATAGAGATTGCAATTCAACATTTTCAAGTTAAAGTAGTAAAAGTTATTGATTTTTTGTTTTTACATTTAGATATATGTCGAAAACATCACTTGATGGTTTTGCGAAACAGCCTCTCAGACGTAGATATAAAGTATAAAGGAACTGCTTTGGGTGAAATTCTTAATTCCTGGAAATTGAAGGTACTTATTTGTTTTCTATTCTCAAGATTTTATGCTCTATCATAATCAATAATGCCTATCGCATTGCACACTGTGTAACCTTCTGCGATTGTTCAAATCATAGAATTTAACGTTGTTAAGATAACATCTCCTATCCTCTAGCATAGTTATAAAAGTTTTGTAATAAGTAATATAATATAATATATATATATATAATATAATATATACATATATATATATATATATATATATATATATATATATATATATATATATATATATATATATATTTTGCAGCAACTTTCCAAAATGCCTGTCATATAATACCTATATATTGAAAATATTACTCTACATTCTATTTTTAATTGAATTTTACAAGTATTCAAACTAATGTCCAAAACCTAACTAAACTTCAAAATATTGGTAAATTTAAAAATGAAGAATCCTACCATTGAATAATTTCGTAATTATTATAATTGCGCGGGTGTTGCTAGTCAATCTATATCGAAATCGAGCTATAATTTCTAGCTCTCAGATCTCAAAGCTGTTTTAAAGTTATAACGTTAAGGTATAGGTTAATTTAAATATTCATCACACAGGTTACCGCCACTCTGAATATAGCCGAGAACAATGGGCGTCCAACGATCACAATTTTAAAAGATGTCGTTAGTGATATCCTTAGAGATCTGGTGGAGTCTTATACTTCGGTAGATGAAGTCAGGAGATCTAACGGAAATGAGAAATTCAATAATTTTGTCTATAAGGATTTCTTTAAATTATCTCAACAAATTATAAATATATTAAAACAATGTGGACAATAATTTGTTAATTCATTTGTATATTTTTAAAGCCTTGAAAGACAAAAAGAAAAGAAAGCCTACTGTGCACACTGCAGATGATTTTTAATGTATTGGAGATTTTTTATAAAGTCATTTACATGGGCACCTCTATCACACTTATTCATTTCGTTCAAAAAAAGCTAATTCACGTGTTGTTTTGATGTAAAGGGAAAATCACAGTACTACTATTAATAGTTAGGTACCGTAACTTATGTTACAAGAGTTTCGTATATAGAACTGTTTTCTCTGGTGTTGCAAATTTTCATAGGCTGCAATTCTGCAGCCAGAATTTACCAGATGTTTGCCCTATTTTCCCAAGTCTTTAAGTCCAACGAGAGATACTCTTTTGAGAAATGCCTTATAAAGGCTTTAGATTGATAAGTATTTTAGTAGAAGTTGCAACAAAATGTATGATCTAAAGACTAAATAAGTACTCATAGAGCTATACATAAATTTATATATAAATTATATATGTATTGCCGTTGTTAAACTCATATGAGCTACCAGAGATATAACCTACCTTAGATTATCTCTAGTAGCCTGCATAACTTCCCATTGACTTAGATAGTTTTGCTTTTGGACCTTGTAAAGTCTGAAATGTCTCCAAAGATTACAAATACTTATATCTGGTAGTAAATATGTGGTAGTTTGTAGAATTTCTACCATAAACTATATATTTGACAGTATAGTAAAATATAACTACACCTATATATATAATCTATTATCAGATAAGACAAGTGTTTCAGAGTTCGAAGCAGGTGGAGCGCCACGTCGCGCGAACGCATCAGTCAGTGTTTAGCAACACCGCCAATCACAATGGCCGGTAAGTACAAAAATTATGATGATTTTTTTATATACTGTTATCTATTTTGGAAAATAGCGAAATAAATCACGTTGTCAGTAAATTTCAATGAAAGATTAATTTATTCCGAACAATTATATTAGTACTATAAGGCAAACGAATATTCTATATAGTATATTGCAGCGATATGTCTGACCTTGGATGTAATTATTTCTAAATATACCTAATCTGTGAAATAAGAACTGAAATCAGCGACGAGATGCTAATAGTCTATTATGTATATATAGTATGGTATATACAACTTGTGATTTCATAATTGTTCTTATAGATATTTTGAGTGTATAGTGGTGCAGGGTTTTATTTGGACTTTTTCTTCATCTTTCATATTTTTTTTATTTTTTTTTTTATACAACTTAGAATGGCAAACAAGCGGACGGTTCATCTGATGGAAAGTGGTAACCGTCGCCTATAGACATGAACAGTACCATGGACATAACAGAATATACTGTTTCGCCCATGATACCGCCCATGAGTTGCCATTCCTAAGGACTCAGATGTTATTTCTCTGTACCCTGTAAATTCACGCCATATTCCATCCTTCAAACCGAAACACAGCCATACAAACACAACTGCTTTGCGGTTGAAACACGAATGTGACAGAGGTACCAAAGCAAACGATTTTTGTACAAAGTCTCCCTCTCCCCAAACAACCCCATCGCAGTAATATACACTCTGAATCCTGGAAACCATTATGTTTGATTGTTGCTGAATTCTTCACAATTAATCAACTGACCTAACATCATCCTGACGTATTCCTAATTGGTATTCTGTAAATGAACCTGGTAGAAAACCGTTTTTTTTATCTTTCTTTTCTGTCGCTATGTTTTTTGCGACAACCTTTTTATCTGTATTATTATTATAACTGTGTATACAACTGAGATTTTTTTTTAATGTATAAATTAAGTATATGTAAGGTTGTAAACTATGTGGTAGAAAACCGTTAGATGGGACTAAGGATGTTATCACTTCATTGGATTGTACCAAAAGTAGCATTATTTTGATTGTAAATATCTGTAGGCTGCGGTTAACTTTTCAAACTGAACCCACGAAATATTTCTTTGATCAAGTCTGATTCCAAATAGTACAAATATTCTATGACATTGTTAGATAGATAGATAGATACTCTTTATTGTTTCCTCCAAAAGATTACAATAGTAAACTTATTATAAATATAAATAATTACAAGAAATAATCACAATGAGAAAACAATGGGCGACCTTATCGCTAAGAGCGATCTCTTCCAGGCAACCTTTGGATGGAGAGGAGTAATTATAAACAATTTGGTAGGAGGCACGATGAAAAATTTTGTTACTTCTATATTATTATATTGTTCTTTATTATTCAAGCTCCTGATGCATTGCGCTGGGTGAAAGCATGCCTGAGTCAGAATTGCATACCCCCAGGCGCTCTACTGGTGGGTTACGATTCTGATAAAGAGGAGATTTATGCAGCACGAGCAGAACACGAGGGCGACATAGTACCAGCTAAGTTTATACCCTCAAAGGGTGCCTGCTACATCGCGTATGATGGTGAAGAATTGGCCAAAGACCAATTTGAGGTAAGTTAGAATCTACAGAATATTAAAGATCGAGAGGTTTAAAAGACTAAACATATTGTGTAACTCACCAATTAAACTGTATTAAGTAGTCCAACATATGGTGTTCTTGTTAATAAACTACTACTAACTAATAAACTAGTACAAATTAAAAAAAAATCTTAATTGACAGGCAAAAGTTAGATAATCCAGCAAGTTACTTTTCTATTCCGTTTGCCTACCAGATGAACTGTCTTATCGCTATTTACTGTACAGATAATCTGGTAGTATTATTTTATTGTTACCTTATTTCCTTTGGCTAAAACAGAATATCAGTGTTTTGCTCTTTTAAGGGCGAAGCAATAAACTGAGTTGTGACCATTTTGTGCTGTTATGGTATACGCACAAAAAGAAAAATTGTGTTTGGCTTTTATGTAGTTTATTTTTATACATTTCTCTTATCTCACTTTTTATGCATATCTGTGTCTGTTGTCATCTGTGTGCTGTAAGTAATGCAAATAAATTATATATCTATCTATATATCTACTAGAACCTGTCCTTAGTCTCAGAATTAAAAAGACGAACTTTGTATAAAATCCTCCAATGTTGTTTTTTTTTTGATAGCCGTCATTATGGTATTTGAATGTAGGTCCTTGTGCCCATGGAGCTGTGCTGGCAAGAAGCATACGACGGCGCAGTGCCTCCCAATGCAGTAAAGGCTGGCTCCGCTGCTGATGGGGAGGTACTATATTTCGGCAGGGTCTGCCACAACGCTGCTTATATTCCTGGCAAGGTACATATACATAATACTTTCTACATAATGTCCCTTAATTACAAAATAAAAAAATTGTACAGCAGCTAAATAGGTTTGGGCTACTGAGGAAGTAATCACTACGTTCGTTCTTGCATGCATGGTTAATTCCCGATGAATTAAAAAAAAATGATACGCTAATAAACTATTTTCATTCTCATCTATCACCCTTCACTGGTGTTCCGCCAGCGTATCCCATTAGCGGAGGCGGGATCACCATACCATTTTCACCCATAAAAAAAAATAGGTTTGGGTTACTGAGGAAGTAATTACTACGTTCATTCTTGCAGGTAATAAGATCCATAAAAAAAAGATATCGAAATAAACGTACCTACAACCTAAAAATATTCCTTCGCGTTGTGGAAAAGTAAATAAATAAATATTTGTAATCTCGATTTACTTTTTTTTTTAAATGGATGATAATGGAGTGGTGATGATAGGTGAAAAATGAAAAAAGCAAGTGAGTCAGCCCATCGTGATGAATACACCTGGAATTCAGCACGACGGTTTCCAGGGGGAATCGCGTGGAGGTCGACCTGACTATTGCTAGCAGTGGGACTGATAACCCGCATTACTAACAATCCCTTCCCCCCCCCTCACCCTTATTTTTCATTTGATTATCGTAATTAATAATACATAAATTATAACAAAATCAAATATAATGATCTTGAAAGTAGATAAAAGTGAAATATTGCATTCTATAACTAATTTGACGATATATGGATCTGCTAGCGGTATTATAGCGACCGTTATCCTTCTTAGTACTAATAAATCTTATTTATTTATTTATTTAAAGGAACACCAACAGCATAATGCAACACACATATAACAAACATTAAATACAATACAATATTAATGCACATGCCTATTATAGGTATTCACAGCATTTACTTTAACATAATTATATAGTACGAAGAAATTACTTTGACAGAGGGAGACTTTGTACAAAAGTCGATTGCTTGGATACCTCTGTCTCATTCGTGTTTCAACCGTAAAGCAATTGTGTTTACATGGCTGTGTTTCAGTTTGAAGGGTGGGATATGGCGTGAATTTACAGGGTACAGAGGAATAACACCTGAGTCCTCAGGAATGGCAACGCATGGGGCATCATGGGCGAAACAGTATACTCTGTTATATCCATGGTACTGCTCATGTCTATAGGCGACGGTTCCCACTTTCCATCAAGTGGACCGTCAGCTTGTTTGCCATTCTAAGTTGTATAAAAAAAATGAAGTAACAATTTTAACGAATTAAATACCTGAAGAAGGTAAAATCCCTTAAAATAATATTAATAAAAAGAAATACTAGACTACAAATATTTTAAAAGTTGCGTTATTAGTTATAGAAATATACATGTAACCTAAGTTATGAGTAATATCAGTAAATACGAAAATCTTTATTGTATTCTCAGATACATCCATCCCACGGCACGTGTTACTACAGTTACGATGGAGAAGAGAGATGCAGCGCGGAGTATGAATGTCTCGTATTAAATTAGTTTAAACTGACTGAACTTTATTTTATTTATTTATTTATTTTACTTATTTATATGTTATTATGTATGTATTTGTTAGATATTATTAGAAATCTAACAAATTTGTTAATATAATTTGAGTTATCAAAAAATTATATCTAATATTAAAAATTCTTTTTTTAAATACCTAACTGGATATTTAAAAATAGAATTTCAAACTATCAATTATTTCGTATTATTTTAATTACTAAATATACGTTTTTTTTTATAGACGGCTAAAGTAGTGTAACTTTATAAAGTCCTGTGCCACAAATCTTAAAAAGAAAACCGTAGTACATCGAATTTAAAAATGTGTAACTAAATTACCAGTAATAAGAATGTTCAATTAGATATTTTAATTTGAAAAATTCTAAAAATTATGTTATGGTTTTATACTTATATTACATATAAGTTGTTTTGTACAAATTGTAAAATAAATTACCTGTATAATTTTTTTTAATACAAAATAAAATTGAGGATCGTTTTTTCTTATTTATTCCAGACTTACTTATAACATAGATCCTAAAATTAATTTTACACATTACTCAGACATTTCCCTTTAAATAATTGATTATCAGCCTTGGATATTAAGTCCACTTAATATCCGTGTACCTACTTGTTATAAATAATATTATATCTATATATTATTATTAATATATAATATTTTTCTAATCTTATTTCTATCCCACTTCTGTTCCACTCACGTAGTTTTTTTAATGGGTGATAATGAAATGGTAACCCCGCCTGCGCTAATGGGTTACGCTGACGGGGCACCAGTAAAGGGTGATCGATGAGGATGAAAACAGGCCAGTTAGCCCATCATGATGAATTCATCAGGAATTAATCATGATAGTTTCCAGGGGGAACCGCGAGGAGGTCGACCTGGTTGGATATATTGCTAGCAATGGGATTCTTAGTCTCCATTACTAACAATCCCTTTTCCCCCCAATGAGGGGTGTTAGGTGATGATGAAAGCAGGTCCGTTAACCCATCGTGACGAATTCCACTAAAATTAACTACGATAGTTTCCAGGGGGAACCGCGTGGAGGTCGCGCTAATAAGGTGTATTGCTAGTAACGGGGTATTTAGACCCCAATACTAACAATCCCTTCCCCACCCACTCACGTGTTTGTTACTCGTACCAAGCAGTTGCGCTGTATGGCTGTATTTAAATTGAAGAGAGGATTATACCAATGAAACTAAACCGAAGAGGGGGAGGGGTTGTTAGTAATGCGATTTGCCACGTCTATTGTTAACAATATAAATTCATTAACTCTAATTCTCAGAAAAAGCACGAGACGTTCTATGGGTGTCACAGTATGTTCATTTATATTATTATTCACGTCTATAACTAACAGTTTCTATTTTATATCAGCTGTCAGCTCATTGATTAGATAAAGATTAAGAATTTGTTTTGTAAAAAAAAAAGTGATTGTTAATATAATAAAATTAATACGAGGAAAATATGAGCGCGAGAATCACGGAAGTAAAAAGAATCATCGAAATAGGTTCAGAATTAAGGAAAAATTTTATTTGTTTTACAAAAAAAAAATAGATGAATGCAAAGTACACGTTTTAAACTATGTGGAGTAACATAGTATTTACTAATAAATAAATGACGAAAATAAATTATCAACTTTTTTATCGTTCTGATAAATTAATGTTATTCATCGTATATCAAAATTATCTATAATATTATTATATCATACAATAAGTATTTATAGGTAAATAATTATTTATCATATAATAATTTATATATGTATCTAATATGCTCGTAATGGATTTCGCATAAAGTGATTAATTACAGGAAAACATGCTAAAAATATACCTGTCTCCGTCGATGTACCTCAAACAACCTTTTCTAAAATGCACGAAATCATTAGATAATATTAAATTATTAACTGAAACCTTTAAAATAAAATATAGTGGCTGGGCAAATAATAAGAAATGATAGGTGAAAATGAAAGCAGATCAGGTGGCCCATAGTGACGAATTCAGCAATTAATCACTTAATTAATCACGATGGTCTCTAAGGGGAACTGTAGGTCTAGCTGATATGGTATATATTATTTATGCAACTTAAAATGGTAAACAACTTGACTGCCCACCTTATGGAAAGTGGTAACCGTCACCTATAGACATGAGCAGTACCATGGGCACAACAGAGTATACTGTTTCGCCCATGATACTCCCCATACATTGCCATTCCTGAGGGAGGACTCGGATGTTATTCATCTGTACCCTGTAAATTCACTGCCATCCTTCAAACCGAAACACAACCATGCGAACATAAATGCTTCACGGTAGAAACTCGAATATTGGTACCAATGGGATTTTTATACCCCATTATTAACAGTCCCATAGAAATTATTAGGCCAATTTATAAAATCATTATAATGTAAACGACAAATGGCACTAAATTGTAATAATATTCAAGTAATACCTAGTTTGAGTCACTATATACAAATATTAACACTAAATAAGAGAGTGTGACTTAAAACACTTTCTATAAGAATGTTTCTATGGGTGATAATGAAATGGTAACCTCACCTACGCTATCGGTATACGCTGGCGGAACACCAGTGAGAAATGATAGATAAGGATGAATGCAGATCCGTTAGTTTATCGTGACGAATTCTACAAGAATATAAATAAGGCTGACGCGTCATGTTACTTTACTTGTATAATAAATTAATAATTTATAATTAATTAATAATTTTTTTTTCTGTATAGCTTATGAGCATTTAACTTAAACTTGTACTTATTTACTTATAATATGATCTGATATTACTTAGTAGTCTGTATTTACAAAAATTTATTATTTATATTTAAAAAAAAAGACTACAACTGAGTTTCTTCCCCGTTCTTGACTGAAATTTGCGTTCCCAATGGATAATAAAATAATTAAAAAATGGATATTCATGGGCGATACAGTATACTCTGTTATGTCCATGGTACTGCTCATGTCTATAGGCGACGGTTACCACTTTCCATCAGGTGGGCCGTCAGCTCGTTTGCCATTCTAAGTTGTATAAAAAAAAATTAAATTTACTTGAATAAAAATCTTTCTCTCTTTCTATTTCCTAAGCCTATTTCTCCATCCATTGTGATATACGAAACAAAAACTGTTTACATATCATTAACTAATGATTACCACATTGCTTTTCTTAATAAATATTTATTTTTAATTGAATTAAACCAATTATTACTTTGGCCTATATAGTTCTGCAGCAGACGTATCTGCTCTAGAGACTGCGAAAATGGAATACTATCTATGATCGTGACTTTTTTGACGTAATTCAAATAAAAAGTCGTCGGTGTCCTTCTCCATACGAAATATCATCATCATCATCATCATCATCATCATCTCAACCATTATTTGTCAACTGCTGGATATAGGCCTCCCCCATAGACTGCCATAAAGAACGGTCCTGAGCCACCTGCGTCCACTGACTCCCTGCAATGCATTTGAAGTCGTAACTGCAACTAGGGAGTTCGTCCTACACTGCGTCTGTACGGGATCTCCACGCAAGAACCTTTCTACTGTGTGTAATGCAAATAGATATTAAAGTATCTTTATTTTTTTTTTTTTTTTTACAACACAGGGGGCAAACGAGCATGCGGCTCACCTGATGGTAAGTGACTACCGCCGCCCATGATCACCCACAACACCAGCGGCATTGCAGGTGTGCTGCCGGCCTTTTAAAAAGGAATATACTCTTTTCTTGAAGGTTATGTTGTCGTATCGGTTCGGAAATACTGCTGCTGGAAGTTGATTCCAAAGAATGGTTGTGCGTGGAAGAAAGTGCCTTGAAAAACGCACGGTGGAAGACACGGTGGTTTGTGACCGTTAAAGCACCAAGAGAAGACAAACAAACTGTCATATTAAAGATTGCAGCTACTTATAAACAACTTTCTTTAATAAATATGTTCATATCGTTTATAAATTTTATATTAATATATTTTGCATGTATTGTTTTCAAAAGCATTTGTATGTAAACTAGTAGTTATAATAAGATGTTTTAGCATTGAACAATTTATACAGTGCTAATTTTCAATTTGTCTAGCAACATTATCGTATCTCAGATACAGTACAGTCCTCTTTGATGTACTTATGCAGCTTATTTATTTATGTATTGCTTCATAACTATTAGGTATAGGCCTATTGTAAATATAGCCGTGTGGTCCTAGCATAGGTTACTACCATAGGCCACCTCTTCCGTGTTCCTGTATTAAGTTTCTGAACGTAGATGTCGATCTTTTTTGTTTTACTACCGCTGCGTTAATTTGAATATTCAGTGAATTAAACTAGTTCACCTCTTACTTATCATGTAGATTGATTATTAAAACAATAAACTGAATCTTGCACCAACACCATACATGGGCAGAAGCGTCATTTTAAAACATCCCCAAAGCCTAACTGTAGATGTCGTAAAAGGCCACTAAGGAGGGCGAAGAATGGGCAGAAGCGTCATTTTAAAACATCCCCAAAGCCTAACTGCAGTTGCCAATCAATATAGCAAAACCTCAAGGAGGAAGCTTATATCCAGCAGTAGTCAGTTAAAGGCTGATATGATGATGGTGAAATGTACGCTGATAGGGCACAAGTGAAAGATGATAGACGAGGATGAAACAGGTCAGTTAGCCCATCCTGACGAATTCAACGAGAATTGTTCACGATGGCTTCCAGGGGGAACCACGCGGAGATATATGGACCTGATATGGCATATTGCTAGCAATGGGGCTGTCAAACTCCATTGCTAACAATCCCCCCCCCCCCGGTTTTCACATTTGTGCTCTCGAAAGTTTAACTTAAAAAATGGTGTATATTTTATCTTGATACGCCATTTAAAAATGGCATCCATTATTGAAATCCATACGTAAGTAATATTGGACAAAAACCTAGTGAACAATAAAAATATTGAAGAGTTAGATTCTAATACTAAAAAATCCTTCCCCTCTCCGCTTTAATTACAACTTACTCCGCTTTAATTCCCACGATAAAATCTTTGACAGTTCTATTATTTCATATAAAAACATCAGAGTATTTTACAGAGAAAATTTACTGAAAACGCCCATTTAATGGACAACGATAAAATAATTATTAAAACTTATTTCACGTTCAAATATCAGCATGTACATGCTCTAATGTCCATATTGATAAATGATAGTACTTAAGGTGTGTGACGATGCGTCATATCTTCAGTGTGTTTCTGAGACCCGAGTGTTACAGACGCGGTCAACATGAGAGGTGAGTTTGATAACAGATAACACTGATAACAACGCACACAGTAACATTCTAGATCGGAACACGTCACGAGATTACGTCCATGACTTTCTACTAAAAATCTAAAGTCTAATCATGTAAAACTAAATCATAATATCGAAAATTGCAGGTAAATTTAATCTTCTAATTTTAAACGATAATTAACAGATAATTATTTACATTATGACATATTAATATGTATTCTATTGTCATCTTTACATATATAATTTAAAAATAAATATTATTACGTAGCATATTTTTTTATGGGTGGGTGTCAGTCTCTATTATTAACAATCTCTTTCCCCTCCTATTATGTAGTATTAGGCATATACATAAAAGTTATTAATTGTTATAAACCACCAGTTACATATTGTTGTATATTATCTCAGCCATTAACTGTCCACTGCTGAACATAGCCTCCCCCATAAGGGGGTTTTGCTAGTAGTTCCCACCCTCGGCAGGCGGGATGACAACCGCAGTTTGACTTTTGGTGTTATTTTAAGAGGGACGCTGCTGCCCATCCCTGCACCATAAGCTCAATTAGTCGCCTCTTACGACACCCACGGAAAAGGAAGGGATGGCCTATTCTCTGCCGGGACCTACACGGCAAGATTACATATTAATAGTCTCAAATTATAATTAGGTATACACCTAAAATATCTACATATCTAAACTATTTCGATGTAAGGATAAACTCAGAAAATAGAAACATACAGTGATCTCTATTGTCTACTAAATGTTTCTGTTATAGTAGTTTTGTTTCTGTTAGAGATAAGTGAATAAATTACTTGGAGAAACCGCTGAATAAGCTGAATAAGCACAGCGTCATCTAAAACCAAACTAAACAGAGATTATTATAACATTCTAATAAATACCTTTAAAAGTAAACTGACATAAAGAGCACCACGGACGTTGAACTGTGTCATCCATGAATATAAAGTCATGCATGGTCATAAACATCAACTGATTCTATGCTTATTTATATTCTAAAATAAGTAAGTGTTAGCTCGTTTAAAATTTATAGCTTGTTTCCAGTCAACTAGATCTCTCTCTTCGTCCTCTTCATTACTGAAGGTCGTGTCCTTGAAAGGTGTCCGTTGCCACTCTTATGATGTTATTCCATTGTGCACGGTCTTCAGCTTCACGCAGCAGCTGCAAGTCAACTGGATAAATAAATAATATTTATACAATAATATTTTCTTATTGTTTTAATGGATGATAATGGAATGCTAATCCCGATTGCACTAACGGTATACACGGAGCACCAATGAGGGATGATAGGCGAGGATGAAACTGGTCAGTTATCCCATCGTGACGAATTCGACAATAAATCTATCACGGTAGATTTCAGAAGGAACCGCGTGGAGGTTGACCTGACAGAGCACATTGCTAGCAATGGGGCCGCTAAGCCCAATTACTAACAATCCTTTTTCCCCGCACTATTTTCTTATTACATTTTTGTTCATTATTTTAAGACTCATTTACAAGTAACTCATAATAAGTGTACTAATAAGTACACTCGTGTCTTAGCTGTTGACCGACAACTGCATAAATACCTATATATATATATACTTGTAAAATATTCGTTTTAAGTAAGACTTATGCTGCAGGTTATTCGCTCCAACATAATTTTATCGTTATTAGTTACAACAAAACCTATAGCATTTATTTCGCCTACAAATTATTTGAACAGCTGTTGTATAAATATTAAAATCCATATTCGAAACAAATATGTAAAAATAATGTCGATACAGGTAAACGACTTGCAACATGTGTTCAAAGTATTCTGATTATTAAATTAAAAAAAAAAATGCCATGATCATTTCAGCCGTTAACTGTCCACTGCTGAACATAAGCCTTCCCCATAAGGGGAGTTTTGCCAGTAGCTGCCACACTTATTCTTACCATAAACAAGAAAAAACAGACTTCAGTTTTTATTTAACAAAATTAGTGACACCAATACTAAAATATTAGAAATGAATTATAAATTATAAACCATTCCAGCTTCACTAAAATAGGTTTACTAAATGCAAATGGGAATCTTCTTTTTTTTTATACAACTTAGAATGGCAAACAAGCTGACGGCCCACCTGATGGAAAGTGGTAACCGTCGTCTATAGACATGGCCAGTACCATGGACATAACAGGGTATACTGTTTCGCCCATGATACCCCCCATGCGTTGCCATTCCCGAGGACTCAGGTGTTATTCCTCTGTACCCAGTAAATTTACGCCATATCCAACCCTTCAAACCGCAATACAGCCATGCAAACACAACTGCTTCACGGTAGAAACACGAATGGGACAGAGGTACCAAAGCAATCGACTTTTATACAATCTCCCTCTGCTAAAAAAGTCCCCTTTTAGAAGGGGCTTAAAAATTGAGAACTGTGATTGAATACCGTACCTTTTTGGTATCTAATCACATTCTACTTATTGGTAGGTAGGTATAAAAATATTCATACAAAATTCTGCACAACAATGCGATTTGTCGTTTCACTATTCTATTTATTATGAGACATATCTACAATTGTAATGTAAATTTAGTTTTGCGACTATACTTAGGTAGCTTCTTAGATATTCTAAACATTTATGTGACATTAGAATTAATGGTCATTCACCTCTTTATATAAAGTGTTACCAAATTATCTGCATTCCCTTTAATAAAGGGGATACAGTATTACGCATATACGTTACGATAATGAAAGAATTTCGTGTCTCATATGTCATAAAATTTTTCATACAAAAAAATATCCTTAATAAATATAAATTTTTCACCCTGGGTAAAAAGTGCCATTTAAAAAATGTTATGCTAAAACTGACGGAGTGAGCGCGACCAACGATGTGTTAGAGAAAAGTATAGTTATGAGGACGTTTTACAAGAAATGAAGAAATTTAAGTATTTTATAATTTTATATTTTTTATATAATTTCTTACTACTTAGACATGAAATTCGTTTTTTATCGTAATGTATATATTTAATACTATAGCTTGTAGCAGGGAATGCAGATAATTTAGTATATAATATAATAGAATATACTGTAATATACCTTATATATTGAATCGAAGAAATTATGTATCGAGGCGTATATTAAATTAATAACATTTAGACAAATCGTCATAGTCGTAGAATACTGACGGATCTTTATATGTAATCTTTGTCAGATCCGTCAGTATTCTACGACTATGACGAAATACAGTATCTACAAACGCTTCCACGAACACAACCCTATTTGTTATGGCCATGTGAATGATTTGTCATAAAGCATACAAAGATTTAAAGAATTAGTCAGTGTGTGCGTGAATAGGAATAACAAATGTTTTCGTTATCATTACAATACTAAAAATAGGTATTATTTTATTTAAAATTACACAAGTAATTTAGAATGTCTAGCAAAGAATGTTTCTAACATCCGACTCTCCACCTAAATGTGTTTTTTTAAGGAATTTGGATTGGCAAACGTCCTAACTGTCTGCCTGATGGAAAATGGTAACCGTCACCTATAAACATAGCTTCTTGCATTGCTATTCCTAAGGACTAAAATGTTATGCCTCAGTATGCTGTAATTTTACATTGATATAGAAATTAAGAATAAGTCTTTAATAATTGTATTAGGCCGTAGATTTTTTATTTCTGAATATAATTTATACAGCAAATGTTTCGATAGGACTCATCTTTCAATATCTCTCTTAGTACATTCAAATAATGTTTACTATATAATAATACTATTTAATAATACTAACTAACTAAGTAAAACTATAATAACATTTATATCCGTCGTGGCAGATGTAAGCTCATCATTGCCTATAGGATAAATTTAATTTGTTAACAGTGTTTTCCATCGCCGGAAAGTTAGCTTGAAAATATAATTCATATAGAGTTTTAATTGTTTAATATTGTTAATATTTTTCCTGTTACTGAAAACAGGTTATCTCACCAACAATACTGATAGCACTGTCTTATCACATTTATCTTTTTATTAAAGGTATTTCTTACAGTTATATATATAATAAAAATATATCTTATACTTCAATATTATAATGTTTTATATTTAAGTAACAAATAAAAGCCTGGCAAAATTAATAGAAAACTAAAATTGACAACTCCGTAGATTAAAGCCTAAATGTGTTTTTTTAAGGAATTTTTGGACGTCCTTGGCTGTGGAAAAAACGTCACCTATAAACAAGCTTCTTGCATTGGCTGTAATTTTATGGAAAATAGGTAATCTCCTTAGTACATTCAAATAATGTTTACTATATAATAAAAAATCATTAACATCAGTCCTGAAACAATGAAGATATGGCGTGACATACACATGAAAGAACTACAGTCGAACTTTGTTTTTTAAAAACTTACTTCTAAAAAAGAACGCACTGTCTCCTTTTTAATGGACAAAAAAAAAAAAGAAAAAAGACTACCTTCTTTTTAAGCCCATAGGAAAATAGATATTTATTTAGAAAAATAGATTTCATCTTTATTTGTAATCTGTCCAGGACGACCATATTACGGTTATGGGATGCCGCCGCCGCCGCCGTACGGCTACCCGCCGGCCATTAACATCCACATGTATCCCCATCCTGGGTTTGCCCCCCAACCTGGGTACCCCCATCCCGGGTATCCCTACCATCCCAACCTGTTCTACCCCCCGGGGGAGCCGGTCAATGTGGTGGAACAGCCATCAGAGATCGTGCCTGAATTACCTGGTGAAACTGTCGAGTTACCTTGGAGTAAGTTCGAAAACAATTCGGTTTTAATGAGTTAACGCCTATTAAATCGTACAGATACAGTATTACTATAACATGAATAGTGTAAATAAATGACCATTAATCGATTATTAAGTATATCTCGACAAATTAAATCGAGTACTCTTGATAAAAAATATATGTATCTAATATTTATCCACGTTGCATCGATTTTAATTTAAATAAAAACAAATCTGTAACTTACTTGACTTCATATTCATATAATGTTTAAATTTTATAATAAGTCTAGAATGTAATATATTATCAAATTATATTAAATTCCCCATTTAGTTACGAAATTATATCTAATCAGAACAAAAATATTTTATCAAAATGATTACGGATAAAAATAAAAGAATCCGTTTTATATCAATCATGTCATAAACTTTATAAATGTCATTCCATAATCTATAATACGTAAAAAATTAGGGCCACAAGTTCTATCCCTAACCTATACATATTTTCCTTTAAAATATTATTTTTTCCTGATGAAAAAGGCGTTAACTCCGATTTTAAAAATCTTCTAAATATATGTTCACCGGTTTTGGGCTAATCCTCTCTATAATGCCTTTAATTACATCCTATCTTTCCTGATCCAAATAATCTTCTCCTGGCTTTCATTTAAAAAAATATATATTAAGAATTATTTCTTCGGCTACAAATCAAAAGGCGATTACTTATTGAATGTAATGAAATATTTGAAGTAGTCGTTTACACTACTTGTTCTTTTGAATCACTTGGATTTGATTTGTAATTGTTCTTATGATTTGACAATCTCAATAGTTTTATTTTATTAGAATTAGTTCCATAAAAAGTTGAAAACTCTATATTTTATAAAATCATGTTTGCTTACATTAATTATCTATTACTTTTTTTTTAAATATCACTTTAATGTCACCTTTTGTCTCAAACAAAATTAATACAATATCAAATGCGACTGGTTTGTGTTAGATGCGATATAATAATATATATTTATTATCAATTATTTCCATCTAATAATGGAAATAAATATTTTTTTTTGTTTATTATTATAAAATGTAAAAGTGAGTTCATTTGTTTATTCAGCACTTTAAACAATTTAAACAACCTATTTAAACAATCGTCACAAGATTTGGTATACATATATTATTTGGGATGGAGGGCCTACTCTACTTTCCCGGTCAATGAACTTACGTCTGTTACACATACAAAGTCGTGGGTAAAAGCTAGTTTTTTTTATATAAATAAATATATATCTCCCGTTCACATATTCTTCCAGTATGAATCATTTATCCCTTTATACACCTCATGCTTTATTCACTTTCATGTTTCATATCTCCAAATAATTGTACTAAATGATTTATTTCCAGGTACATACAAGTGGGTACCAGCTTGCCTGTCGCAGAACAGCATTCCTCCTGGAGCGCTTAGGGTGGGAACTGACGCAGATGATGCTGAGATATACGCAGGCAGAGCACATCATGAAGGCGAAATCGTCCCAGCTAAGGTCATACCCTCGAAGAATGCCTGCTACATCGCATTCAATGGGGAAGAGATTCTAAAGGACCAGTTTGAGGTATTCATAATTCGATCGTTTTAAATTATTAAAAAAAATTAATTATTTATTCACTCTTACGCCACTTACCCATTTCTATCTGCCCTAGCGAAAAACCGCCTTTTGTACCTTTATGTATATTTTTATATTTCTATTTATATTATAAAACTTTATATTTCAATCTGTATTTATCTTACTGTATTTCACTTGAATTAATCAATTGTCATTCTATATTTTTATGTTTCTGGCGCAATACACAGTTAAATAAATAAATAAAATTGTCTTAAGGCTTATTACAAAGAGATGTATAAAAAAATATTACATTTATTATAAAAAATAATTAATTATAAAGCAGTCTAAATTTTCAATGAGGTTTTTTTTGTAGAAAAACAGTTAAAAAGTTGTTTCAATTACAGATTTTGGATAATAAAAGCTTTTTAATATTATATTAAGCTATAATGAATAAGCGTTTTATTAGCTTAATATCTATTTATATATTTTATTAAATGCAAAGTATTTATTTAATAGTTAATATTTCTATAAATATTTTATTGAACTACGTGTTATTTTGCGGAAGTCATATCAATGGTTATTTGATTAAAATTATTTGGACACCAGTATGCGTGCGATTGCCAACACTTGAAGATTGTCTCGTATTATTATCACCAGAAGTTCTACAGCTTTTTATCACCATCATTTTAGCTAGTAACTGCCCACTGTTAACATAGGTCTCCTACATAAGGAGGGTTTTGCCAACTTTCTATATTAGCCAACAATTTCCAACTGCCATTTCGTCCACGCACTGTTTGCGACACATATTTTTATATTTGTATTTATATACTTTACATAGTTTTTATACTGTAAAAGTCTATCCCGTAAGGGATTTTTATTGTATTTTTAGGTTTTTTTTTATATGAACAATCTGACCCTAATTAACGCTACGAGAATAGCTTACCAGAGATGGACTGTACAAGAGTCGCCTTTATGACACTAGTGCTTATGCTGTGAGACAGCTGCGCTTGCATGGCTGTGTATCGGTTTGAAGTGTCATCATCATTATATCAGCCTTTAACTGTCCACTGCTGAACATAAGCATCTTCTTGAGGGGTTTTGCCGGTAGTTGCCACGCTTGGCAATCGTATTAGCAACCGCAGTTAGTCTTTGAAGATGTTTTAAGAGGGATGCTGCTGCCCATCCCTCGCCTTTGCTTAATCACCTACGACACCCATGAGAAAGGAAGTGGTGGCCTATTCTATGCCGGGACCACACGGCATGAAGGGTGGAATATGATAGTGAAATTATAGGATACGGAGACTTAATACTGTAGTTCTCAGGAATGGCAACGCATGAAGGATACCATGAACATCATAACGCATTCCGTGATGTCGATGGTTTTGTTCATGTATATGGGCAATGTTGACCGATGTTGCATATAAAATTCGCTTCAGGTTTTGGTGCCATCGATGTTCTCGTGGCAGTTTTCGTCTGGTGGAGAAGTGCCGCCTGGTGCTGTGGAGGCTGGGGTCACAGCTGATGGAGAGAAGCTCTATTTTGGAAGGGTCACGCATGAGGGAGGCGTCACTCCCGGCAAAGTATGATAAATATAATTTACATTTTGTACCATATCTTAAAAGTAACACGGTATTTTTTTAATGGTGATAATGGAATGGTAATCCTATAAATACACCGGCGTGACACCAGGGAAGGATGATAGGGGAGGATAAAGCAGGTCAGTTAGCCCATTGTGACGATTTCAATAAGAATTGTTCACGATGGTTTCCAGGGGGAATCACGTGGAGGTCGACCTAATAAGGCATATTGCTAACTATGGGGCTGTCAAATTCCATTGCTAACAATCCCTTTCCCTCCTTTTTTAATGGGTTATCACCCATTAAAAATAAAGAAATAATGACTCCGCCTACGCTAACAGTATACGTTGGCGGTATCAGTGAGGGCTGATAGGTGAGATTGAAAATGCAGATCAGTTAGCCTATCGTGATGAATACACCAGGAATACAGTACGATGGTTTCCAGGGGGCACCAAATGGAGGTCGACCTGACAAGATATATTACTAGCAATGTGACTGGTCCCCCCCCCCCCCAATAACAAGTTATTAATTATATCACTCTTACGCTCCCTATTTTTATCTATTTTCTATTAATTAAAGTCTTGTCTATAAAAGCAGACTGTTAGCAACAACAGTTTTAATTGTTAACAGACTAGAAGGGAAGAAATTCTCGACTGAACGATGTTTTTTTTTATTTTCGTTCGCAACGCAACTTCGAATGGTAAACGAGCTAACGGTTTGCTTGATGGAAATCTTTTTAAAAAATAAAATAAAAAAACATAGGTAATAACTATAAACATCCTTTTTTACAATTCCTTCTTCCTAATTTTTCTATGATCAAAATCGGAAACTAAATTTATGGACATGTTGTTACAGATCCACCCAAGTCATGGCAATTGTTACTATGCTTTCGACGGCGAAGAGAGAGTTTCTGCAGAATATGAATGTCTAGTTCTTATATAAAGTATGTTTTAACTGTAATAGGTTTAATATAAGCAAGTCAAAAAATGTTATTGTAGCTAGGTAGGACTTTATTGTCACCACGGATGATAAAAAAACACCATGCTGCATTGCTGTCATGCCACTATTGGGTACTGTACTATAACACCTCTCCTCCCTCCTTTATAGATATCCTCACATATTCCATTTAAATAATTAAACAATAGAATTTTGGTTTGTCAAATTAATTTATTTGCAAAATACAATATAAAAAACTAACTATTCCAAATAGTAATTAATTAATTAATTATTTCTTTTACAATTAAATATACATACAGTTCATAAAGGATTCACTTATTATTCCACCTCGATTTCGCACGTTTTTTTTTTCAAAATAAAAAACAATTCATATTACTCGCTGACAATGTAGCTTTTCATAAGTTAAATATAATTAAAAATCTATTTTTTGAATTTATTTATTACAAATATAAAAAAATATTCCTCTTTATTTTATTATTTAATTAGATACCTCAGCGAATTATAATTTTTTTGAGTACCTTGCATTACGCCATGGAGGTCTAATTTTGTTTCATATATGCCGATAATAAAACAACTTTTGGAATGTACATTGTACGAACCTATGTCATTATTATATAGGGGTATGTTTTTTAGAATTAAAAAAGGAAAATTTTAAAATATTGTTCATATATTCAAGATTAGAGTTTATGCGTAAATGGATACCTTTGAATGTGTTAGAAGTGTGATAGTATGAATTAACACTATCATATTATTGTTTTATAATGAAGTATTGTCAAAAATGTATTAACACTTATGTCAGTATTTATATAGGCATTTATTATAAGTGTGAAATTTATATTGAAATGGATATGTGTTAATAATATTAATAATATAACTTATATTTTTATAATTCATCTTTTATTTCAATAACTTATTTAGTAACGTTACTAGTATAGTATTATACTGTCCATTGTAATTTCAGGATTATTGTTTTTAGTTTATATTAAAACATTGCAAGGGAATCTCTAATGGGTAACTTTCTCCATCCGTTCGTCTGTCAAAGCGCTATATCTCAGCTCTATATTAATGCTATAGCTTTGAAATTTAGTATAATTTTAATTTAGATATTGTTATATTGGAATGTAATTAATAAAAATAAAAATTAAAAACATAAAAATTTTACAAACGGGCTTACTTATCCAAGGTATAAGATGCAAAGCATTTGCACCTTGCTATTCATATTCATTAATTAATTAAACTAAAATAGTGGCAGATATGGCATTTCTAAGCCTTATTACTGTCCTGGTGCATAATCCTTCCCTCTAATATATGCAAATTAAATTATACATTTTTCAAAATTTTTGTTATTTCACAATAAGTAAAGATAAAACCCGTATTCACACGCATGACACGAGTACAAGCAATAAAAGCTTATATTGCGACACGAGACCTCACTCACACTTTCTCAAACAAGAGTGATTCTTTCGTAATTTGTAAGCATCGTTATTAACTCTATACAGAGTGTCCAATGGAATTTATTAAGCCCTAAATTAATCATTTATGTTATTCTAAGTTATTTTTTAACCGCAACTTTGAACGCGTGAACTTTAAGTTTTTTCACTTCTAGATGGCGGATCAAATTATGTTTAAATAGATTAAAACGTACAACAGGAGTTCTACTTTAAAACGAAATTCCAAATTTCATTCTAAGTAGAAAATAAGTAAGTAGAAATCGGCCCAGTAAATGGAGCTTTACATTTCGTTTATCATAAAAGCGCAAAGGAACAATATTTTACATTGTTAATATTTTTAAATGGTATGTATCATATAATTTTAGCATTAAATTTGTGTGAAACTTCAGAAAATATTTATTCATGGTAGGCCCTCTGATTTTGAAATTTGACCTTCAAAAACCCAAGTGCGAGAATCTCATCCAATTTGCTAGAATAGTTTTTGTGTGATGTCGGACTAAACACTTAGACAAACAGATAAATAAAAATCATAAAAAATATTGTTTTGACTTCTATTGCTATTGCTAAGAACCTTTATTTTTTTTTCTTAAATATCTTTTATAAACAGACACCTAGTTACAATTTTATTATATTGCTAAAAGTAAGTAGTAACACTGAACTGATTCTTGTAAGACTACGATTGTCCCGTGTGGTCCCGGTATAGAATAGGCCACCATTTTCCGTGAGTGTCGAAAGAGACGACAAAGGGAATTTAATGTTCTAGGAATGGGTAGCAGCGTCCCTCTTAAAACATCACCATTGCCTAACTGTGGTTGGCAACTCGCCTACCAAGCGTGGCAACTACTGGCAAAGGTCACAGTTAGGAAATGTTTTAAGAGGGACGCTGCTGCCAATCCCTCCACCACAAACTCCCTTAGTCGCATCTTACGACACCCACGGGAAAGGAAATGGTGGCCTATTCTTTGTCAGGATCTACACACCGAGACAAATATGGCACTAACACAGAGTAAACTTTATAGATTCTAAAAGGAATTATTTAAATATTCTGAAAGACCAAAAGTCAAGTACTAATGTGCTTTTAAAAATAATTAAATCTTAAAATTATTTCTGATGCTAATACTGATGTCACAATTATCAATATCTATCGTATCGTCTGCTTGGGTACATCTGTTCCACTCTTGTTTCTGCTGTGAGGCAACTGTGTTTGTATGTTGATTGAAGAGTGGGGTATGACAGTGAAATTACAGGGTTCGGAGGCTTAACACCATATTCTTCAAAAATGGCAACGAATATGGATTTTTTATGGATGATAATGCTAACCCCGCCTGTGTTATCAGTATGCAATGGCGGGGCACAAGTGATAAATGATGATAGGTGAGGATGAAAGCAGGTCAGTTAGCCAATCATGATAAATTCCACAAGAATTAACCACGATGGCTTCCAGAAGGTCACCGTGTGAAGGTCGACCTGATAGCGTATGCTGTTAAGCAATGGGGTTGTTAGAATCCATTACTAAAAATTCCTTCCCCCCATGCATGAGAATTACCATATATATCACAATACATACCGTTACAATACTATGGACATAGTATTGTTCATGTCTATAGGCGACGGTTACTACTTTCCACCAGGTGGGCCGTCAGCTTGTTTTCTGTACTAAGTATCATAAAAAAAAATATATCAAGCAAGGTTCGCATAATAAATTATAAAAGCAAACAAACTAATCGACCTGTATTTTAATGGATCATATTACAAAGGTGCGTACGCGCATCGCCTACATAATTCCCAGTTCACGGCTCATTTTCGCGCAAACACTAACGAGAGTAAGACGTATCTCAAATAATTCAAATAAATTGTTTGTTTAATGAATATTCTATCGGTTTAGTTAGTGACTGGAGAATTATAATAGCTTTTTTTTTTTAATAATTAAATAGTTTTATAGGAGTGGTCAACCATGAAGGCTGTATTCGGTTTCTTCATGCTGAGTAAGTGTTACATTTTTTCATACATTTTAATTATAAAAGAAATATATACATATTTACTAATAACAACACTAAAATTATTACTATTTCGTACGTTAATGTAGACAAAGTCTTTTGTCGTCTTTACAAAAGTCGTTTGCTTGGGTACCTCTGTCCCGTTCGTGTTTCTACCGTGAATCTATTGTATTTGCATGGCTGTTTCAGTTTGAACCCTGTAAATTGAATATAGCAGTCAATTTACAGGGTACAGAGGCATAACACCTCAGTCGTCAGGAATGGCAACGCATGGAGGGCATCATGGGCGAAACAGTATACTCTGTTATGTCCATGGTAGTGTTCATGTCTGTAGGTTACCACTTTACATCAGGTGTTACTCACAGTAACGAATTCACGAGGAAGTAACCATAATAGAGAACCGTGTGGAGCTCGACCTGACATTGACATATTTGTCATATAGCTATTGTGCTGAATTCTAGTTATCATAAAAGGAGAAAAAACTTTTTAAAATCACCACTGCCCAGAAGTGAGAAGATAGTGGGTTATTAAGGTGATGAAGCGTTTATCATAAACTAAACCACATTTGTTTTCTAGTTTTCTGAAAGTTAGTATTTAGTGGGAGGGAGGGCCAACAGTTTTTCGAGCTATATGGCCGGCCGATTGCTACTTTAGCCTATTTATCCTTCGGTCACTTCGGTTCTTATACAAATTTCTTCATTTCGAATACGGTCAAACAAATTTCGAACATAGTTTGCTGAGTAACTTAAAGCTACTTTAAACGGTTATTGATTTAAAATAAAAAAAAAATTCTAATCACTTGAATTAAATTGTAAAAACTGTATTTTTTTTTTTATAATTTAAATTATAATTTTAAATATAGTTTTCAAATTCAATTTAGAATCTCCAATTTGTCATTCCGATGTTTGTATATTAAATTTTCACTCAAAATATTGTTTTAAATTAATCTGTTATTAAAGCTTAGAATTGATTATGATGTACTTTCATTATTTACATATGTAGGTATATAAAGCTGTTTTTATTGTATTATATATTAAATTTTTTACTGGGTATTATTTAGTTTATCTTTAATTGTACGGTTATAACCCTTGTACATTCTACAGTTTTCTTTCAGCTTCTCAAAGGTTGACTGTAAGAGATCCCTTTATGGGATAAGTCCGCCATTGTATATTAAATCATTTATCAGTGTTCAATGTGAATTATGTACAATAAAGTTTTAACAATACAATACAATTTTCTTATGATTATAATACAAGTATTGTACAGTACAATGCAACCTCGAAATCTATCCAAGGTAACATAATAAAGGGCTTAGACCAATGTGACTTTCGTAAGATACCATACATAGAGTTGTAGACAGCTATTAATCACTCGGCTAGTTACATTGTACATTGTATTTTAAATAGAATAGTTTTATATGGGTAATATGAAAGTTTATGGGGGGTAAAGAGATTTTTGTTAGCAATTGAGTTTGACAGCCCCATTGCTAGCAATATGCCCGATTAGGTCGACCTCCACGTGGTTCCCCCTGGAAACCATCGTGAATAATTCTTATTGAATTCGTCACGATGGGCTAACTGACCTGCTTCATCCTCACCTATCATCCTTCACTGGTGCTTCGCCAGTGTATACCATTAGCATGGGTGGGGTTACCATTTTTTTATCACCCATTAAAAAAAAAAATATCAGGTCGATATCTACGCGGTTCCACTATCATTCCATTCCACAATTAACCATGATGATTAATTACGGATTTCGTCATGAGAGGCTAACTGATCTAATTAGGGGAAAAGGGAATGTTAGTAATGAGATTTAACAGCCTTATGTAGCCCTAAGTATCAGGTCGACGTTCACGCGGTTCCCCCTGGAAACTATAGTGGTTATTTCTTGTTCAATTGGTTACTATGGACCAACTGACCTGCCTTCATCCTCACTTGTCACCCATTAAAAAACACTGATCTGATTAATTGTGGAATTCATTATGATGGGGTAACTGATCTTACTTCGACTTCATCTATCGTCTCTTACTGGTGCTCGCCAGCGTATACCGATTGCGATGGCGGGGTATTCTATTTTTTTTTATGGGTGATAATGGTATGGTAACCCCGTATGCGCTATCGGTATACAATGGAGGGGCATCAGTGATAGATGACTAATGAGGATGAAAGCAGGTCAGTTAGCCCATCCTGTCGAATTCTACTAGAATTAGCCACGATGGTTTCCAGGGGAACCACGCGTAAAGGTCGACCTGTCAGGGTATATTGCTAATAATGGGGCTATTTGAGCCCATTGCTAACAATCCCTTTCCCCCCGGGGTATTCTATTATCATCCTTTAAAAAAAGCATGAAACCATTTTCTTCCCTCTAAAACTTTCAATAATTGGAAATTGTTAAAAATAAAGCAAAATGAATTAGTTTAATTAAAATCTAAATGTATCGAAATATACTTCTTTAAGCGGACTATGTATATATCATCATAGTCGTAGAATACTGACGGATCTTTATATGTAATATTTGTCAGATTCGTCAGTATTCTACGACTATGACGATATGAATACATATAATGTTTATAATGTAGTAATCACGTCACGATTTCTATTCTACTCTGTCAATATCGATGACTCAAACATTAATGGGCGCTAAGGTAACAATTAAGTAGAGCTTGTACTTAATGAGGTCTAATCTAAATGAACGTGGCACTTTGTTCAATGACATGATAACGAGATATATACAAGAAAGTTGTAAGTGGGTGTAAAGGACTTTTCCAGTCCATTTTGACTACAGCGACTGCTTGAAAATTAATGAGGACTATGGTGATTTGCTCTATTATGTGCCTTTAGACGACTACAGAGTCAATGATTTTTTTTTATACAACTTAGAATGGCAAACAAGCTGACGGCCCACCTGATGTAAAGTGGTAACCGTCGCCTATAGACATGAGCAGTACCATGGACATAACAGAGTATACTGTTTCGCCCATAATACCCCCCATGCGTTGTCATTTCTGAGGAACCAGGTGTTATTCCTCTGTACCCATTAAATTCACGCCATATCCCACCCTTCAAACTTTTGTACAAAGTCTCCCTAAGCTATGAGCTATATACTATTAAGCAACACGTAAAGACACCATTGACGTAATTATAGAAAATGGCCGTTGGTGGTCTAGCCTTAAGAGCATCGCATCGCATTTCACGTCCAAATCAGACTTTCTTTCTTTGTTGATAACGGGATAAACATCATATTATAGTATTATTAATCTTTTTATTAAAGATACATCAATTTAAATACAATAACATTATACATATCCCATATAAACAAGGCACCGCATCCAATAATCAAAAAAGCATGCATGGAAAACTCTGAATTTTTTTCGATGTTTCTTTGCGCGAATGATGTTTCGAATGTTGTCAACATTCTTATGTTACTGGAGTCACTTATTATCAGACAATTTGAAATATATTGGAGAAATGGGGAGTTGTAAGAACGTTAACGTGCGGCCCTGTTGCTAACGATATACACTGTCAAATCGACCTCCACGTGGTCTTTCCTGGAGATCATTATGATTAGTTCTTAACGATTTTATCATGATGTACCAACTGACTTGTTTTCCATCCTTCCATTTCTCATTGATGTCACGCCAGTATACCGCTAGCGTAAGCGACGTTATGATTTCTGTTTTATCATTAAAATAAAAAATATTGCATTTAGGTTCCATGGGTGTCAAGAAGAAGAAAAAGAAAGTTATCTTTCTTTTTTTTTTATACAACTTTGAATGGAAAACAAGCTAACGGCCCACCTGATGGAAAGTGGTAACCGTCACCTATAGACATGAGCAGTATCATGTACATAACAGAGTATTCTGTTTCGCCCATGATACCTCCCGTGCGTTGCCATTCCTGAAGACTCAGGTGTTATTTCTCTGTACCTAGTAAATTCACGCCATATCCCACCCTTCAAACCGAAGCACCGCCATACAATGTCTCTGATGCTGTTCATGTTCTATTAACAGTTATTTTAAAATAATTCGTTTACTATAAACAGGCCGTCTCATAATCTTAGTTGGTATTCCAGATAGATAAAAAAATTACCTAATCATCATCATCATATCATCCGTTAACCGTTCACTGCTGAACAAAGACCTTCCAATTGAAGGGTATTGCCAATATTTGCCACACTTGGCAGACGGATTAGCAACCGCAGTTAAGCTTTGGTGATGTTTTAAAAGGAACGCTGCTGCCCATGCCTCGATTATTAAATTCCCTTAGTTGCCTTTTAAAATCACGTAATCATCATCCACGGTAAAGGAAAGGAAAGAAGGGAAAAAATACCTAATAATACCTACTATATATGTAACTATATGCAATGTTTCAGTAATAGGAGCAGTACACCCGGACATCTCTGGGGAGTGTGATCTGGCCGGCTTCTACCTCGAATTGGGCTGTACGCCGATGCCCAAGGCCGACAACTCCACCATATGCCCAGAAGCTTTCCAATGCCCCGATCTGCATCCCGATCCTACAATGTGTTACTACAGGTAATTATTTTTATATAGTCATGTTTGGTTTTACATTTAGGTATATGTTTATATTGAAAAGTAAATAGATATTTAAGCAACAAATTTCAGTACCTTTTTCAAAATCACGATCGTAACCTACGTTCCTGTGATACTCTCCAACTCACCGTGCTGATTTCGTATCAAATTCTTTTATCTTACATTCTTCACGGCTCTGGAACGCGCTCCCTGACACCATAAAGAGTCTTCCGACTAAACTGTCTTTAAAAAAAGTTTATGCTCCCTTTAATATTTTAGCCGAGCAGTAAGTACTATCTATTATACTCATATTCGTTTATAATATATTTGTTATAATCTATTTATTCGTTTATATATGTAAATTTTAATATATATGTGTATCAATTATTGCTAGTACCGAATTTGTGTATTCTGACACTTCCCTAAGGTTGACTGAAAGATAATACTTTTAGCATTAAGTCCGTCTTGAACATACATGTACTAATGAATAAATAATATGAAGTTTTCAGTTCTAGTCAGAGTTATATTTAATTCTATCTATTAAAAGATCTTGGCGCTTTTAGAGATCTATTACCACTATCATGTAATAGGATTTTATTTATTTATTTATAAAAATATGTCAGAGGTAATCAAATATACAAAGGCGAAGTTAACTCCAAAAGAGTTCTCTTCCAGCAAACCCAAAGTGGAAAGGAGCATCAATGTCAGCGGGTAGGTTGGTGTACAATATTGTGAAAATTTTCAAACAAAGGAACTAGACAAACTTAAATTTATACATAATTACACTATATTTATTTATATAAATACACATATACATATAATATAGCATCTTTTATATATATATATATATATATATATATATATATATATATATATATATATATATATATATATATATATATATATATATATATATATATATATATATATATTAAAGTCATACGTCGTTATATTTTACTAGCTTATGCTAGGTATCGTAATAATAATATCATTTTTTATTATATGCCAAAGAGCACTGTAACAAAAATTCTGAGCAAAAAGTATCTACTAATAACTGATCGATCAAATCTGTAGGCTGATCTGATTAGATGTTATCTCCAAGCCACTTTAGAATGTTTCTTGGTATTATATAATATTTATATTAGCATTTATCAGGTCTCAATACAAAAATTAAGTAATAGCTTCTTATAGGTAGGCTTATTTAATTCATATTTTTTTTAAATAAATAAATATGTGTCATTTCCCTAACACATTTCCCAAATAATACATATATAAATAACATGTAACTTTAATTTTTAACCTGGTTAAAAAGTAAAATCCACTTAGTGGTATTACGGTTTTTTTTTGGTGGATGAAAATGAATTGGTAGCCCCGCCTGCGCTAACGGGATACGCTGGCGGAGCACCAGTGAAGGGTGATAGATGAGAATGAAAACAGGCCAGTTAGCTCATCATGACGAATTCACAAGGAATTAACCATGATAGTTTCCAGGGGGAACCGCAAAGAGGTCGACCTGGTTGGGTATATTGCAAGCAATGGGATTCTGAGTCTCCATTACTAACAATCCCTTCTCCCCCCTCTTTTGGAAGGTTAATTAATTTACTTTGTAGACGAAACATATTCTTTTCCTTGTAGACAGCAGCGTCGTCGACCTCGTGTTTTATTTGTGGGTTTTTACAACACAATTCGCAAAGCAAATTGACAGCAAAAAGCGGACAGTATAACTGCGAGTTCCGTTGAACGGTGACTACAGCCTTGGCATTGATTGTTGTTAATTTAAATAATTCAATAAGGACATTAGAATTATTATGTCTTTCATCTGTTTAGTTGTTTAATGTAGTATTGTTGTTTCTCCTATTAAAATTATAAATGTAAAATGCGTAAAAGTAAATGTTATCGCTATTTCAACCGTGAAGCAGTTGTGTTTGCATGGTTGTGTTTCGGTTTGAAGGGTATGGCGTGAATTTACTGGATACAGAGGAATAACATCTGAGTCCTCAGGAATGGCAACGCATGGGGGGTATCATGGGCGAAACAGTATACTCTGTTATGCTCATGTCTATAGGCGACGATTACCACTTTCCGTCAGCTTGTTTGCCATTCTAAGTTGTATAAAAAAAAATCGGACTGGATTTGAACAAAACTGTAAACTGGATTTAACGTATAGGTAAGGCTTAGATTATAAAGACAGAGTGTCTCCATAAAAATGCTTCGAGAAAAATGGGTCATCTTTTTCATGCAATTTTGCGTGATAAATAGTTATGAGTGATTCCTTTATAAATTCTATATTTATTTTGTCTTATAATTTCTGCATCTTTTTAATTCGTAAACACTTATTGTATGTATTAAATAATACATCAAGTTACATTTTATGCGTATATACATATACGCATATACATATACGTATATACGTATACATATAGAACACTGCTAAGAAAAACAAGTCAGCTAATTTGACAATTAGCTGACAAAAGTTGACACGTTTTTGAGGTTCGATGCTCTATCTATATAATTTAAGAGGTAAGGTTACATTTTACTTAACTCATGTTAGCTAAATGTCGGAACACAACTAATTAGGTATATAATTACAAGTTATAATTTGCTTCACCCGCATGAACTAGGTACATTATAAAATACCTTGTCCTACGTGGTAATGTAGGACATGGTCTATCGAGGTATGAGTACAGGTCTCATTTAAAATTGTGCCGTTGTTTAAATGTCATTGAGTTTCAAACATCATTATTTTTACAAATGTTTACATAAAATTGGTAATGTTAATATATTTAAATGTCATTTTAATCACTGGATGGGGAATTTAAAATTGTCACATGGGTTTTCAAAGGAAATTTCATCATCATCATCATATCAGTTTTAACTGTCCACTATTGAACACAAGCCTCCTCTTTGGGGATTTTGCCAGTAGTTGCCACGTTCGGCAGGCGAATTAGCAACCGCAGTTAGGCTTTGGAGATGTTTTAAGAGGGACGCTGCTGCCCATCTCTCGCCCTCATTTAGTCGGCTTTTATGACACCCACGAGAAAAGAATGTATGATATTTTTAAATTTATTGTTTTAATTTCATTTTTTTTTGCACATCACATTGCACCGTTAGTTGTCTACGGTCGACTGGTCGATAACACCATACGATATTATCACCACCATTTACACTAACTTTAATACACCAAGTTTCATAAATGAATACATCTTTAAAATGTTCAGATTCACTAGTAAAATACTTCCTCTCAAAGATCCTAACGAAATCGTTTTCACCTGTATGTATGACTATATTTCATACGTCTATATTTTCAAGGGGTGTTGCATACGGCGACAGATCGTCCATACCGCAGAATTTGATCAACAATCCGTGCTCGCAAGCGTGCAGCTGCACCGTCTCCGGAGAGCCGCGGTTCGAATGTGCAGCCGTCGACTGTGTGGAGACTTTCGACAGCGATCTCAAACTACAGTGCATTGACACCTACGATTTGGAATCGTGTTGCAGCACGGGAAATGTTTGTGGTGAGGTTTATTTTTTAATTTATTTATAATAATTAAGGCAGATATAGGTCTTCCTTATGGTAAGTGGTCGGGGCAGTGTAGTGTTAGCAATGGGGACTAGTGAACCCATTACTAACAATTATCCCTTGGGGGGAAAGGGATTGTTAGTAATGGAGACTAAAAATCCCATTGCTAGCAATATACCTAACCAGGTCGACCTCCACGCGGTTCCCCCTGGAAACTATCATGATTACTTCTTCATGATGAATTCATCAAGATAGGCTAACTGCCCTGTTTTCATTCTCATCCGTCACCCTTCACTAGTGCTCTGCCAGCGTATCCCGTTAGCGCGGGCGGGGTTACCAATCCATTTTCAACCAACAAAAAAAAACAATTATCCCTGTCAATTTGACGTTCTCGCGGTCCCCCTGGAAACCATCATGTTTAATTGCAGATGAATTTATGATGAGCCAACTGACCTGCTTTCATCCACATTGGTGGCCCGCTAGTGTATACGGATAGCGCAGCCGGAATTACCATTCCATTATCATATTTCCAAAACAACCTTTTAGTTTTTTAGTAAATAATTAAAACAACAACTTTACATAGTGGTAGATATATATATATGTATATGGTAACCATCCATAACATCCAAATAACAAGAACATATCGATTTTCTAATACGAACCTGCCAAAAGCAGATAGATTATCACAACAGAGCATTAGCTCTACCCACTCAAACTTCAACATTAGTTGACGAATGATGTTTTTGTACAATTTGTGTTATTACATATTTTATTATATGTATATATAAACACACATATATAGACATGTTATACACATGTATTTCACATACACACATATATATATATATATATATATATATATATATATATATATATATATATATATATATATAATCATATATATATATATATATATATATACATATATATATATATATATATATATATATATATATATATATATATATATATATACATATATATATATATATATATATATATATATATATATATATATATATATATATATATATATATATATATATATATATATCATCAAATCAGCCGTTAATCGTCCACTGCTAAACATTCCCCATAAAAAGGAAGTTTTGCTAGTAATTGCCACGCTTGGCAGGCAGGCTGACAACCTTTGGACATGTTTAAAGAGGGACGCTACTATGTATATGTATAGTACTATATATATTATATTGTAGGGGAGAAGGATTTGTTAGTAATAAAGACAAGAAATCCCTTTGCTAGCATTATACCCTACCGGGTCGACCTCCACGCGATTCCCTCTGGAAACCATCGTGTTTGATTTATTATTGAATTTATTACGATGGGCCAACTGACCTGCTTCATCATTATCTATCTCACTGGTACCTCGCTAGTGTATACCGATAGCGCATACGAAGGTTACCATTCCATTATCACCCATTAAAAAAAATTTAAATATTTAACTAAGTAATTGTTACTTATCCTATGCTTAACTTAACATAAGATAACATTAAGCATAGGTGTGTATTAACTACTTGCAGTGTATATTTTACATCGGCATCTATACTGAGCATAGCTTGCGGCACAGTCTATCGTATTACATCATGGATATTTAATACGCAAGTCACTACCAATCTATATATGTATCGTAAATAATAACTGCACACCGGAACTACTTATATCGAATACGATCCATTGTTTCTGTCTGTACTTTATTCATTTTAATCACCCCATTAAAAGCACATTGGATATTACTTTAGGTGTGTACTTAATATATTTAAACAAATCACGTCGGAACTATCATATTTTTTTTTAATAGACGATAATGGAATGATAACCCCTGCGCCTGCGCTAACGGTATACGCTGACAGGGCACCAGTGAGGGATGATTGGTGAGGATGAAAAATCAGGTCAGTTAGCACATCGTGATGAATACATCTGGAATGCAGCACGTTGGTTTCCAGAGGGAACCACGTGGAGGTTGACCTGACAGGGTAAATTGTTAGCAATAGAACTGATAGTCTGCATTATTAACTATCCCTTTCCCCCCGGTACTATCATATTTTGGCCGTATATTTATATTTATACAAATTTTATCTCACAAAATCAAAGACGGAAATACCCTCAGTTTTTGTAATTGACTAGGCTAGAATAGAAATTCATTTATTAGCTCAAACAGCTATAAAAAATAAGAATAAACATGAGATACTAATAAAAAGGACCAATGATATGAGGCCCTCAGAGTCAAAAGCGAAGGACCACACGTGTTGAAAGGCATTGGAAGAGGCCCATATCAGCAGTGAATATATACTTTTCCAGTCTGACATTATAATAATGTAGGTACCATAAGCACCTTTACATATTCGGTGAGGTCCATGATACTGTACATATCTATATATACTGTACATAGGCTATACTTACTATTTTTACGTTTAGTCTATTCTCAGTTATATAGAGAAACAAAGATTTACATTTCATATTCACCCTTTGAAGGGAGGGATATGGCAGTGACCGTTTAACCAGAGGGAGACTTTGTACAAAAGTCGATTGTCGTCGAGTACTTCTGTCCCATTCGTGTTTCTACCGTGAGCAGTAGTGCAGATATGGCGTGAATTTACAGGATACAGAGGAACACTTGAGTCCTCAGGAATGGTAACGCATGGGGGTTATCATGGACGAAACAATATACTTTGTTATGTCCAAGGTACTGTTCATGTCTATAGGCGACGATTACCACTTTCCATCAGGTGGGCCGTCAGATTGTTTGTCCTTCTAAGTTGCATAAAACAAATTGTTTTACAATAGGATTAAAGGAAAATAAAATGTTTACATGTAACAATGTCATTTCAAGCGATAATTTATTCTATTATATTATTTATTTTATTTTTTATTGATTAATTTTATGTTTTATTTTAGGTAAAGATGCAATTGCAAGTCTGAAAACTTGTGAAGTGGACGGAAAAACGTATAGAGCCGGTGAAACGTTTGAGCCAAAGAACACGAGGAAGACCTGTATATGTACCGGTGACTGGAACGGTTCCGTAGACAACACTTCGTACTGCAGAGAAATCAACTGCGGTATAGAGATACATTATCAAGAGAAAATTTTAGACAAATGTGCTCCTGTATTTGTGGGGAATAGACGGAGCTGCCCCATCGCTTTTCAGTGCGGTAAGTGAAATAATTTTTTTATGCAATTTGGAACAGTAAACAAGCTGACAGACTATTTGAAAAGAAAGTGGTAACCGTTGCCTAAAAACATGAAGAGTACCGTGAATATCCCAGAATAGACGTACTGCAACTGCTGATGTTAGCTTTAATATGTTATGTTTCCTGAGAACTAAGATTGTACGTTTCCATACCCCGTAAATTCACTGCCACATACCACTCTTTAAAGCGAAACACAGCCATGCTAGCATACAGCTACTTGACCGCAAAAACATGGAAGCAACAAAGGAACTGTTTTGTATAAATTTACCCTCATGTAAAAAATACTAGATTCACTATCGTAACAAAATCAGAATACCACCACAATTTCTTAATCTTCAGGATGTTATAAAATTAAAATAGTTGTAGCACTTCAGCTGCCCGATAACGACATGCTTTCTTACTGTATTGGGTTGACTGGAAGAGATCTCATCATTTATAGCTTACAAGTGCAATAAAAAATATATATAAAATACAATAATACAATAGAAGAAGAGAAAGAATTTATAGTTTATACTAGTTTAATATATAACTCCTGTGGAACCAATACACTTCTAAAATTAATTACATATACTAATTTACCAGAAAGAGACTTTGTACAAAAGTCGATTGCTTCAGTATCTCTGTCCCATTCGTGTTTCTACCGTGAAGTAGTTGTGTTTGCATGGCTGTGTTTCAGTTTGAAGGGTGAGATATGGCGTGTATTTACAGGGTACAGAGGAATAACACCTGAGTCCTTAAGAATGGCAACGCATGGGAGGTATCATGGCCGAAACAGTATACTCTGTTATGTCCATGGTACTGCTCATGTCTATAGGCGACGGTTACCACTTTCCATCAGGTGGGCCGTCAGCTTGTTTGCCATTCTAAGTTGTATAAAAAAAAACTTAAATTAACGGATCAAAAATTCCTTTTTCAGCAACACCAACAACAAAAGTGATCCGCGGTTTGAATCTGCGAAATGTCAACTCAGAGTGCGTATTCGGGAACATGACCTTGGCGGTCGGAGACGAGGTCGTGGTCGACGAGACGTGTACTAAATGCTCGTGTGATGTACCTCCTTTTGTGTCGTGCACCAAGGCAAACTCGTGTTAATAGTTTAGTCCAACGATTTCTAATTTCAGAATTTTATTTTATTAGCTATGTTTGGCTGTAATCCGTGACTTTGCATATTTGAATTAGGAAAAATCCTTGCTAAATAATAAAAGCAATGTCACATTTTGTAGGTCATCTTTATCACATTGAATAAGATATTAAAAAAAATATTCAAAAATTATGCTCGAGTGAATTTTGAATAGACTAATATAATAGGCATCATAAATTAAAAATTAAAAATGTTTGATAAAATTATGTTTTTTTATAACTAGGCATCTCAATAACTTGCCGAAGTAATTTTTATTATATACCACTAAGGCATCGCCGAATATTTTAGGCTTTACTTGTCATTGTAAATACTTTATGATTTTGAATAAACGAAGTCAATACATTTTTTACACGACTGCCCAAAAAAGAAGTGTAAAATTTTTAAGGTTCAATTTTTCCATCGCAGGTTTGAAACGCTAATCAGATTTGGATGTATGAGGCACCATTAGACTTGCCTATATCATCCCGAGTAACACTAGTTTTTTTTTTAATTCGTGTTTTCAGGGATTTGTGTTTTTTTTTTCTAATTTGCAGAGAAAAATATTCTTGTTAGATAAATAAAAGAGGATTATCACATTTGTTTTTTTTTTTAATCTTTATTCACATATTTATTAATGTAGACTCTATACAGAGTATCTGTTATAATAACAGTAGTAAAATAATAATACAATTACTCATGTGAATTGAATAGGTACTTAACTAAAATTCGTGTTTTGTATGAACGTAAATATTAAAATATAAAACTAAAAATAAAATGTAAAATCATATAAAAATTTTAAACTTATAAAAAACATGTCAATTAGGTAAGTATTTAATTATGCTTTAAAAATATATTTACATTATGTACACAATACGAAGACTCAGCCTTTGTAATTATTTATAATTTAATGACTAAATAAAGTTGTCACGGCCTTTTTTAATTAAGTACTTAATATTATATTATATTCATTATACTTATTATGTATGCGTTTACTATACAAGATCTAGAATTAAATGTTTAAGTATACAAATAGGAAACATTTTCTTTAATTCTTACAATTTATATCCTAAAATACGAGCTTTAACGTAAAATATGAAATACATGTCAGTAATACTTAGAACTAGAACTATTCCAGAGATAAAATATTGTTACTCATTTCGAATAGAATAAAAAACCTTTAAAAAATACGTATTATAATGAAGTATACCTGTTAAGGTATTAATTATACGATATTTATTTACTATGCCTAGATATAAATGCATTTTTGTATCTTATATTAGAAATATTTATATCTAAAGAAATAAGTACCTATTACATACTAGTAAGTGCCTACGAGTATTTACTCTTATTTGTAAGAATGTGAGTAGAGTAATACTTAAGTAAAAAGGCATGCAAAAAAAATCACATTTCTTTGACTGAGTATCTATCAACCTTATCAATATTAAAATGAATGATGGATCATAATGTTCATATGTCTATGAATATTTTAGGTAGGTACTAAGCATAATTTTACTTGTACGACAATGAAATAAATTTTTGTCCTATAAAGGCCTTAGTTAGAGTTAAAAACATTATTTAATTTTAATATTTTAAAATCTTTTTTATCATTAAAGAAATAAAATGCATAGAGAATACGCCCCTTATCCATAAAAATTGAAACATCTTATAAAATGTTTTCTGTTTTCAAATTTAAAAAATTAATGAACAAGAAAAAGACCAGAAGCTTCAATAGCTAAATTAGATGTAACGTTTTTATGAATAAGAGGGTAACTCTTTAGAAGTTATTGCTTTACAACGTTTCGTAAACAATCTATATTTTAGTTATTAAATTGTTTTTTATTTTTTTTATTTTGACTCTTCACTTGATAGAAACATGTTCTTAGACCAAACGATTTATCAGATCGCCATGTAGCACGCATTTATTTTATACTCATTTTGCAAATGGCAAAATGAACTTAACGTTATTTTTTAACAATTTTAATGGGTCATGTAATGTAATGTGACCCTTTCCACCAAAATACGTTACTAAGGTAAGTCGGGACATGTTACAAAACATGTGACACATCTGTTTTGGTGGGAATATTGTTATGACATCATTCTTTTTTTCTACTTGTGTAGTTTTATATTTTATAATTATACATGTATTCTAATACTTTATATAACTTGGTATAAACGCTCTACATTTGTATTACATAATGTATGTTTAGTGAACACATAATACGATTGACATTTTGGTTCAGTCACGGTTAAATCCCAATAACGTATTTAATGAATGTGTCAATCAAGCGAAAGTTTAAAATTAACTAGCTGCTTCTTACCAAGGAGATAAATTACTTACAATTCGTTTAAAAATAGAAAAATAAGCATGAAGTTTTTTAAATTTAAATTCTTCTTTCCCAATTATTTGATAACTTTCTATCCTGATAGATTATGTAACCACTTAGTAACAAAAAAAATATTATTTATTATTAGACAAAAATAAAAAATAAAATTGTTCTGCATCCGAGCATTACAGTATGCATAAAAGCACTGTGAACACGTGACTGAACTAAAATTATCAACCTTATATTAAAAGATAGTTTAATACACTGCCTATATAAAACAAGCCAATCCGAGTTCGATCCTGAACATTTGATTTGGTCTGCCAATATCTCTTACTCCAACATCCAGTAGCGGCAGCCGACCAGCCTTATCGGTGTCAAACTGAACAATAGTCTTCGCCCATACTTCTTTCTTGTACTGTTGGGAAATATTTTTATAAAGTTGGTGATATACGTTTTAACAAGCTCTTTTTACTATTACTGCTTATAATCACGACACAAGAGCTTTCTAGTGTCAATAGTTTTTAAACTTTCGTTGTACGCGATGTCTTGTAATGACAAACAAGCTTATAACCCATACTTGCTGAGAAACTACGTTTTACTTATAGACATGAACCATACAACTCTTTTTCTAGTAATTCCTCTAAATTGTTAACATTAATATGTACAGTGTTTTAATGAAATTAATTCAAATATAATAAATTCGAATCCGATGAGAACCCACACCTTTTGCACCATGAAAGGTCACTGTTATTATACGTGATATAAATTTGCTCTTCTTTGATCATATATCTGAATATGATAGATGGAGTGGAATCTAAAAGAATTAAGGGACCCATTGATATCGCGATATACTTAGCTAGATCCTTCTGAAAAGCGTACTAGTTAATTTCTAATAAATTAACCTAATCTCAATCTCACCTATCATCTTTTACTGATACCCAACAAGCATAAAACAAAAAGACGGTGTTACCATTCCATTTCATCCAATATCACTTAATAGGTTAGTTTAGTTCTTTCATTGTACGAACATCTATCTATTTTATAAATCTTTTATCTGACATTCATTCTAAATGTGCAAACTTATAAGTCTCCATTGAGGTTACTTACCTGACATTCATCCAGCAGTGCTTTGTATCTCAATCTGTTATTAGCCTTAGGTAATATCTCAGCATCGTTGTAAGCCAACAATTTAATGCCTCGACGATAGTTGTTCATCGCAGGGTCGTAGTAACCGATTGTGTTGCGACAGTGGAATGTCACATTCTGCATAGCTCTCGTTGACATAAGCTGAAGGTAAGTTAGCTGGGAATGATCTGCTTTGTATGTGATCTGTGAAAGAAATAGTTAACAAATTGTATTGAAATAGTAAAAACATAGCTCACAGAATTAACAATCAATCAACGGGGAAGAAAGGTTCTCGAAAGCGACCTCAAATATGTCACGAAAACTCAATGCATCAGAATCGTTGGCCATAAGTCTACGAGAAAACTTATGTTCAACAATGGGCATGATGATGGGCATGATAAAAATAAGTAAATCTATTTTGATAACCGTGAAGGTGTACGAGTAAAAATATAACGTGATATCACTTCTTTTTATCTTAGGCTAAAGTTATTCAGGAAATTAAGGATAATAAGTCACTGTAAGAGGTGAAAAACTCAAGACTACACCAAGTTTGTTTACAACATATAAATAATTTGATATGTTATTTTTCTATCGAAGCGGTGCATATAGTATATAGCACTAAAATTACATGGTATTGCACCTGAAGGTGGTCGAGTTATTATAGTCGAGATTGCATGAATGATATTTCTGTTATCACTAATATTCATGGCCGTTTAGAGACCTCTTGTAAATCAGATAATAAAAAGATGCATAATTTTATTTTATGATAGTTATAAAATCATACTCACAGTGAAGCCTTCTTCCATCTCGCTAAGCCAAGCTTCTTTCTCTTTGCTCTTGTATGAAATGTCTTGAGATTGCATTGGTTTTGGGAATATACAGCTCCCGCCGTTAGTCATATCACAGTGAACTAATATAGCATCGTTAATGTCCCCGCCATTAGGATCGATCCAATACTGACCTACAATTAATATTTATATGTTAGAATTATTGCTGTTTCGCTTATCTTTACCTGTATAGAACTTATGATTTTCGAAAACTATAGAAATTTTCAAAATTCTTCCTTAAATCATATTATATCATAGTGTAGTTAAAAATTGCAGATTTCCAAAGATAGAAATATGCCCAAAGACTAACACAAATTTAAATGAGGACATTTAAATTTGTGTTGATAGGTCTTTTCTTTTAATTTTTAATTTAATTAACCGTCTATACAAATTTATAACTTATATTTCTAGTATTATGTCTAAGTTGCTTGATTTCAAGATCAAATTGGCTAATAAAAATAATGTTTTCTGAATATACTTACCACTTTCAAAGTCAGGATGATGGTATTTAATATCTCCACATGTCTTCCCTGGTGCTTCTTTGGTGCCGTCGGGTCTTAGGAATTTATCCAGAGACACTTTAAGTCTTTCGTATGCTTTCATTACTATTTCTTTACGTTCCGCTGGCGTCATGTCTTCTTTGAAGAACCTTGAAGGCATTGAATTAGGGTCATCGCCTAATGGATCTGGACCTTTCACCGAACCTAAAATATTTATTCGTTGAAACAGCTTCATTACACATCTTATCAATATACTAAGAAAAACAATTTGATGTTACCATTTAAAATAATCTTACTCCTATTGGGTAACAACTAAGTATAGCTGAAAAACTTTAAATCCTTTTATACCATCAGTACGTCACCGCATAGTTTATTTTAATGAATTATTAAAAAAATTTCAATAAAAAAAAAGGATTTTAGATTAAATTTTACGAATACCACCTATATTGAATTTTGACGTGTAGTCCTGTAATCTTTAGTCCAATGTGGTCCAGAGGTACCAAACTATTTCAGTTAGTAACGTTAGTAACGTAGCTACCTACAGCTACTATTATTCTGTCATAATGCTCTAGTTGAAATATATGTATACAGACTAAAAACTTTCCGGTGAAAAAGTAGCATCGCGCGACATCCCTATTCACTATCCTTAGTTTTTTTTTTTTAAATTTCTGCTTTAAATCCTATGTAGTTAGTTATTCTTCCTTTCACCGATGCTCAATTATAGAAGATCATTAGATAATTTATTATAATGATGATTTGATAAATTAATTTGATTTTATAACAAAAAACATATCGTAAGTATTACCTTGTTGGAGCATAGCAGCAAGTGCAGCAGCATCATAAGCCAAACCTTCTCCTGCTGGACCGGGCGGTCCAGGCGGGCCCGGCGGTCCGGGTGGTCCGTGGCGACCGGCGTCACCGGCCGGCCCACGGGGACCGGATGGACCTATGGGGCCTTGTGGCCCAGGGCTACCATCGCGACCAGGAGTGCCTTAAAAAATAATAAATAATGTTAACAGGAGTAGGTTGTTAGTAGAATGATATATATATCAATCACATTAAAATTTATTTTTGTATGTGATTTCACTTAATTCTACTAACTTTATCATTCTTTATTTAATATTATTATTATATAATTCAGAAACGAAAATAATTATCGAAAAGAAAGATATGTGTTAATTTTCATATCAATATCAAAAAATTAAATTCAGTGAAATCATACAGCTACTGTAGCAAATGTATTGTTTATGTATGACTACAACATAATTCCTATAATAGAACAAACTACCTCTCGATCCAGGTTCACCATCCTTGCCAGGCGGTCCCATAGCTCCAGGTAGACCCCTTTCGCCTTGTCTTCCAGGTGCTCCTATCATGCCCGGTAGACCTGGCAACCCTGCATGTCCCTTAGCGCCGTCCGCTCCCGCTTCGCCCCGTTCTCCTTTAATCCCGTCCAAACCAGGTGGACCCTGTTTGCCTGTAGGGCCTTGTGGGCCATCCACACCAGGAGGCCCTGCTTCTCCTCTGGGCCCACGTTCACCTGCTGGTCCTGGAGGCCCAGCAGGGCCAGCTGGACCCTATTATTATAGAAATAGAATATAATTTTATTATTTGACGAAAACACAAAGTTTCAAACACAAAATAGAATGGGCCCCGCATTAGGCGAATCTGTATTGTGGACACCCGACAAAGATCTCTTTCTTGCTGCTTTCGTGGTATAAAAAAAATTGAAATAATTTTCTTAAATTTACCTGTAATCCCGGTAGTCCAGAAGGTCCCGAAGGACCTGGTTGTCCGATAGGTCCTTTATCCCCAGGTCGACCCGGAAGACCTGATTGCCCCTGCTTGCCCGGCCGCCCTTCTGGGCCTGGTTCGCCCATAGGCCCTGGTGGCCCTTGTAATCCCGGGCTGCCTGCATGCCCTGGAGCTCCATCTGCCCCAGGTTTTCCGGGAGCACCAGTCTCACCCTATAAATTGAATAAAATTAAGAGGGCTTGCTAAAAATAAAAATATTATTCTTATAATAATATCTCCTAAGTATACCGAAATGGAAAGAATCAAAATGTTTGTAGACGTTATATTAAGTTTTTTTTACAAATATCCGACTAAGAAGCTCACAATTAAGCAATGGAATATTCCTCCCTATATCAATCATATTCAGAATTAAAGCATGTTAGACATGTATGGACATGTTAACTAGAGCTGAAGGCCTACCATGAAATGTTTTCCGAAATTTCGGATCCGAACGAAACACAAATTTGATGTTAAAATTACATAATACATGCCATTTGGAAATATCAAAAATGTTAAAATATTGTTTCTTTGGACTTTTATGATAGGATGTATGACGAGCGAAATGTTAAACTCAATTTATTGGTCCGATTTTGGTATAAGCAAAAACACGAAATTGAGTCCGAAATTTCTGAATTTCATTTCATGGTAGACCCGCAGATTTCAAAGACATTTCGTAATGGAAATAAATAAGAAACTGGTGTACTTTATAATGATTAAGTTAAGTAATTTGTGAGATATCTACAGGCTACAATACTGTATAAAATTGCGCTTAATATCTTTAACTGAATAATTGTTTAGGAAAAAATTCCACATAGTACTAATACGAAATAACCACATTATATTTTATAATTTTTATATTGAATGTATACCTGTGGACCACGAAGTCCTTGTGGTCCGGGTGGCCCGACCATACCAGGTAAACCACTTGGCCCTCTTTCGCCAGACGGCCCTGGAGGTCCACTAGACCCCTGTGGTCCAGTTTCACCTTCACTGCCTCTCTCTCCTTTAGGTCCTTCAGGCCCTGGTGGACCTGTGAGACCAAGAGGGCCAGGTGGCCCAGGTCTACCGGTGTCTCCAGTGGCACCTTTAGCTCCTGGTATTCCTGGAGCACCTGCTGGTCCTGTACTCCCTTGTGGACCCTGCATAATAATAATAATTTTAAGACAAAATAATACAACACATATTTTTTCATTTTTGAAAAAAACTAAATATTAAAAAGAACTATTTAAAGATTATATGCAAAAACATTTACAAGAGGGAGATTTTGTACAAAAGTCGATTGCTTGGGTACCTCTGTCCCATTCGTGTTTCAACTGTGAAGCAGTTGTGTTTGCATGGCTGAGTTTCAGTTTGAAAGGTGGGATATGGCGTGATTTTACTGGGTACAGAGGAATAACATCTGAGTCCTTAGGAATGGCAACGCATGGAGAGTATTATGGGCGAAACAGTATACTCTGTTATGTCCATGGTACTGCTCATGTCTATAGGCGACGATTACCACTTTCCATCAGGTGGGCTCAGCTTGTTTGCCATTCTAAGTTGTATAAAAAAAGAGAAGACAGTTATAATAAGACTTACTTCTGTCCCAATATTTGGGACAGAAGTACTATTTTGATACTATGAACATGATTATTACCGAGGGCCCCACATCGCCTGGTCTACCAGGCAGACCAGCACGACCAGTTTCTCCTTTATGTCCTTGTTCACCTCTTGCTCCTTTTGCGCCTGGTTGCCCGGGTAAACCACGCAAACCCTGTTCTCCTTGTAAACCTTGAAATAAATTAAAAATATAACAGTATAAAATTTTTATCATTAATATGCCTAGGTGGATTATTTTATTTCATAATAATTTTATTGTTTATTATTTTTAATATAAATTAAAACAAAATTTTTATTGAACCCAATAAGCTAAAAATAATGAAAATTTGCAGAAAAAAGAATCAATATAGCTTGTAACTCGGCATCATACTGGATTCTAGTACTGTTTTCTAATAAGGTCGTTACGTTATAAATTACTACAACAAACAGATATGAATATACATTCAATACCTGGACTACCCGGAGATCCTTGCTGTCCTTTAGGCCCGCTGTAGCCTCTTTCCCCTTTCAATCCTGGCATCCCAGTTAAACCGGGTGGACCAGGATGTCCGGGTGCTCCTTGCGGTCCAGGCTGGCCACGTTCACCAGTTGAGCCGGGTGCCCCTGCTTCACCAGGAACACCTGGTGTACCCGGTTCTCCCCTCTCAGCTGGCTCGCCCGGAGGGCCAGCAGGACCTATAGGACCCTGCGGGCCTTGTTCTCCTTGACGTCCTGAGGAAAGCAAAAGTAATTTTTAAAAACTTGATAAGTAATTTTATAATCAAATATAATTCCAAGTAATTACAAGAATTAACAAAATTCTTCTCCAGGTGGAGGTAGTTTATTTTTCAATTGAATTGACTTGAATTTTTCACTTCAATTATTTATACATATATATATATATATATATATATATATATATATATATATATATATATATATATATATATATATATATATATATATATATATATATATATATATATATAATCTATGGTAAAAAGAAAAAAAAATTTGCTTATTTGTTTGTAATAAATAAACTCAATATGTCCTTATTAATATTACAAATGTGAAAGTGAATTTGTTTGCTACCTTATATTGTCTTAAGAGCTTAACCAATCATTATATTTGGTTTACACGTACTATATGGGATAGAAAAGATTACAGGTTACTTTTCAACACAGTCAGTAAGCATACCTTGTTCACGCAAAGTCACGGGTAAATACTAGTAATGAAAGAAATATCTCACCTGGAGCACCATCATTCCCAGGAGGACCAGCTGAGCCTCTTTCTCCCTTTTCTCCAGGAGATCCAGTTTGACCTCGAGGTCCAGGTAATCCCATAGCCCCGATTGGACCGGGATGTCCTTTAGTACCTCTGGGACCTTCGGGACCCTATAATAATGTGTACTCATTTAAAAATCAATATTTATACATCATAAATTTAGGTATAAGAATAAAAATGTATTATTTGTAAATATTATAATGCTCAAATGTCTTACTTACGCTTATACCAAAAATTATTAAGAGAGTGAGGAAGTGGCGAGAGCGAAGCATGGAGCACTTGTGTCTTGTTCTTCAGGAAATGAGTACTAAAAACTAAGACAGTGTAGTAATACGTTTAAGATACTTACCGGTAGACCGTCTGGACCTTGAGCGCCAGCTTCGCCTTTCTCTCCAGGAGCACCGGGCTGACCAGGTCCACCTCTTTCACCAGGGAATCCCCTTTCTCCTCGTGGTCCTGACGGTCCTGGTGGCCCAACTGGACCTGCAACACCAGGCTCGCCATCTTTACCTGGCGATCCTGGTAAACCGGCTGACCCGGGCATTCCCTGTAGTATGAAAATAAATTGAACAATTAGAATATGATCTAGTTTGTTATTTCCTGTGATAAATATCAAAAAAATAAGAAAAGAAAACATTTTTGTCTGCCTAAATTATTTTTCTTTTCTACTTATAATAAATAAAGTATGTTTAGAATAATATTGTAAATCTCAAATAATGTAAGGTGAAGCTACATTGATGATAATATAATAATAATAGCATTAGAATTGGGATTTTTACCGGAAATCCTGTCGGTCCGGCTGGTCCTGTAGGGCCCCTTTCTCCAGAAGGACCAGGGGGTCCTTGAGGTCCTTGAATACCTGGTCCACCATCCCTTCCAGCATCACCTTTAGGCCCTTGTGGTCCAGCTTGACCCGGTTCGCCATCTTTACCTGGTTCACCCTAATATATAGTAAAAAAACAACATGTTCATTCAAATATCTTTAATTTGCTATATAGTAAAAATGTAAATTGGACTCTATTTTCTGCGCTTAGCCTCTCATTTGGGGTGTTGTGCGTAGCGCCGTGTGCCACTTGCCGTATAGTTGCGGCATAGAATAAGCCACCTCTTACTTTTCCATGGTTGTCGTAAGAGGCGACTAAAGAATCTTAATGGTCTTGGTTAAACAATCTTAATGGGATGAGTAGTAGCGTGCCTCTAAAACATCATCAAAATCCTAATTGCAGTTACTAACTCGTCTACCAAACTTGATAACTGCTGGCAAAATCCCCTTTATAGGCTGTTAACTAACCACTGCTAATCATAAGCTAGCAGCGAACAATTAAAGGTTGATATGATGATGATAATAATAATGAAATTAAATAAATAAATGATCTTCGCCTTAAATAACTGAAGTACTAGATAAATCAAGGGACTTTATTATTCCTTTTATAATAATATAAAAATGGAATTGTAATAAATAAATTATAAATATTCTGTTATGAGACTCACTTGTAATCCTCTCTCCCCAGGGCTGCCCATAAGTCCTGGTGGTCCTTGTAATCCTTGAGGTCCTTGCTCACCAGGTCTGCCGTCAGCTCCGGCTATTCCTCTTTCTCCTTGAGGACCAGTCTTGCCTGGAATACCTGGTCTTCCAATAGGTCCCCTAGGTCCTGATAATCCCTGTGGACCAGCCCTACCAGGATCTCCTGCACTCCCTTTCGGTCCAGGTAAACCAACGCTGCCTCTTTCTCCAGGTTGGCCTTTGGGACCCATAGGACCATCTGCACCAGGTAAACCTCTCATTCCCTGTAAACCTCGTTCACCTTGAGGCCCAATGTTACCAGCAGGGCCCCTAAGACCTCTCTTTCCTCGTTTGCCTTCTGGTCCAATACTACCAGGTAAACCTCTAGGACCAGGGGCGCCAGACTCTCCACGTATTCCAGCATCACCCTTGGAACCTCTTTCACCTGGTTGGCCCTAAAAATAAATAAACAAATAAAACAACTTGCATTAACTTTTAATTGCATTATAATCACAAACTAATGAAATGGATGAATGGAGTTTATTGGATTCATCTGATCAAGGACTTAAATTTTTTCGAAGAATTAATTTATTTATATATACATATTATGATTTCATAGTATGCCAGAACTTACCGGCATTCCCTTTGTTCCAGGCACACCCGGGTCTCCGGGGAGACCTGGCGTCCCTCTTGGACCAGGAAATCCTTGAGGTCCTGTCGCCCCATGTGGACCTTGAACACCTTTTTCACCCGGTGTACCATCTCGCCCAGGAATTCCTGGAGCGCCAACTTCACCGGGTTGTCCTGGCCTTCCGGCTTCTCCTCTAGGGCCTTGCACGCCTTGGCTGCCTTTTGGTCCTGCGACGCCTTGCTCTCCTTTGATACCTGGAGAACCCGGAAAACCTGGCGCACCTGTTTTTCCGACATTTCCCTAAAAAAATAAAAGGAAATTATTTTTACTGAAGTTACTAAAGAAAGTCTTTTGAAAAGTGGCAAACATTACGTGTTCCGATTTAGAAAACATTAGAAAGAAAATAATTATAAGCTAGTCAACATATTGGGTATTGTGACAAAAAGTCTCAAAATACATAAATCGACAACATGGTGACAAGTGAATATGCTTTTGCGATTGTAAGCATTTATACATATTCTGCGGCTATTAGGCAAACCATAAACAACAGAATGTAGGATGACATCCTACAATTGTCTAAAAAAATAATAATAAAAATCAGTACTTACCATAAGGCCTGGTGGCCCCGGCGGACCATCGGCTCCGCGCATACCAGGGGGACCAGGTGGACCCTCACGGCCTCTTTCGCCACGAGCACCTATTGGACCCTATTAAAATTTCCCAATAATTTTAATAATAATGTAATTAAATCCTCGAGTTTTCCAGACGAAATATAAAATTGTACATAATTTTATCGACAAGTAGCTTTCTGTATGCAGTGATCTTATTTGAAAGATGAGATATGACAAAATACTAAATATTGTAAATGAAGATCTTTCTAATTATAAGAGTTAGAAAAAGACGAGTAATGTGTTTTGTTGCTTGAATGGCAACTTTAATTATTATTACTTTAATTAACTTTAATATTATTTTATACTTTATTTTTTTATATATAATTATTAACTTTAATTATTATTAAAAGCAGGCTTTATAATGTTGGCTCTTATAGTATATAAATAAATGTAACTGACAAATTCAATACTGAATCCATGTATTCAATTATTAGCTTTATATGAACAGTACAACTATTTGTCATTATTGATTAATATGACTAACCATAGGCCCTGGTGGGCCCATTTGTCCAGGGAGTCCAGTTGGTCCCTTTTCTCCTGGTTGTCCCTGATCACCCTTAGCACCGTCTTTGCCATCAAAACCTCGATGGCCTTTCAGCCCCTGAATGCCTGGTATTCCAGGAACCCCTCTAGGTCCAGGCTGACCTACCGCACCTGCTGGGCCCTGTTCACCGTCTTCACCAGGTGAACCCTGTAATTAATGTTATTTTTAATGCATACTTCGGTTTTACTATAGTAGTTAAAAAATACTATCATTTAAAAGAAAATTAAAAAATTATAGATATATAAATACATCTTTTCCCGGGAGTCCCGGTGGTCCTCTTTCCCCTGGTGATCCTTGTAGTCCAGGTAGGCCTGGTTCTCCAGTCTCCCCTCGAGGTCCTTGGAAACCTTGCGGGCCGGGCGGGCCTTGTGGTCCTAGGGTGAAAACAAATTTTTAATTGCCATGTCTTTAAATGTAGAATAAGGATTTATTTGTAATTTTTTCCATAATGCTATTCAAACACAGAAGAAAAATTCTTATACATTCCTACCTTCCTCATCTGAACACAGAATTGTGTATTATCAAGATTATATAAATCAAAGTAACAAAAGAGTTTATATAATAAAAAAAGATATATATATATTAATTTTTTTGGTAAAAAATACATACATTCACCAGAGGGAGACTTTGTACAAAAGTCGTTTGCTTGGGTACCTCTGTCCCATTCATGTTTCAATCGTAAAGCAGTTGTGTTTGCATGGCTGTGTTTCGGTTTGAAGGGTGAGATATAGCGTGAATTTACAGGGTACAGAGGAATAACACCTGAGTCCTCAGGAATGGCAACGCATGGCGGGTATCATGGGTGAAACAGTACACTCTGTTATGTACATGGTACTGTTCATGTCTATAGGCGACGGTTACCACTTTCCATCAGGTGGGCCGTCAGCTTGTTTGCCATTCTAAGTTGTATAAAAAAAAACATGAATAGTATCTGCGATCCTAATAAATATAATATGCAGTGATAGTAATAGTTACAATGAGACAAAGCATAGAAATCCAAAGAAAAGCGAAAATATTTTTTTATGTCTTACTTTGCTTATGCTTTCATTTTTCAGTGAATATTAAATTAAAATTAATTTAAATTTAATAAAAATTATTTACATTTTGTATTGAAAATGTAGTGTTTTTTTTTTTCTAAATATATATTAAAAGCAAACTACGTTGGTAATATTAATAATAGAAGTAACGATTAATTTACCTGGTATTCCTCGGATGCCTGGTGCTCCTACAGAAGCTTGCATATACTGATACGGATCAAAGGCAGGCCCTTTATCACCTCCTGCAGTAGCTGCTAATTGTGCCAGGTATGCATTTACCTATTCAATAAAATTATTTTTTTAAACATTAATCAAATTGATGAAAGTATTCTAATATTTCAACTTGATTTTTTTGAGTAGGTAGTTGGAGAAAAAATATCCTTTTTCTCCCCAGAATGTCGTAAGGGGTTAAAATACAATAAAATTAAATCCCAAACCATTTGGCCAGTGCGCTAAAAGTTGTCTAATGTTCTCCTGCTGTATCGGGAAAGGCAAATGCTTTGTCTAACAGTAGAAAATTATTGTAATTGATTTTACATTATTGTATAAAACTAAGATAAAATAGTCGAATAATCGAATTTTATATCAGTTTATTCGTTTCTTTAAATTAATTTTAAAATAATAAAAATAGCATCAAATGTTACTCACATCAGGCATTGGGCCAGCAGGTCCGGGTATACCAGGGGCACCCGGGACACCGTTAGTACCCGGTGCACCGGGTGGTCCTGTCGGTCCGTCGTCACCCGGGGGACCGGGCACACCTCTCACAGGGGTGGTCGTAATGGTACCGGCATTGTATGAAGGCCTTACTGCTGAAAAAAGTCTGATCAGACGTCTGAAGAGTTTTATATGCAAGTAATTAAAATTCATATGACCTTCGGATATATATTAAATTCACTAAAAAATATACGTCAATTCTGAACAAAAAACTTTTTATTAAATGGTGAATCCATCTGCATTAGTTCCAGTGGCGTAACAATAGGGTGGCAGGGCTGGCAAAATGCCACGGGCCCCCGATCCAAAAGGGCCCCGGCTCAAGAGGCCGCGAGCTCAGATTTTTTTTTACCTTGTACCTGATTATTTTATTTGACTTGAAAATAAATGATAGGGCCCCATCAAAAAAATTTGCCACAGGTTCCAAATGGTATAGTTATGCCAATGATTAGTTCCTTACTAATTTTGACAAGACGGTTTTAAGAATAATAATAATAATCATCATATCAGCTGTTATCTATCCACTGCTGACCATAGGCCTCTCCCATAGATTGCTTTAAGAAATTGGACCATTCTTTAAAGCAGTTTACCATTGAAGGATTTTGCTCTTAGTTGTCACGCTTGGCAGGCTGGTTGGCGAGCGCAGTTCGCTTTTGGTGATGTTTTCAGAGAAACGCTGCTGCCCAACCCTCGACCATTAAATTCGCTTAGTCGCCTTTTACGATAATCACGAGAAAGAAAGGGACGGCCTATTCTACGCTAGGACCACACGGCAAAAATATTTAAGAATTAAATGATGTTTAGTTGGTGTAATATTATTTATTTGTAATTTTATGTACCAAATTCTATTAAAGTATTGTAAAGATAAGAATATTAAATATCCAATATACTATATACCAAAGAATGGAAACACAGTTGTCAAGTCTTCTATATTTTATGTAATCATGTTACGTAATTACGTCGTTAATTCTGACCGATTTTTGTTATTCCTTTGCAATCGAAAGTTTTCACTCCCGTATTAGTTTCATATTACACACAGCACTTTTTCTCTGTGAGACAAAATACTGTACGTTATTAACCAAAATCTACATTTTTATTTATTATTTCAGCTGTTCACTGACCACCATTAGACATAAGCCTTCCCAATAAGGAAAGTTTGGCTAGTAGTTGTCCCGCTTGGCACGCGGGTTGGCAACCGCATATAGGCCTTTAGAGATGTTTTAAGACGGACGCTACTGTCCATCCCATCGCCCTACAACATTGGTAAAGTATATAGTATATACTATACAAATATAAACATTTTTGTATAGTATTTTTTTAATGATTCTACCGCCTATTCAGATGCTAACTTTGTAGTATCAATATTGGTATACTGTCTGATCTCGTATACTACAAAAGCCGCAGAATTCAGCTTAACCCCAAAGCTTTATATTGAGCGTTCCAAAAAATTTTTGTAATTTGTAATTGAAATTATTTCTTTCGCTTTTAATATATTTTATTTCAAGACACTTTCTTTTGTTTACTTATAAACAGATGTTAGACTTCTGTACTAAAACGTGTGTTAAAAACCTGTAGATTACAAGTTTTACATTTTTGAGGGATGACGGTATATAGTTTAAACTAAAAAGATGCCAGAAATTAACTGGTTACCTGTTAAACATTCCGGCAGGATAGAGCAGTTCACTCTACCGGTGTAGCACTGGCAGAGCGTGCAGTTGTCTCTTTTCCAGTGTTCCCCTTCAATCCACACACGACCTATGTCGATGCACCTCGGCGAAGGTGGAACTGTGTAAAAATGACTCCTAATTAGTATCACTTACTTCTAGACGGCCTAAATTAAATAAACAAAAAAACTGGCTTTTAAGTTACACCTTCAGAAATACGGCAGTGAAAACCGCAGTCAATTTGGTGCTGTAAGTTTTGCATAATGTCGGCACAAATATACAAATAGAAATAGATGCAAAAATTGTAAAAAAAAATGTTGACTCTTCATATATTTTCCTTCTAAATATCTCCTAAGTACAGACATTGTCCAGTAATTTTATTATATTAGTCAAATAAGATAGTAAAATTTACCAAGCCGATACTCTATTTTATGAAAAGGGGTAACAGAAGCTTGTAAAGATAATATCAGTGAATGACAATAAAAAGTAACAATGAATTTATTTCGTTCATTTAATGTCATAAGAATAAATAAAAAAAAAGCGGTAACGGTATACACTGGCAATGCACCAGTAAGAAATGATAGATGAGAATGAAAAGGCAGGTCAGTTAGTCCATCGTGGTGAATACACCTGGAATTGAACACGACGGTTTCAAGGGGAGACCTCGTGGAAGTGACCTGACAGTGTATATTGCTAGCAATGGAACTAGTAGTCCGCATTACTAACAATCCCTCCCCTTTACCTAATAAATACATTAGGCGGCAACGCACTTAGCGTGCTAACGACCCGCGTCAGATTATCAGCTGAATCAATCAGTATTAATACTTCTTGATGATTTTACGGCTTGACCAATTACCATAACTTTTAGCACACTTATATATAAAGTTATTTTAAATAATTATAATAAAACATACCCCTCGGTGGTGGGCTAGGAGGTCTGCGGTTTGGGGGCGAGACTGTAACAAAACACATCTACGCTGAGTATATCAGACTGCATAATTGTGTAAGTACACATTTTGAAAAGGAGAAAGATTATAGTATAAGTAATTTAATGCTAGTAATCTAGTAATGAAATTATATGGTAGTATTTGACAAATAATTAAAAAAAAATTTATTCAACTTAATAATAAGCATTTTTTAATAGTTATTTTTTTATTAATCTACCGTCCAGTTCGGAATGCAATTACAGCTGAGATGAACGGGCAAGGAACACAACTGCTTTATTCAAATAAGAGTCAAGTGTACAACAAAAAAAATATAGCCGGATAAAATAACTATCAAAAACTTCGTATTGATAAAAGAAAGAAAAAGTTACAACGCTAAATCATAGTATTCTTGAATAGCCCAGTCCCTACTAGAAGCACCCGTTCACGAGTATGACGAATGAGCCAGCCATCGTTGTGTTCAACCATATTATAGGGAGCCAACGACCCGGCACACCACGCTGCCACCAATCTGAACATTAAAGTGAACATAACTTGTTCCAAGATACGCAATTACGTCAAAAATATCTATACTAAATTGTATGTGACGATCAGTATATCCAATCATCACAGGCATTTTTTTTTGTCAATAAATAATAGTAGTTAATGAAACAATAAATCATAGATATGTTACAAGGAAGGCAAGTATGCAAAGTAATATTGAACTTACTCGTTGATCCTCTGAACTCCCGTCCGACTAATATAGCTGTAAAAGAAAATACGAATAGGTACACGATTATACTAAATACCACACTTAAAATCTAATAATAATAATCTTATATATAAAATTCTCGTGTCACGGTGTTTGTTACCAAACTCCTCCAAAACGGCTTTGCCGATTTTTATAAAATTTTGTGTACACATTGGATAGGTCTGAGAATCGGCCAACATCTATTTTTCATACCCCTCAATGATAAGGGTGACCCACCCCAAAAATTTTTTTTTAATTTTTCAACAAATTTTTTTTATTTTATTTTACTGTGATTTAGCATTGAATAAAAATACATACAGCTTCAAATTTTTACCCTTTTACGATCAACTCCTGTTGTTTTATCGTGATTTTTATATTCCGCAATAGGGTTGCAAGATGACAATGGAATATAATAATTGTAGTACGATATATTTTCATGTATAGTTCTAGAAATAATGTATATGGTAAAACAACGTTTACCGAGTCAGCTAGTATAAATATAATAATAATGATGGTAATGCAGATACTTGTATTTTCTCGTTGAATATAAATTATAAAAATTGTAAATTGTAATTTATGAAACTGTATCTTCCTTAAATTAAAATTATTATAATTAAAAATATATTTAATAAAAATTATTATTATTTTATTTATTAATCTTCACGCCTGATTGAGTATAGGCAGAGAAAACCGATTGTCAAAAACCCCTATCCTTACCACTTTAATTGGTATTTATAATGTAATCTATTGCAGGGAATAATAAAAAATAGGTATCTATGAATAGGTGTCTACCGTGAAGCAGTTGTGTTTTCATGGCTGTGTTTCGGTTTGAAGGGTGAGATATAGCAATGAGATTACAGGATACAGAGGCAGGAAACGGCAACGCATAAAGGGTATCATGGGTGAAACAGTATACTCTATTATGTCCAGGTACTGCTCATGGCGATGATTACCGCTTACCATTAGGTGAGCCCTTAGCTTGTTTAACATTCTAAGTTGCATAGAATAAATGTATCTAAGGATATAGAGAAAAATCTTCTTTGATTTAGACGTATAAGAGTTTTCTTTTATTATTTATATTAATTATTGAAAAAATAATATAATAAAATATTTCAACAACTATATTTAGATTCAGTATGATCGACTTTTTATCATAAGGCTATGTTAATTATTGCATGGATTACATCTCCTAATTCGTTTAAAAACAGAATTTTCATCATGCCTCCTATCAAACTGTTTATAATTACTCTTCACCATCCAAAGGTTGCCTGGAAGAGAACGCTTTTAGCCATAAGGTCGCCCATTGTTTTCTCACTATGATGATTTCTCGTAATTTTTTGTATCTATAATAAGTTCACTATTGTAATCTTTTGGAGGAAACAATAAAGAGTATCTATCTAACTGTCTATTAATGTATTTGTTAACGGGGTTCACCATCACCGGATAAACATACCGTTATCGTCTTCATCTAAAGGGTTGTAGTCGTCATAATTGAGATCTGCCTCCTGCGCCTGAGGCAGGTTCTCGATGTCGACCCTTGGTGTCACCTCGTGTTCCTTGCACGCAGCTGGCAACAGGAGAAGTGCCAACCACGCGACTCTCGTTTGCCACCACATGCCGCCTGTGCAAAGAAAGATTTATTCATTCCATAACCTGAGTGTTCGTTGGAAAAAATATCTCTGAAACCGCGTTGTACGCAATCATTTAGGGTGTAGGATATGAGGGTGAACTCCCTGTCGATGGCGAGCCGTACGATGTCAGAAGTTGGCCGAGGGCATCATATTGAACAATTCCTCTGAGCACAATCCGTTTTACAAGCGGTAGAACACGCAGAGTGACGCAAAATTTCTCCTAAGACTAAGGGTTCGATACTCGACTAGTCTATCACTAGTTCTCTTTTTTTTTTAATTATAATAAATAAAATTTCACACGATCTTGTTTTTATTAAACCTTCTCATATATAATTAAAATTATTGCTTAAATCATTTCTCAATCTATTTTGTTGGTATGTACGATTGATATGACCGACTAAACAAGTGAGCTAATTTGAATCATAGGCAAAAGGTCTATAACTGTAGATGTCATGAGCAATATATGCTCTCGGCCCAGTAACCTTAACGTACCTACTAGTGATGTGCCACTGGAATGTGAATCGATTATATCACAATCGATATAACTCGTACTAGTATTGGAATGAAAGATCAAAAGACTAACTAAAATTATTAAAATTAACAAACTACTTGTTATTCAAGTAAAGTTGAACGACATTCAACGATTTGATTTTTCGATTATAAAAATATAACTATTTTTCGAGTTTTAATATTATAATCTGAATTTATCACATTATAATGCAATATTATTTGCTAAATTCAGTTAAGAAATGTAACAAAGATTAAACGCAATACGCATTATATCGCTAAAAGCAATTTTAGCAAGACAAGTTTAGTCGTCATTAAGACGAAGATTATTGACATCATAAATTTAAAGATATAAGTTCAGCTAGTAAAATAAATTCATAAATAAGGTTCATAATTAAAACTATTTTTACTTAAACATCGAATCGAATAATCAAATACACGATACAATTTCTTGAATCGACAAGCGAATCAACCGTTTACTTCTTGCACGTGCCTACCACCCATCTATCTGTATACAAATGACAGTATCAATTGGCTGCTGTAATAATTAATTTTAGCAACCGATGCAATATTGTGTGAACGAACCAATTTGTTTATTTAACTATTGTCTATGATCATTGGAGGCCATTGCCCACTTTCGCTCGTTGTGATTTTGGGAACAGCTGCCATTTTGAATTGGTATGCGTCCATATTTAGTTAAACATCGCATAGTAACAATTACGTGTTATTTATAAAAAGAATACCACGAGCTGTTGTTATGAATTGCTAATAATTTTGTCAAATTGTATAATTGTTGGAAGAAATTGTTGGTAATGTTTTGTCAATGCCCAATTTTATGGGTTTCCGTAGAAAACTGTCAATTTAATGAATTGTAAATCCTGGTCGTGTGGTTGGCATAAATAAAACACCCCTTCCTTTCTCGTGGGTGTCGTAAAAGACGTCTAAGGGACGAGGGATAGGCAGCAGCGTCCCTCTTAAAACATCTCTAATTTCTGACTGCAGTTGCCAATACACCTGCCAAGCGTGGCAACTACTGGCAAAACCCCTCAAGAGGGAGGCTTATGTTCAGCAGTGGACGGTTAAGTACTAATATGATGATGATGATGAAATAAGAATTGTAGTTCTTACAAATTATTAAAATGGTTATTTTGTTTATAAAAGGTTTCAACTCGATTTATTTTTAACATATTAGGCATTCAAAAGTCGAGAAAAAGACATTTAAACTTCTGGGAGTACCTGTGAATTTTGTACATAAAATCCGAGTAGTTCTCTAGTCTATACCATGGCTTTGTTATTTTAGTTCAAAGTCATAAATTACGAACAATAAATTATTTACGCTATTGTGGATTAACAGATTCTAACTAAATCTAACTTAAATGAGAATCCATTGTACCTTCCTCGGAAACTTATTTTTTATTCAAAAATATAGGCCCGTAAAACACTGCTTGGTACACACTAGTTCTTAGCCACGTATTCATTCGCGTGAGCGAGTATAAAACATAGCCCTAGTCTAAACATCTCACAAACTTTTACCATTGCCATATTAGTATGATAATATTATAATCTCTATTTGTCTGTTACTATACATAGTAATTAATAATGTAATTGGTAGAAATTAAGATTTATTTATTAATTTTATTGACCACATTATACGAGTAATAATATAAATAAATATTTATTCGTAGAGGAAGTCCAGGCATAATGAACAGCTTGGTAAAAGGAATATAGTTAATAATGGAGGGAATTACTCGAAAATGACGAGCCCTAGTTCAGCTGTCTTGCTCTTTTAAGGAGCTCATTTAAAGTAAGGTAACTAAAGTAGTTCACATCGTCTTTTCTCAGAAAATATCGAAAATGCAAATTGTTGATTTGTCCTACGATAATTTAAGGTAAGTAATTCTATCATAAATTGCATAACTCATAAATTGAATTAGTATTTACTCTTATAGTACTTACACTCGTATTCATATAGAAATAAAGAATGTTTTATTAAGTAATTTTCATTAAATTTTATTTTAAGTTATTCATTTTACGTTAAAAAGCAAAATGGCTCAGGCAAAAAGCATACTGTATCCTTTAAAGATGACATTATGTTTACATAAAAATAAACTCATATATAGATAACAGACCCACTATTAGTTAAGCTCTCCAACAAAAATTTAACGAACTTACTGCTCATCGGAATGAATAAATAGTGAAATATTTTTATACTAGTTCAAATTCTTTACCCACTACTATTACGTAAGACTAAATGCGGAAGTTATTTTACTTTGATATAATCAGAAGATATATTTTTTGATAACTGCACTGCATTATAAACTGTAGTTTAATGCATTCACTATGCCTTATAGAGTTATTCACTTTACCCGAAAGTTTGGCCCAAGTGGATAGCAGCGCTTCACGTTCACACTGCCCGGACTTCTCCTAAATTTGTCCGTGGAAAAAAACATGAAAAAAATTACCTATGCACATACATCCTTTGTTTTATATCACTAGACCTTCATTTGTTTTTTAATTTATGATAGATATAATTATTTATTTATCTAATAAAATAATTAGATTTATTTTAATAAATCTAATTATTTTATTAATATTTATTATTTTATTACAATAATAAATTTTTCAATAAATAAATAAATGGCGATGCTTATAAATCAAGTTATTGTACGAGTATACAAGCAGTACGATTCTGCGTGTTTACCATTATCGAAATAAGCTTCATTTGCGTTCATCGGTTTGACGTCAGAAGCCCTGTACGTCAATGGAATTTTCTATTCCACACCATCCTAAAGAAACTTTTTTAAAAGGCAAAAATATCACTCGACGTTTAGTAACACTAATAAAAAAAAATAGGCAATCCTGTCGCTTCGAAATTTTTTTAAAAGCACACATCTCTTATTTTATGTATGCTTTACATACGAGTATACGTAAAAAACATATAATATCTTCATTTTTAAGTCGATTAAAAATTAATAAGACTAAACAATCAAATTTACAATTTTAATACGCTAAACAGTAATAATGATTAATTCATATATTTTTAACTGACTTCAACAACTCAATGAAACGAATTCATTTATTTCATATTAAACGATATCTTCGCTAACTTTGCACCGATTTTCGTGAGTCTTTTTTGCAAACTTTCTTCTGATTATAATCAATTTTCATGCAACAAGAATCTTAAAATTAAATACTTATTAGTTGAGCAATAAAAAATAATATTTACAATAGTGCCCCACTCACCTTAGTATCCGGTCGGTGGTGGAGGGTTGCGCGGCCCGCCCGTGCCGCTGCGAATGCGCGCCCAAACGCCCAATAAAGCAATAAATATGCGCGTGCGCTGACCTACCAGCTGGAGTCCACGAATGCAGGAGCGGTCAAATTGGTCTAGGGAATTATTTTTATTTTATACTAACTATAAATTAAGACTTTGCCCCTATTAATGAAAAATTGATACTATGTGATAATCCAGGATAGGACATGGTCCATTTGTGTATCAAATTATCTATTAAAGTATGGGGGAGGGGGAAGGGGAGAATATTTTTTTTTTATTAAAAGATGGGGTCACAATCTCGTCTGTACTATCAATATCCGCTGGTAGAATTAGCTCGTCATGACGAATTCACCAAGAATTAACCACAATAATTGCCAAGCCGTCGTCTGGTGGTCGACCTGACAACTATTGCTAGTAATGGGGACATCGCTTCCCGCGGTGAGAATAAACTCAGATCAGTCAACCCTTCATATGAGCTGTCTTAGACCATCAATCTTACTTTATGTCCCCTAATTTGCACATTATCCCTAAATTTATATATTCAGTGTATCCAATATAGCAAGCATCCCGCCACCCATATCTACTCATAATAGCGAGAACGGGATACCTGAACAAATGCACCTCTAACTAAAAACAAAAGCCCTTCATATGGTAAATTTTAATTTTATTTTATAAACAACAGGATGGAAGTAAACGCCTTCGAATAGAAAGACAAATATCAAGATCGCTTTTGAATTTTCCTTTATATCACTTATCATACACGAAAAAAAATCTAATTGAGTACCTTTTTCTTTTTAAGTCAATTGAAACATAATTTGAATTAGCAATTAGGATCAGATTAGGAGAGATTTTTCATTTTTTGCGCTTGATCTTATCTCATCTGATAGTAAGTAATAATAAATGAGACTAGAATGAAACGCGCTTACCCAGAAGGCACTTGTTCACCATCCACTTGAAGAGTCTCAGGTTATATTACTCCACACAGAAGCAAAAAGGGCATTCCATTATATTCCAGTTCGCATTTTTTTTTAATGGGTGATAATAGTATGGTAACCCCACCTGCGCTACCGGTATACATTGGCGGGACACCAGTGATAGATGACTGATGAGGATGAAAGCAGGTCAGTTAGCCCATCCTGACGAATTCAACTAGAATTAGTAACGATGGTTTCCAGGGGGAACCACGTGGCGGTGGATCTGACCGGGTATATTGCTAGTAATGAGGCTATTTGACCCCACTACTAACAATCCCTTTCCCCCCTTCCAGTTCGCATTAAAAACGAAGAGGCGGACCGTTTCGTATGGACCTGCGGAATTTCTATAACACAAGGATGAATATTTGGTGTATATCTATAGAGGTATAATGTAGTTCGATGGTAGAAAGGAGATCGCAAGTTCAGATCTCATGCCCCTTGTATTATTAAAAATAAAATTTATCATATTGAAAGAATATATGTTTATTTACAATTTGTGTATGTTTCTTTTATTTGTATTCTATTTGCTTTGTATTTATGCTAAGATCTTTATTTTTTTTCTTGTACATTTCCTACACTAGATTAAAATAATCATTTTCTTTATCACTACACTACGTTGGCACGAAAAGATCTCTTTCAGAAATAAGCCCACCCTTGCTTATAAGTTTTTAAACTAATCGCTGTATCTTTTCTTTCACAAGTGGAATAAAGAATATTATATATTTGCTAAAGGGAGACTTTGTACAAATGTCGTTTCAACCGTGAATCAGTTGTGTTTGCATGGCTGTGTTTCGGTTTAAAGGGTGGGATGTGACAGTGAATTTACAGAGTACAGAGAAATAACACCTGAGTCCTCAGGAATGGCAACGCATTGGGAGGTATTATAGGCGGAACAGTATACTCTGTAATATCCATGGTACTGCTCATGTCTATAGGCGACGGTTACCACATTCCATCAGGTAGACCGTCAGCTTGTTTGCCATTCTAAATTGCATAAAAAATATAAAGAATTTGTTTATAAATTATATATAAAATAAAATAAATAAAATCATAGCAGCCCACATGCGTAAACAGTTGGTCGTTTCTTTTCCAGCCAATATCTAGGCCGCTATCTAATGTGTATTTAGTGTGGTACAGCAATCGGCATCATAACGCACCAATTCTTAAAGTAAACGACCACTTTTTAATTGTGCGGGTCAAGCGGCGCACGCGCATTGTTCATTGCGCGGACTGGCGCCGATGGCAATTTTAAAAAAATTTATATGAAAATAAAATTGGCTCTAGCGATTCAGACCGATTATGAAACACTATTTCTCTAAACCTATCTTTTATTTTAATTCGATTTTTTCGCGAAATTACTCTTGTACGGATCATCAAAAATCATTAAAAAATTAGTTCACATTAATCCTTACAATAAAGATTTCGCTGTAATATCAAACTGAAATTGTAATTTCAGACATAGGTTTTAACAATGACATTTCAAAATCGACCTCACACAGTCAAATACGTACTAATGTCAAAATATTTGCTTTTAACAAAAATTAAATGAATACGTAGACTGTGGTTAGCCCGTCACTAGCGAAAAAAAAAATTTATGCTTGTAATCTTATTATATTATGTAAATAATCAAACTTGAAACCAAGTAGCTTGTTGGCAGAAATGAGAAAAACTTCAAGACGTTAAACCCTTGTTCATAATGTTCCTGTATTTGTTTTATTTATTTATTTAGTTTATTTGAGATAACAACAGTATTTTACAAAATTAAATACATATTACACAGGGGGGAAAAAGGATTGTTAGCAATGGAGTTTGACAGCGCCATTGCTAGCAATATACCTTATTAGGTCGACCTCCACGTGGTTCCCCCTGGAAACCATCGTGAACAATTCTTGTTGAATTCGTCACGATGAGCTAACTGACCTACTTCATACTCACCTATCATTCTTCACGGGTGCCCCGTCGGTGTATACCGATAGCACGGGTGGGGTTACCATTCCATTATCATCCATTAAAAAAAAATACATATTACACATTTACAAAATGCTAGCCAATTATAGTTATCCACAGCGATATTAAAGCGTAGGTATATTAAATATTCCACTGTATTGATGAATTAATAAATTTTGAATAACCCTTGTAAACTTATAGCATAGCATATAAATTATAAAGGTATTTTTTAATTATATAATTATTTTTTACATTTTAATTAGTTATTTATATTTATTTATTTTCATGTCTAAAACTATTGCAAAGCTTTAAATGGGGTTAGTAACAGCTGATTTAGCGCCGTGACAAACGGTTGAATCCTAAAAACTAAATTCCAAGACAAATATTTGATTACATTTATGTTATCTTAGATTATTGTTTTCTTATATTTTATCTATCCATTGCTGAACATAGGCCTCCCCTTTATACTGCCAAATGGAATGGTCCTAAACAACCTGCATCCACCCTTGCAATGCATTTTATTTAATATAGACCAGAGGGAGACTTTGTACAAAAGTCGATTGCTTGGGTACCTCTGACCTATTCGTGTTTCTACCGTGAAGCAGCTGTGTTTGCATGGCTGTGTTTCGGTTTTAAGCGTGGGATATGGCGTCAATTTACTGGGTACAGAGAAATAACACCTGAGTCCTCAGGAATGGCAACGCATGGGGGTATCATGGGCGAAACAGTATACTCTGTTATGTCCATAGTACTGCTCATGTCTATAGGCGACGGTTACCACTTTCCATCAGATGGGCCGTCAGCTTGTTTGCCATTCTACATTGAACAAAAACTTAATATAGTATCTACAATAATATAGCATGTAGTTTACGACTACCAATATAAAAGTTTGTTTTTAGGATTGCTATTTTAAGCGAATTCCTAGGCCGAGTAAACGAGCTTTGTCTGGAATCCGGTGAAATGAAAAAAAAGGGGAGAAAGATCCAATAAGCTTTCATTTCGTAAAGCTTTATGTGAAAGACCAATTTGGCTGACCTTAACTAAAATACATATATTGAAAAAAAAAAAACTCCAACAATATATAAGAACGAAAACCAACACTCAATTAGTTTAATATTTTAGATCCTAACTAATATTATAAACTAACTTTTTGCCCGCTACTTCGTACGCGCTGAGCGTAGAAATGAGAAAACCATTGAAATAGATCCTAGATCTCGTATCAAGATAAAACATATATCAGATTTTAAGTTAGACCTCAAGGGACACAAATGTGAATTGTTTCCAATTTGGTGTAGTAGTTTTCGCGTGATACCGAAATAAATACACACAAAAAAAAACAGACAAAACTTCTAAAAACTATTGTTTTGGCTTCTGACTTTTAATTTAATAAGAGATTATCTTATTAAAACCGCTCATGTAAATTTTTCTTAAATATTTTCTACGTACAGATGCCATCTAGATACAATAGTATAATTTTTAAAATAACACAATTAACATGAAATGGTTTTGCTAGAAGAAATCTCTTATTAGAGATAAGCTCGCCTTTGTACATTATGTTTATAATGAATTGTAATTTACAGTATGTTTTGTGTACAATAAAGAATAAAGAATAAATAATAGTATTATATTAGTACGAGAGCTGACAACTGTTTATTGCTGAACATAAAACTTTCCCTATAAGGGAATTTATACCAGTAGTTTTAAGAGGGATGCTGCCCATCCCTATACCATTAAATTCTTTTAGTCACCCCTTACGACTCCCATGAGAAAGGAAGGGGTGACCTATTATATGCCGTGATCACACTGCTTCATCTTCACCCATCATCATTAACAGGTGCTCTGGCAGCATATACCGATAGCGGGGTAACCATTCCATTCTCATCCCATTAATAAAGTGTAATACGTGTGTGTAAAAGTACTGGTGGATAATTTACGATTATGAACATAAATAGTGGTAGTAAAAAGATTTCTATACATTTCCCCATCCATTAAAATAAATTTTAAGAGCGTAGTAATAAATCACTGTAGGAAAAAGACGATAAAGAAAAAGAGAGAAAAAAAAAAACAATATAGCCACGTCCTGACAACTCTATCAAGAAAAAAGTCCC